ATGTCGTCAAAAATCCATTTTTACCGAATATTTGACAATGTTCAGAGAATTAATGTACTTATCACGCCCCAAGAACGCGCGAAGACAGGAAAACAACAATGGGTAAGAGTAAGAGTGCCAACCGTGAGACAAGCAGGTCTTAATGCTTACGTTTTCCGTTCACACAATGCACGGACATTAGCACGCGAAGCTTCGTGGAAGGACACGTTTCCTTTGGTTGAAATTAATTGTGTGTCTATTTTGGGAATCGTTATTGCACGGGGGAGAGAGGGGAGGGCCTTATTTTCTTTCTCATTCAATACTTCTTATGGATAATTTTATGTGCATTCTGTTTGCAATTACCGCCCCGGGTGTTATATGCTGTGCTTGTTACCCCGCTGATCATATGCTGTACTGGCTACCCCGCTGATCATTTTCTGTACTAGCTACCCCACTGATCATATGCTGTGCTGGTTACCCCGCTAATCATATGATGTACAAGTTACACTGCTGATCATATGATGTACTAGCTACCCTGCTGATCATATTATGCACTAGCTACCCTGCTGATCTTATGATGTACTAGCTACCCTGCTGATCTTATGATGTACTAGCTACCCTGCTGAACATATGATGTACTAGCTACCCCGCTGATCATATGCTATACTCACACAAAGAAAAATTCCCCACGCTAGAAAAATTATTTAAAAAATATCTTCTTTTCGTCCAATAGTCCTGACATTATAGACTGCTGGTACGTTCATAAGTTAAGGTTATTATCACACAAGGCAATGCCAAGCATCTTTAAGGGAGAACACCCTAATTTAACATTTAGACTTTGCAATGCACAGTCAAATTTGCTCTACATAATTTAACCAGCAACCCACTCCTTCGCCCCCCCCCAAAAAAAGTTAGCATTGAACTATACAATTATAAGTTGTATGAATGTTTTTATCGCTGCTTTACTTGCTCATTACATATACTCATTTTTTTTTTTTTACAATGCTTAAAAGTCATTGGCAAAAAAAATGTGTTGTGATCTCTTATATACATTACGCTTCTGATGTGACTGTGGACTGCTTGCTCATAGTCTGCTTCCTAAGCGAATTTGGTATTGAGAGTATATTACAAATAACTCTAAATGTTTGAAAGAAAGTATGGTTCAATAATGAGTTCAGCAGTGCATAAAATATAATTCCCGATAACAATGCTAAATGATATATTATTTATATAACGCAACTGCGTTTGGCACGTAATATTTACTTTTACGAGAATTATATCGTTTCAATTTAAGCATGGTGTAAAAAAAAATATTCGGTTTAAAAGTGGTTGGGACATCAGAATATTTAATATAGTTCATGGGAGTGAAATTAAAAGTGTGCAGTGACGTATCATGGGGGGGGGGGGTTGGGATGTAGCAAAAAGTGGGATTCTTAAATGTGTGTTACTTTAGTTCATGTTTTGTCAAGTAACTTTAGTAGGGGGGAAGTTCACGCATTGATGTCTCCAATGTTTGGCGGGCTAAATCTAATAGTTTTTATTAATGGACATCAGAATATTTAATATGGTTCATGGGAGGGAAATTAAAAGTGTGAAGTGACGTATCATGGGGGGGGGGGTTGGGATGTAGCAAAAAGTGGGATTCTTAAATGTGTGTTACTTTAGTTCATGTTTTGTCAAGTAACTTTAGTAGGTGGGAAGTTCACGCATTGATGTCTCCAATGTTTGGCGGGCTAAATCTAATAGTTTTTATTAAACTAACCAACCAAGACTTAAAATTGTAGAAAAGTGTTAAAAAATTAAGCCTTGTATATAAATTAATTGTATCTATATTAAAAAGAAAAAATTCTTAGCCATTAATTATTTACCATCTTTTGTTTTCTCGCCATTTTCAATAAATTTGGTCACTTAGTGTTTCCTTCATGTCCAGTCTAGAATACTGGCTCATTAAATCGTGGAACAAGATAACTGCTTTGGTGTGAAAAGAAAAGTTAGGACGATTAAACGGGCGTTTTGGCTAGATGCCTTATTCTGCATGTATGTAAATCAAGAGATCACTATAAATATTAGTAATATACAAATACAGTTGAAAAGTTTGACAAAATTTATAACATTGTTGACTATTCAATTTCAATAACGATATTGATATCAAATCAAACTATTAAATACAGATTTTTTTTTTTTAGTTCTAATTTAAAACCTGAGTTTTCCAAAAATGCTGTAATGCTAATGTGTTAAAACATTGTGTCACATCAAAATGTTTGAATTTAGGTTCGATCCCAGCCATTTTTATTTTTTTTCTAAAGAGCATATTTTTCTATTTTCCCATATTAATTTTGTTATGCGGAAAAAAAATGAAACTGTGAAGTACCCAACTGTTTTGAAACGAAATTTTACTATGTTGGAAGGTATAATATGGTAACCGAGATTGCGGTACTATTTTATACTGCAGATAATTTGAGAGAAAAGGGGGGGGGGGGGGTAATCCGTCATACTTTTGCTAAATTTTTCTTTAATTGTATTTCTAAGTTGTAGCGTCCCTTGTGTCGGAACACTGTAAAAACAGGCATGCACAACTCAAAATGTAAGGCGGGCCGTAATACTTTATGAAAAGCTTGCACGAGCCGAAAGATGACAGGACTGGGGTGAAAGCTATATTAAAATAATAATAATATTGAATATTTCATTACTTCGCGGGCCGCCAAGTGGCGCAACAGGCAGTATGTTGTGCAGGCCTGCTGTAAAACAATCGCTTTCTGTGACATTTCACTGCAGTCAAATTTGAAGATATTTAAATGAATTCAAAAAGCTGAGTTGGTTTCTGAGTTCTCCCCCACTATTTATGTGTATGTTTACCTCGCTTTAATCAATTAATTAAATTTAGACTTTTTCATTGTTCAGCATTTTTGTAGCAAATTATGGACATTCATGCCCACGCCGCCACACGTATTCTTGATTTTGTACTGATAGAAAGGATCAGAACATTTTTATTTTAATATATTTTCTACCTAATATTGTTTATATTTATGTGTTAATTTTTAGAAGAAATGGTTAAGGAAAACAAAAATCCGGAACAATAATCCGGGTTGCCAAATGAGCTTAAATGGAAATTTAAAGTGCGAAATGTCAGGAATTTTATAATAATTGTAAGAGCAAAAAGGCGATATTAAAACATCAATTTTAGTACTACATTTGTTCATCCATTGATAAGTTACGCACAGCGGGATAGTTAGAGGTACAGAGCCGTAGCGAGGGTGTTCGGTGCCCGGGGACAAAATTCGCGCCCAGGTACAGGTTTAGTTTAAAGCGCCCCCTTTTCTTTTTACAACTCTCAAACCCATTATTTTCATCAATATTATAATATCAAAGCACAATTTGGCGCCCGGGGACATCTGTCTCTCCCCACTTACTTTGCTACGCATCTGGCGGGGTGTGATTTTGGAGATTATACCTAGGCCAACTGGTGCGTAGAGCGGTCGTGGTGTGCAGAAAGTATGTACATTTAATAATTATCCTGAAATTCGGACCCTGTTATATCTCTAATAAAGCTAACTGTCATCCTGACACTCTGTTTACATCCCTAATAAAGCTGTCACCTGAAATATCAGCAGTGACTCCCAAGCTTCTTTTTTTTTCACCCACGCCCCAACAGATGACCTCAAATGTTTTAAGGCACCCGTCCCCCAAATAAGTGGGAAAAAAAAATAGCAGTCTTTTACAGCCATTTTAGGCCTTAGATACATAGTTTTAGGATAAAACTAACACAAATAAGTACAATATATTTGTAACGCAAAACATTTAAATTTGCCGTTGAATCATTTATTGAATTCTGGTTAGTCTTGGTCCCACTTTAATTTTTTTTTTCTCCCCAAAAAATATCGGTTGAGTTTTTATTTTAAATGTGCTCTGTACCTATGTACTATATGGACGGCCCAATACGGCTGCAGAGTGCAGATGTGTTGTCTTCTTGTATGGATACAACTCGACTGTAGCAGTGTGATTGGTACTTTCAATTAACTTTCCTGGAACCCATTTTCCGCTTTAAGGCAACGGGTTCCCTATCTTGGTATCTGTTGTCAGTCCTACTTCGGATATAGACTATTTAATTTGTTTTATATTTTATCAGGCATTAAGATATAGTACTGTGACCTTTTAGTCCCTAGGTGCTATAACATATGGCCCTGTGAACTTTTGGTCCCTAGGTGCTATAACACATGGCACTGTGAACTTTTGGTCCCTTTGTGCTTTAACTAAGACTTATGACACTGAACTTTTGGTCCCTTCCTAATGTGCTCTATAGTGGTTGTTTGCTATCTTATGTGTTCTATGGTGGTTGTATACTACCTAATGTGCTCTAAAAAATGGATCCATTGTTACTGTCCAGGAGCACCTATAAGGGGCCATCCATAAATGACGTCACGCAATATTTTTTATACCCCCCCCCCCCACTTTTTTTATTTTTACAAAACTAGAAAATTTCATTATGATAAAACGTATACAGGGGTGGGGATTGCGGTAAATTATTTGAAATTCAGGAGCACCTATAAGGGGCCATCCATAAATGACGTCACGCAATATTTTTTATACCCCCCCCCCCACTTTTTTTATTTTTACAAAACTAGAAAATTTCATTATGATAAAACGTATACAGGGGTGGGGATTGCGGTAAATTATTTGAAATCGCGAGGGGTCACAGAGCTGCAAAAAGTTTAAGAATCCTTGCAATATAAAATATAAGATCACCCCACCCCCTTTTTCCCCATGACGGCTCCTACTCCTAGGTACGTGCCTTTGGTTAAATCAAACACAGCCTGTCGGGCGAAAATACCATTACTTTCAATTCGACAAACTCTTGACAAAAAGTACCTCACGAATTACCATCTTTTCATAAAGAAACAGAAAATAGTGGCAATGATGTCATATATCATTTTTTTTTTCCTTTATAAGCCAACGCGTTATTTTTTCCCCCTTAAAAACACTTTTCTGTTTTTAAGCTGACAGTTTATTCGGCTTCCGCCCATGCATGCGCACGCGCACTCATTGATCAAACGGCCGACACGTTACAACAAGGAAGATTAATATTATTACGCTTTATTTTTTCTAAATTTTGCCTAAAGTAAGGAAATGTCTCCTAAATTTATGCGACAATTGTTCAGTCGAATGTATTTATGTGGTCTTATTTGTTATTAATATATGAAAGTTAACTTTGAAAAGTTAAGTTGAGATTTGCACGTAAAGTTCAATGTTCAGGACGATCGAAAACGCAGGAATTTCTATCTTTGATTTTTTATCAACAATGAAAGATCTTAATGTTAATCATGCTTTATAGCTATTTATTCTACTTATTGCACTTTTAAGAAGAAGCATGTAGATTAAATACATGAGTTTACTGGTGTTTTAGTACTGTATTCTTTAAAATTGACTTTCTAGATAGTCCTAATTTCTAATTACGAATTTCAGGGCTAATGAACTATAACTAATGATAATATGTATGTTTATCATCCCATGAGTCATTTGCGTGTTTATTATAGTTGCAGTGAATTAGGGTTTAGGTTAGGTTGAGGGATCGATTTAGGGTTCAGGTTAGGCATAGGGATTGATTTAGGGTTCAGGTTAGGCATAGAGGTATGTATAGTATAGGTTTAGTTGACAGAATTAACTGGTTGTGTCAACCAAGATGGCGGAAACCCTGGGGAGATTTCTCAACATTTACCAATTTCAGTTATTACCACACACCCGACAGTCTACCATCACTGAGTGGAGTGAGTTGATTGAGGGTAATCTTTCTCTTCAGCGTCTGGTTATGAAAAAATCTTGGGTAAATGTGAAGAGATAGCACCGCGTTTTTTTACTTTGGTTGCCGCGACCCACGAACTTATGTCCTAAGCCTAAATGTATCCCTAAACCTAACCTAGATACTTGGGTAAACCAAGGGAGACTACTACTTTTTGTGTATCAGAAATGGCAATCAGCGCCGAAAAATCTGAGTTTGATGTGTGTGTCTATTTATTATTAAATGAGTACTTTCGAAATATATTTGAGTTCCGTTTCCGGCCTTATATTTTGATAGACATCTTGGCATACATTTACATTGATTTGTTTGAATTTTTCAATCGACCTGTATTTTGAAATTCCCCTTAAAATACAAAGCTTCTTGCACTAAAAAATTCATATAGAATTTCAACTTTTATGTCTTTCATAAAAAGTCTTATTCTGTATTATCTATCAATGTATTTTTGTGTCAATTCTCATTGAGTTAGGACATGTCGGTCACTTGTTATGCTCACTTGAGTAAACCCCTGTATGGTAATGTAGCTCAGCCCAATTTCGATAAGGAAGTGGCCACACCCCCTTTCAGTGGCAGAAGACGCCATTACTTAAGAAATATTTAATTATTTCCACTATTTACATCAAAATATTTGATGTTTTAGAATAAATTTAAATGTTATTGAAAGAATATTTTAATTTGAGGTTAAAAAACCCGGCAGAGTCCATATTAATAAAGGCAGTGTCTCGCGCCGGACGTCTATCTCCCGCACTATGTGTCTGGCGACCAAGTCACATGACCGCCGTAACAAAGTGGCGAGAGATATCTTGTCGGTCAGCCTTTTCACGTGACTGCGAATAATTCAAAACTATTGTTAATTTTAAAATCTGTTTCTCTACCAAGTAATGTACTGAGTATCTTGAATGCAAATAATAGAAAACATTTTTGTTTAGTTTGTTATTTGATGGTATAGATCCTCAAACCTTCCTATCGTCAAGCAACCTCTCTACCACAAGACCAGACAAGATGTAATAAACCGTACTTCGTTTGGAATTATAAAAACTACTAGCCGCCCGGCCATGTCCGGCGGTCACGTGACAAGCCGCCGGACGTATATCTTGCTAGACACTTCGATTAATAAATGATCAAAATTTGCCATGTGCAAAATGTCATGGCGGCCATTCAGTGACTTGCATGATGGCTATTATTTACTACTTTCTGAGAGGTTTGATTCATAAAAGTTTGCCGTTTGTAAAAACTATTAAACTAGCTCAGGGAAAGCTTTAATTAGTTAGTCTTGTACCAAAGTTGAAAGTTCAATAGTTCCCAAACAGTATTTTAGTAATTAGGGCATGAGTTGCCTTATATAGACTATATAGCAAATATCTGTGTAATGGACGTCGTAGATTTGGTAAACAGAAAAGCCATATATTAATACATTATATTAAATTTACTGATATAAATAGTGCATAGTTAGAAAAGCTACAATTTATCTATAATTGTTAACATTATTTAACTTACTTTTTTAATACAGCATTAGTTCTGAAAATAAATTATCATTAAAACAAGAGTTATATAGCTCGTGAAGCGAACAGCGGAATTGGGTCACAGAATGTGGAGGTGTCCATGTTAAAAAAGGATAAATTAAGTTGTACTTTAAAAATTCATAACTTTAAAACAGCTAAATATATGATTTTGGTGTTATAATTCTTTTAAAAATAAGCTCTATTCAACTATGCCATTGGTTTTTTTGTTTTTTTTTTAAGTTTTAATTTTATCATGAAAGTACCTACCTAACCTGAACCCTAAAACAGGGTGTTATCTCTTCACATTAGCCAAATCTTGTTGTTCCAGTTTGAAGTGCCATTTAAACTGTTTTTCTGTTATTGATTTACGTCGTTAGTAGTAATTGTACAGTGGAGATGGAAAGGGCCATTGGTTTTCAGTGACATAGACATAGAGAGAGTGAGTACTGTTTCTTGATTTAAGTGCCAGATCGACGTGGGATCAGGTTACAGGAGTGCAGAGAGGTGTATTAGGGCGTCCCAGAAATGCTTGGAAAAATTATTTTTTTTAATCTTTGGTGTCTCACCCCCTGAAATGTGTCTCTTGGGTACAATGAGTGAATTGGTGAAGTTGTAGCTCATTTGAACAACATTTAGAGGTCCCCCAAGAGCTTTTAAAATTCCAGTATTAGGCCAACATAAAAATCCAGACGAATCGTGGCTCAAATAATTTGCAGTTTTTGCATGCCATATATGAATTAAATGAAGTTTAAATATACTTATATTTACCTCAGTGCTACCATTAACTAGAGTTGAAATTGTGTGATTCTTAATTAGAAAATGTAATAAATGCGAGAAAACATATAAAATACCTAATGTGCAAAACTTGTGCATATTTTTTGAAGATTTGATTGTTTAAAACTAAGCATGCTAAATTGTCAGGCTAGAAACAATTATGAAATTATTCATAGCATTAGAAAATCTACAATGATACTTGCATCAGCATTCACCGAAGCTGGTGTTCCGACATCTGACACAGTATTTTCCAAGAGCACAATGCATCGTCATCGCAAGCTTCGTCGTCAACAAGCTGCAGCACGTATAAAAGAAGACTATATTCCCTCAAAATCAATTGTTCATTGGGATGGTAAGCTATTGCCCGATGTTACCGGAGAGGTTACCAACAACGTCGATCGATTACCTGTCCTGCTCTCATCACTTGTCGATGGCACTACAAAGCTTCTTGGTGTTCCCAAGTTAGCATCCGGGTCAGGACGGGCAGCTGCTGATGCAGTATATGAACATATCAAATCGTGGAAGTGCGAATCTATGGTCATCGGCATGTGCTTCGACACTACGGCTTCCAATACTGGAAGACTCAATGGAGCTTGCACTCTGTTAGAAGTAGCCCTGGGACGTAATCTATTATGGATGGCATGCCGTCATCACATGTTGGAAGTACTCCTTTCCGATGCATTCAATGTTTGTCTTGGACCATCCACTGGACCAGAGATTTTGTTTTTTAAGAGGTTTCGAGAAAAATGGCCAGAATTAAACCACACAACCGAAGCCAGATCCGCCCCTTTGATAATCGTGTCTGATTCGATTAAAGAATTTATCAAATGTCAACTTGAGGTCAGTCATTCACGTGATGATTATTTGGAATTTCTTCTGCTTGCTGCACAAATGGTTGGGTTGGAGGTTGATGTCAGCATTCGCAGACCTGGTGCCCTACATAGGGCAAGGTGGATGGCGAAAGCAATCTATGCATTGAACATCGAACTATTGTTTGCAGGCAACGAAACCATATTTCGGTTAACAGCTCGAGAATTACAAGGTATTCAGCGCTTTAATCGGTTTACCATATGTGTTTATCTTCAATCATGGTTTTCATGCAGGCTCATCGCAGATGCACCTGTGAATGATATCTTGTTGATACAGCGTTTATACGAATATGATGATGCTGTTCTTCGATCGATTGGATTGAAAATGATGGTGCGTCACTCGTGGTACTTGAGTCCGGAACTGTCGACGCTTGTGTTATTTTCAACCCTTTTGTCGGATAAAAAAAAATGGCCTTGTTCGGAGAATGCAATCAGAACGTGGACCGCATCCCATAAAAACACTACCAAAAAGTGTTGTTGATTTGCGTGCTTCTACCACATTTTTTGAAACATCCAACATTGATGCCAGTTTTCTAGATGTTCCTGTTGAAGCATGGTCAGATACACCATCTTTTAAAGTTGCAGCAGATTTTGTAAAGAATCTGGCTTGTATCAATGACTCTGCAGAGCGAGGTGTAGCATTGATACAAAATTTCAATGACAGTATCACCAAGGACGAAGAACAAAAACAATTTTTGCTCCAAGTGGTTGACAAACATCGGAAAAATTTTGCAGAGTGTAATCGTGAACAGCTGGCTAAAATTTAAATTTGAAGAACTTTTTTAAATTTTTGTCTACCCTACAGTACAAAGTACAAGATAAATATTAGGAATGCTTAATTGCATTGCTTATTATTATTATTTTTCAAGCAGATTGACATTCTTTCAAGAATTAACTTGACAAAATGAATAAAACTTTGTTTTTCATAATTTTTTACTTAAATTTCAAATTTAAAAATATAAACCATTCAAGATTTATTTATTATTATTTTTCAAGCAGATTGACATTCTTTCAAGAATTAACTTGACAAAATGAATAAAACTTTGTTTTTCATAATTTTTTACTTAAATTTCAAATTTAAAAATATAAACCATTCAAGATTTATACATTTTGTTTCATTTAATATTATAAACAATACTAAGCATCAATTTGTTACTTAATATATCAGTTTCGCATATAATGCAAAATTAACGTTGTATTAGATTTGAACGCGAATGATTTTACACCAAAATCTGGAACTTTAAACCTCTTGGGGGACCTCTAAACATTGTCCAAATGAGCTGAAATTTTGCATTTTAACTACTGTTACCATACAGACATATTCTGTGGGGTGAGACATCAACATTTCAAAACTTCATTTTTTGGGACGCCCTAAGGTGTATCCTTCCAGGCTCACTTATTTTATCAGATGGATGGACAGATATGCAAACATAAACCTATTCAGACACATAATATACTAACATGCTCTGTTTAAAAAAAATTTTGTCATTCCAAATGATGCTAGTGTCCACAAGCAGACTGTTGAAAATTTATGGATTGCGCACAAACTGAACAAACGGATTTGCACAAGCCGTGATCTTTTCCCTTCATATTCGCATGAGTTATGTCCTGCAATTGTTTTTGTGGCAATGATCAAAACTCACTCTGTTTTCTTTTCATACATTAAATTGTTTCATAAATGTGGAGTTAACAGCATGGGTTTTGGAAAGAGTTGTCACATCCTTAACACAGTGATGTCATTTTGGGGATCCCAAAACTGGACTTAGGGTGGATGAACCAACAGTTGGACATGAATGATAAGAATAAAAACTTTCCAGTACTTGGGGCATTATTGGTGTCAAAAACATAAACTGACACTCGTTCAGTTAATATGAAATAAATTAATATGAATTTTTCCATTTGGTTCTTATATTAAAATTCACCTTACAATGTTCAGTAGAAATAAATAGAAAAACTCATGTTTGCTGTTACCTTAAGATGATGACGCAAGCATGGCTAGAAGCGCTATTTTGTTATTGGTTGAAAACAAAGGACGCATATGCTATTCATTTTTATAATATCGCAATTTAACAGGATATTTCAAAATAAAAAAATAAGAAACAAAATAATTTGAGAAATTTTCCCTCCCCACACTTTCAAGGTAAAAGTTAAAAGAAAAAAAATGTATCAAATAAATCCAGAACTAAATTTTGAAATCTTTTAAAAAACGGAACCTTGGCCCGTAGTTGACACGGGGAACTTCCATGATCTAAATTCCATAGAAGACATCGCTGGCCTTGCACCTAACTGCATTTTAGACAATTCTTTAAATTTGTCTATTTCTATGTTATCTTTTATATCATACATGTGCTGAAATGAATTAATGAATATGTACAATGTCATTAAAAAAACATTTCCATTTATTTGGATGAATAAAAGAATTTTAGCTTATCGGGAAATCAAAAAACGTGTAAATAGCACTGCAAACTAGAACAACATGATTTTTTCATAACCCACGCTCATGTGGTAGATTACTGAGTTGAGTCCGAAGAATAATTGCAGCTTCCAAGGGCTCAATTTAAAGGGTCTGCAGCAAGTGTGTACATTTATTAATTTGAAGTGACTGGATAGCGCATAAATAATTGCGGATTTAATTGCGGCTTCTCTGAACTCAATTTATATAGGTCTAATTAAAAATTTTTTCTTTTTTTTTTTTTTTTTTGCATCAACAAATGAAAAGTTCAATCAACAATGTGGATTATTTTATTGCATCACTAAAACATTTAACCAAAATTTCTTTCATCAGAATAGTGAATATGAACAGGCATCGACAAGGTGGTCGAGATCGTCGACCAAACTATGGAGGTATTTGAAATAGCCAATTTATAGCACACATTTAGTTATGAAACCTTTTTTTTTTTAAAGTTTTTTGTCAGCAAAATTTAAAATATGTACATTTTATCTTTTCAAAAGTACCCCACTTCCAATTTTATTTTCTAATTAGGTGGAGATGGACTTTTGGGAGAAGGACCTGGCTTTGGTGGTAGCATGTTTGAACCAATGGTCAACACTCAAATGAATCAGCTTATGCTTGCACAGCAACTTCTACAACAACAGGCTGCTCTCGGAGGCACTGGAAATTTCGGGGGAGGTGGAAATGACTTAGGAGCCATAGGGGCATTGGCTGGTGCTATGGGAAATATGCAGTTTCTACAGCATCAGCAAGGAATGGGATATGGTGGTGGAATTGGTAGCAGTGGCATGAGGAATGACAGGAAACGGTTAGGAGGGCAAGGCAGAGAAATGGACCTTAAAAGGAGAAGGCGTGATTCTTCAGGGGTGAGTATTAAAAATTTAAAAGCAAAATGCACAAATGTTCATTTTTCAGATTTCATATTAGATCCTAAAACCAACAATTTGGTTGGTTTTTTTTTTTGGCTCTCTGATGGCTTATACAGGGCATATCAGTTATTTTTATTTTCATATGATGTAAGTAAATTTATATTTTTTTAAAATCATTGGTTAGTAAGTAACAATAAGTAAGACATTTTAATTTATTTTGCAGGTATCAAAACTGGTAAAATATTATGATATGCAAAATAGCTAATATTTTTTTCTCCTCAGATTGTTCAATTCTAAAATTATTTAATTTATCAATGTCATTTGATCTACAATATTGGCAACAAAAAAAAATTTAATATAAATATTACTCAGATACAAATATTAGTGTAAATAACAACTAAAGTACGTACTATAAGAGCTTCTTATTGAAACAATACTGAACTTTTATTTCAACTTTTTACAGAACATGTTAAAAAAATGTGTATATTTTTTTTCTCATCTGCCTATATTAAAGTGTATCGCCCATTTGCATAAAACTTTGTTTGTTTTGAGCTGCTTTTTTTTTTTTTAAATTTATGTTAAATATGGTTTTAAAAAAATTAACTCATTTTTGTAAACCATTGTAACCAAGGTTAGCTAGTCTCATTATTACAGCGGGTTTTTTGCGTTTGTTACTAGCAGCTTTATTTTCTACAAAAAGAATATTTTTACACCTTAAAAGAAAATGATTGTAATAATAAGTGTAATTAAAGATATCTTCATTCCACCTTGGAGGTTGAAATCCTATTTAAAGGAAACAAAAAGTTGTGTTTTTTTCTATTAGTACTCTTTTTTTTGACCTCTTTATAAGTTTCTGCACTCATCTAGGTTGAATCATTTCCTGATTAAGTCAGTCTGGAGGCAGCATCATTTGCTAATGACCTAAAGCTGTTTGTTACCATTCCCCATCAGAGGCTTTCAAAAGCTATTTATATTCAAAATCAATTTTATGATCAAATTGATGTCATTCCAACATGATTACTTCACAGCTTTCATCGAGCTCTTAAACAGGAATGTTTATCTCACCAGTGTGATTTCAAAACTCATCTTTGACTCTAATAAAGTTAATTTCGGAGGTCATAGAATGGCTTATTCATTTCTGAGTTTCAAGATTATGATATGTTTGTATGCTGTCCTTTTTTTTCACCTTATGCCACCTTTCCCTTCATTCGCCACCACTATTTTTTTTCTCTCCACTTCTCCTTACGATCTCCAGAGAGGTGGTGATCGGGATAGGTCTCGAGGCCGCGACAGCAACAGAAGCGGTGGTGAGGGTCGAGATAGAAATCATTCTAGTCGTTGGGATTCAGGTAAACCATTTTCTCTCTGCGGAAGTGCTGTTGCAATTTCTTCATTGCCAGCATCATCAGCTAATGGTTCGTCATATGCTGCCCTATCTAATCTATTCCTCTGCTTTTACAATTTTCTTATTCTCGTTCTGTATTATGCTTGAATAAGCAAATCCATTAAAGGAGGGTTTGTTTTTTTTTATTTAAAAAGTCTCTTATAGCCATTCAAAATCCTGCACTATGAAAATGACTTTGAAATCTTTTTTTCCACTCATAAGCAAAATTCCATGATGAAAAGTTGGATATTTCTACTGCAGCTATCATAATTCACTCATTTTTTGCTGTCATTTTGAAATTTTTCATAAATATTTGCCAACATTTGAGTTTCAGAAATATTTTCATCTAAAAAAAAAAACCTTCTACAAAGAATCCCAAGTCACTGATTTTTTTGGATTTTTTTTTTTTTTTTTTTTTTTTTTTTTTTTTTTTTTTTTTTTGTCTTCTGTTTTTTAATGGATTTTATTTCATTTTGAACTGAGATCAAGCACTGATATTTTGCTCAGTTATGCCTAGTGACGTTGAAATGTCTATAATAAATACAGCTATGAATGTAGAAAAAAACTTTATGCCAATACATACTTACTATTGTATAAATAAGGAACATGACAAACTGCTTTTACATGCTGTTGGCAAGTATTTAAGATTTGTTGCTCAACTTATCTTCTAGGCTTAAAATTTAAAACAAAAAAAGTTTTATATTTTGTGAGAGTTAAGTATTTTTTTCTTTACAGTTGTTCCACATAGAGATATTTTCTTGACTTCATGTAAATAAATATAAATTATAATGAAGCAGAAATATAATTTGCGACTAAATTTGAAACATTCTTTTTCTGCTGCAACCTTTATAATCTCCACTAGGGTAAAATATAACTAAAAGTCTTAATTTGAACAGACAAAGAGCTGTAAAACAATGTAACACATACTTTATTCAGTGAAGATTTCATATTTTTTTTAAAATACACCTTAGAATTTTAATCTTCTTTCTAGATAGAGATAGGGGCCGTAAGGTTGAAGACTATGACCCAGCTGAACCAACAGAAGATGAGGTTAGTAAATTTTAAACAGAGCAGATTAGTGGCTGAATTAGTGAATAGATTATAACTTATCCATCATGACCAAGTGTTTTTAAAATAGCACACTTTTCTCAAGTCTGTTTCCACATTTCATCACAGGAACTTAAAGATAAAGACAGCAATCTGTACTGCCATGTATGCAATGTGTCCGTTTATGATGATGAGAGTTTCAGAAGACATTTAAATGGAACTAAACATAATCAACGCATGAATAGCGTGCTAACCGTACATCAGATGAAGAGCAATCAGCTCAATATACGCCTTAAGGCGGAGGAACATTTGCGCAAAATTGAGGGCAAAGGGAAGAGCAAGAGAGACGGGTAAGAAGAATAATCAAATTATTTTTCTCCTCCCCCGAAACGAACTTTTCTTTTAGAATAAAAATTTTTAGTACAGGTATATACATATAATCCAATATAAAGACAAAGCATGACAATTATTATTTTTTTATTGCTTTAATGGCGTTAAAAATGCTTAAAAAACATGTAAAATCCATTGACACTAAACTGTTGCAATATCATTATGAAACTTTCCATGTCTTTTAAGAATAATTTTGTTAAAACATTTGACACAAGTTTATTGCAAAAAAGAAAAGCTACAATAGACATTTATCCGGGATCCCAGAACATATAACCAAAAATATAAGCCTTAGGTGGTAACAAAAATGTTATTTTAATTAACCTGGTGAATTTCACATGAATTTTGTTATAATTTAATTTTCACATGTCTCTCTTACCCTACTACTTCAAAATATATTTTTCTGAACTGTCAAAGTACTTTTAATGAAAAAGGTACAAGGTAAATAGTAAAATATTCATTAGATATTACTCTGATAAAATTCATGATAGTCTCATTTCATTTTTTTTTATTCCGCAAACCATCTTAATTTTAGCAAATTTACAAAACTACTTATTTATTGCATTGATGATTTTATATTTCTTCAGATATGATCCAAACTATTTTTGTAAAATTTGCAACAACAGTTTAACCATCCCTTGGGAGAGACACAGGTTTTCCAACATTCACAAGGTTAGAATTGATGACCACTAGCGCAACCTACAATTTTCTTAAACATTTCTTAACAAAAGCCTGGTATCATATGTCCAAGTTTATGACATTTGAAATTAAAATTATCTTTCAATTATTTTTTTTACCTCTAGGGATTTTTTGAATTGGCTTGTGAAAGCTTTAAACTTCTTTACAATTTGTCTTAATTCCATTTTCAGCAAAGACAACTTCAGGTAAAGAGAGGTTGTGGTTGGTGTAATGTTCATGACTTTAATAACTTCACAGAAGTGTTGGAGCATCGTGAAACAGAGGAACACAAGAAGGTATGAGTGTATTCATTATTTGAATTGGCTTCAAACTGTTAGTAAAATTATTGTCAGTTTTCAGATTTTGATTAATAGAGAAAATGAGTATATAAACGTTTTTATTTTCAAGTATTTGAAAAAATTGCCATTCTTAATTTAGAATGCTGAGCAATATGGCAAGAGAAAAGATGAAAAGGAGCATGTCAGATCAAGAAGCAGAAGCAGAGAGAGAAGAACTGAGGTATTAAGAAAAATAGAACGTAATTTTATTTTGGGCTTTAAAGTTGTGTAGGAGTGGCATGTTTTCAAGATATGTGTCATACTATAAATTGCTGAAACTAAAAATATTTGCCTAAATCTTTCAGCTTAAATTTTTTTGTGCAGGTACATTATTTAACCATGCCATTCAGCAATTATAATTAAAACATAAAGTATCTTAACTTCCTGATATGTCCAAGGGTCACTAATTTTCACTTCTTTTTTTTTTTTTAAATACATTTTTTAAAGTGTTTTTTTTTTTGTTTTTTTAGAAGTACAGAAAGAGGAGCACATCTCGTGACCGGTCTAGGAGAGACAAAGAGAGAAAGCAGAAAGAAAGGGAGAAGGTGAGATTAGAATGCTTTTTATATTATTATATTTGAGATGAAAAAATTGCTCTATATATATTGCAAACACACACTGTTAGCACTGTCAAGTAAACAGTAATGAGAATTGATTCAAATGATCCATTTTGATCACATTGGTTCTATGGGTCTTCAATGATTCCTTTGAGCCTCAGTTGCCAATCATTGAACTGATTGTTGTTACACTTTGACTTTGTCCTCCTATAAGATGAAGATGAAATCAAATATTTCCTTTTATGTGGTGGTGTAACTATTGGCTGAAATATACAAAGAACAACTGTGGAGAGTGGAGATTTTTTATCATGGTCCAGGGCTGAAAGCCACAAGCCCAAATGGCTACTGCATCTGGAAGATGGTATCATTGCTAGGTGTGCTCTGTTCACGGAAATAAATGGTTTCCAATACCACCAGCTCAAGAAAATTAATTAAAACTATTAATAAAAGATATTTAAAAAGAACAATAATGACATAAACATCTTAACTCATTCCCGACGGTTGCAGCTATATGAATCGTTAACGGCCCGATTGATGCATCCCAGCGCAAAGCAACACACCTAATTTTTATTTTAAAATGGCAATGAAATCTCAATACCTCAGGCAATGACATGATTCTGTGTTATTTGAATTTAAAAACCGGGAGTTTTTATATTATTTCACGTTCAATTTGTATGAGCTTTAGTAAAGTGCGTCTCTATCTAGCATGTGTTTGTCCAAGGTGCCAAAATCGATTTTTTGGTCATTAGTAATTTTTTCACTATTAATATACTATTTTTTATTTTACTTTATTCATTTCTGTATGCATTTATCCTTAATATAATTCATTAGTGTTACTAATATTTAGCAGCTTAAAAATATTGTACAAATGTAAATCAATTGTAAAATGTAGTTTCTTCCCTTTCTCTGGAATATAAATAAAGTAGGGGGGGCGTTATTTCTCCATGATTTGTTCTTGGATTAATTAATAAAATTGATTGGGAGAGCAACAAAATATTACTGAATACCTACCACACATAAGGATGTTTTTAATTTGTCACAAGCCTCAAAATTACACTGTTAGCTTGAAGGACCTTAAATTTAAACAATTTTAATAGGAATAACCGTTAACCTCATTAAAAAAGAATTTATTAAATCATTGTGCCTGTGTATTTGGAAACTAAGGGAAAAAGTATAAGGAAACTTTTTTTATGTTATGAAACCCTTTGTTTATTGTATAAGGCATCACAACATGATTTCAAAATAATTTTTGGAAATTTCATGACAATCCATGAGATCCTGCTTACAGACCAATTATGGGAAAGGAAAGCCTCCATGGCGAGAGCAATAACAACAGAGCACGTCTAATACACTTCGCTATGGGAAAAGCAATGACCATCAGCAGCACAATATTCCAACACAAATAAATAAAGACTGCGACAAGGATATCACCAGAATGCTTACGAACCGAGAGATGTATCAATTGTACCAAGACCAACCCATAGTATCAACAAATATAAAAGACAGACTGTGCTGGACAGGATAACCCAAGAGGATGCCCTTTTTTAGAGCAGCAAAAGTCATCTAGAGGCAGAAACTTAGGGGCAGACGGCTCACTGATCCACCAAGACTGAGATAGAAGGATGATGTAGAGGGTCTGACATGAGCTGATAGTCTGCACATGGAACCAGAGAGCTAGGAGTGTCTAAATATATTTAAATCCTTAAAGCTAACAGCCTCATTTTTCTAATGAAAGTGGTGATGGTCATATTGTTGCTTTGTGTTTTCATAATAAACTTATTAGACATGGCAACAGTATTATTAGTGTTGTGGCCCTAGTGACCATTTTAGTCCATCCGGTGTTATCCATATAGTACGTACACACTAGATTTTTCATGCCTGGGGTGGAGAGGGTCTCTGCAGAAAGTATGTACGTTATTAAAAAATTCTACAATATTCATCCTGACAGTCCATAAATTGCATATTTATATCTCGAATGCAGTAAAAAAAAATATCACACAATGTTTTGTAGGAATTATTGTCACATTACCATGTATTTTCACAAACAAACTCTCTAGATATGCTCAAATGGTACTCAATAGTCAAGGTATTACAGTAATATTTAGTCCACTGTACGTTCAATGTGCATGTGACATATATTTTTTTGGGCTTCATCAGTGCTTCTTAAATTTTCATTTCTCATCACCTATGCCTAATTCAGGTTTTTACCGGGCTCCCTGTGTGAAATTCTAACAAGTACGCTTCAAAATAGCGAATAAATATAATAAAATAAAAGGGTTGGGTAAATAAATGTAACATGTAGGTTACTAAGCGCAATCTAGTAACTACATTACTAGACTATATAGAATAAAAGGATCCAATTGACAGACTGTTATAGGTGATATGCACCTTTATCTAAATATTGATGTCTATAGCAGATACAAGTCTGCAAAACAAAGTGACAGCAGATTGCAATATTAACATCAGTCACCAACTTTTAGGAGTTACCTTCTTTTTTTTTTTTACGCTATGTTTTATTTTTAAAACAGTTAATTTATTATAAGAATATTGTAATTTTATGATGTATTATCAAAACTTGATCACTCGAAAATTAATATTTTCCACTTGTTTTTTAGTTAAGAAAGGAAGAAGATGAGGAAGATTTAACTATCCCAGAATACTCTGCAGAAAATCCTGTTGGTAAGTTAATTATTGTTGTAATATAAAGTCAGTGTTCTGTGATTTGAGAAGCAATTGTTACTGATGGTGTTATTATTTATAAATATTTTTTATTTTAATTTTATATCCTTCCTTTCCTGCTAAAATATCAAGTATCATTTATTTTTCTAATAAATGGAATCAAACATTTTTAATCATCTGAGAGATACTATTTCAAGATACAAAATTAAATTGTTAATTCGATAATTAAATTTATAAAATTCATTTCTGTTATTATATAGCTTTGGCGAAAGTCAACATTTAAAAAATTATAAATGCTGACTAGCTCTTAATAATAATTTATTGAATCTGTAATTATTTTTCCATTTCTATACAGGTTTGAACTACATCATTCCTGTTACTGGTTTCTTCTGTAAACTTTGCCACAAGTTTTACAACAATGAAAAGTCAGCTAAAGGAGCTCACTGTCAGAGTGAAGCACATTATGACAAATTTAAGGTAAGAGGACATGATGTAAATTTCTCAATGAATCTCATTTTTCTCCTTAGAAATTAACACTTTTGCTTTAAAACTTAATTTGATGGTGTTATAACTGCCTAATGATCAATGTTTGAGAAAGGTTGCTGATTTACTCTAGCCCCAGAGTTATCAAATTAAAAGTCAGGAATAAAAATTCTCTAGCTGATCCAAAGTAGTTATCTTCAAGGAATTTTTAACTCTAATACAGTTCAACTCTAAGAATGCTTCAAGGTTAGCATACCAATAGAGTTGCACAAATAACACATTTAGCTTGTGTTCTACACAACTTGGTTTTAGTATATAAAATTTGTTGATTTTTCTATTAAAAAAATTTTGCAGCTTGCCACTCAAGCAAAAATTGCTGACAGGGAGAAGAGGAAGGCAGATGAAGCAGCATCTGAGGCGGAACAAAAACCAAAGGTTGAAAATGAAGATGATACTGATTTGGAAACTAAAGAAGACACTAAATCAGATACAGATTTGAAGAAAGATGTGGAGGATGATGATGAAGACTATGATGATGACCTTCCACTAGAAGATGAGGATAATGATGGAGGTTTGGTTAATGATGAAGATCTTGGTCTACTTTATGATGATGAAGCAAGCAGTGAAAGTAAAAATGTTACAGCATCTAACTCTACTCTTAATGACACTAATGCAAACTCAAGCTTTGTGTACATATCTGGTGACATGGCTGAAGCTCATCTTGAACTGCAAAGGCAAGAGAATGAGCAGCAGGCAAAAAATGATACAGTTGTCGCAGGTACGTTATGAACACTTATAACTACTTTAAATATGTTGGCTATTATTCTTTTGGTCATTGTCCATAAATTTGCTGCTTATATCTTCAACTAACCTAGGTCTGCAAAATTTAAATTAAGATCCTATTAAATCTATCCACCTGGTATAGATTGAGATATGTTATTGTTAATAATGTGGACAATTTTTTTAAAAAAAACAAGATACAACAACCAGTTGTAACTGGATTATAATGATCAAGCTACTTCTTAAAATAAATATATAATTTTAATTGTAAAGGTCAGTGAATGTATAAAGAAAACAATTAACCTTAACTCTTTACATTCCTTGAATTTTGCATGTTTTTCATGAGTATTCTAGTGTCCTTAAAAAAGAGTCAATAACTTTTAAAATCCTTGTCTAAAATTCATGATATATTATTGTGGAGAAATGCATGAGGTTTCTAAAAATATTTGTTTGCAAACACATAGTGTCAACACTTAGAAGTTGTGGGGGAAAAAAATGCAATTTACAATTTTTTTAAAAATGAAAATGTTTATTAAAAAAATTGGTGATCACATGCAAAGAAGGAAAAAAACAAACCACATGAAATTATTTAATAAAATCTGTTTATTTAGAAAGCAAATTCATTTTCTTATATTATGTGCATGATTTAGAAAAAATTTTTTGTGGTACTTGCCACCAGTGTCAAGTCTGGTTTTCTTGATTCCACCAGCTTTACTTCTAAAATAGTTGGTAGCCTTGCCGGCAAAGCTCGGATGTTTGCTATCAAAATGGCGTTTTAGTTTGTTCGGCTTCACAGATAGATAGATAGATATCATAGGCTGATAGAACTTCACAGCCAATAAGACATTGTGATTGAAAACAATGAAAACATAGATATATGCATACGAGCATACTTTTTATTTTGCGTTTTTTAAATTTTATTTTATCACTATTATCAGACATTCATCATTCGTCAGAGACAATTTTTAACAGAGACGTAACTTAGTAAGACAGCATGCTGAGCTTACACTCACACAGGCACTGTAGTACTGATTGCAGGCGAAACTTAATCCTAAACCGATATTTATTTTTGCTTTCAATTTTCACTTCAAGCTTATCGTGGATAACAATAGTAGCATTTATTGTCCGGTGTTATTTCAGCATCAGACATTTGACCTATATTCTTTATTTATTTACGGTTTCCTTACTTGCCATTGGTTAATAAGCCTATCACGTGATACTTAGGGGAGTCACTTTGATTTTTTCTTCTACATTTTCACTGGACATGTCTGATTCTTTCAAAGTATGCATTATTTATAATCCACGATTACCCGTTGACGAGCTGATCGGTGCAGTAGTTTTCACTGTCGGTTTAGGCTTTATTATGGGGTGAATGAATCAAAGGGGATGATATGTCTGTTTTTTTAGCGTAACCAAATCAATTGGTTTCTAAGAACATCTGCATCGGAAATGTGTGTTTTCCAATGGTCTTAGGCAACCCCCGTGAAAGGGTCCCGCGACCCCCAGGTTGAGAACCGCTGACTTAGAATGATATATTCATTTATCAACTGGTCAACACCACACAGGTCACAGGAATGAATTGTATGATTTCAAAATCTGATTTGACAATATTTGGGTTTTCTCCCCAATAATTGCCTAGAAAGACACCATCAGTTTTGGTTTTGTTCACAAAAGAAAATCCATTTGCTGTCATACTATTTGGAATGAGTGAGGCTTTTCTCTCCACTGAACATAGTATACATTTTTATTATCTCTTATCCATCCCATCATATCACATTGCTTTGGTTTTTATCTTTATTTACTTCTGTTAATGTCTGACAAGTTCACTTTGCACAGTTTGTCCTCATTGTCTGTTTCAATATTATAAACTTTGAAGAATGTCTCATTTGAATAAATCTGTTTTTGGGAATACGGCATGAGCCCACAATTCATGGAAGTAGTGAAACGTTGTGGTTGATGAGCATTTTTGTACACTGAGGACTTGTACAGTTGACATCCACATTAGTAGTCCTAGAAATGTGTAAAAGTGGTATGTTGTTGAGATATCAACAAACCACAGTTGATGGAAGGTTTAGAAGGTCCCATTGTAGTTGAATAGGTGTATTTTACAAATGTTTTAACCAAATTCAGTGTGAAACATATCTTGAAAATCCTTAGACTTTAGGGTGCAGATTGTAGCCATGTTATGATGACATTTCTTCCCACACATGTCAGCCTGGCTTTCTGGCTGGGGGAAACTTAGGAGTGGGAACCAGTGGGTCATCATCTGGAACCTCCTGCAAGCCTAGCCTGTGAATGTAAAAGAAGAAATAATATTATAGACTTATATGATGCAACTATTAGGGATGCAATGAATATAAAATATATACTTACTTAAATTTCAAGTTTTTAATACTTCAAATACTGTCTAAAAACCGTTATTATCAACAAAAAAATTAGTTTTAAATAATTAATTTTTTATAACACATCGATGTCAAATTTCATGGTCTCTAGGATGAAATATATCATAATAATCAGTGCCGACTACATTGTTTACATTCCTTAGCAACAGTTTCTAAACATAACGTCTTCTAAAATTATTTATGTAATAAAATATTCGCAAATTATACAATGATTTTATTTGCGTAGATTCATTTTAAAATGGGTAGTAAATACTTCAATTATGATTAAAAATACAATTTAAACCGATAAAATAAAAATAAAAGTTTTTATGTAATAAAATATTCGCAAATTATACAATGATTTTATTTGCGTAGATTCATTTTAAAATGGGTAGTAAATACTTCAATTATGATTAAAAATACAATTTAAACCGATAAAATAAAAATAAAAGTTAAAAATCAATTAAAAAATATAGAATGACGAAACACTCGATTACTAACCTTCTAGTTTTAGTGACTATAATGGGCTATAAAGGCAGATTCTCATCAAAATCTGAATCAAAGTCACTAGATTCAGGTTCCCAACTATCTTTCCCAGATGTTTCAGATAAAATTTGATCAATATTGTCGTCAGTAGTATTCATTATTTAAAATTTTGGGCTGCCGAGTCGACTAGCGTCTTGCACAAATTTTCCCAAAATGGCGAGTACCGCTTCGGCATGTCACGTGAACCTCGAACTCGCAAAAAAACATCAATTTTTATTTAAAAACTTTAAATATTTTTTTAATATATTTTTCTTCCCAAATGTATGATAAAATAGGTATAGAACACTTGAAAAATAAAAAATACTATATTTTATTAGCAAAAAAACCCAACGTATATAGTTGTACGCTCTCTATAGAAGAGGAATGAAAAGAGTTAAATACAACTATCGGCCTTGATGCTGTAAATGCTGATATGCTTATAATTAAACAATTGCTTAAGACTAAGAACCAAAATAGTAGTTCTTAACTCTAAAAGCAATGGAACTTGCAGAACTCTCAACTTGTTTGTGGTTTGGACATAAAAAACTTTGAACTGTGTATAATTCTTTGGGACCTATTTGCACCCTAAATTATAGCATAAATAGTAGATTGAATATATATATATATATATATAAGCTAAAACTGTCATTAGTTCATGACTGTCATAAAATTAAACTTTTTAATACACAAAAATCTTTTTATTTTTTTAAATTTTTGTATTGGTTTCCTTCCAGATGCTGCTGTGAGTGAATCCGATGAGAGTAAAGAATTGCCAGCAGTGCCTGCAGCTCCAGATGCTAAGGACAAGTTAGAGAGTGATGTAGACCTTTCAGGAGAAGTTGATGAAAAAGAAGAGAACACATCAGCAACTGATTTAGATAACACATCAGCGGGTGATTTAGATAACACGTCAGCAGCTGATTTAGATAACACATCAGCAGCTGATTTAAATGATGATGAGATTGTTGCAGCATCTACCCCTGCAGAATCTGTTAAAACTGCTGCAAAAGCTAGAGGTGGAGGTACAGCCAGGAGAGGTAGGGGTCGTGGAAAAGCCAAGAAATAAATCAATCATGTTCTGAAATTGGTAGCTGGGGGTTGCAGTATTTATTTATATATGTGTTCTTTGAAAACGTGCTACCTTCCTGTGCTTTGGCTTCTATTATGAAAAATTTATTTTTCTTAAGACACATTTACTACTTTTAACCTTTTTTTTTTAACTGGTTTAAATAAATTTATTTTTAAAAATCTGCAACCACAACTCACTCTTAGTCACCATTTTGTTTCTTTTTAAAACATGAAATTGAACAATTTATTTCTTATCTTCTCTATTACTACTCCTTTATTATCTAATTCTGTAAGCAATCAACAGTATTGTATAACATAATCTAGTTTTAGTACCAGTACCTAGTGACAGGACTGATTACAATTTTAAGTTATGTTAGTGCTTGTTTTTTATACAAGCAAGCTACTGAAACACTTTATTTGTTTGACATATTTTTAAAGTTTTAATATGTATTTGCCATTGTAAGTTATAGCCAATATTTTTTATTTAAAAAATTGACACTAGCCAACATAAAATGTAAGGATACAAAACTATGTTAAGATGCAAAAAGCAAATGTTTGCTAATTAACAGAGTTCTATTTGCGTGTATTGGCCATGTTTAATTGGTAAATTAAGATTTGAGTTGAATTGTAGCAGAAAGCCAAATAAGAATATTATGTGCTGATTTATAGTGAAATTTCAGTGAGTTTATGGAATTATCTGCACAATGATGGTTAATTATCATTGACAAACATTCACTCCTCCATTTTCTTAATTAGGAAAAAATATTTTATTTAATTTTTTGAGATCCCTTTTACTTAAACATGAAAAGTATTATTTAATTTTAAAAATATGTTGGTGTTCTGTTGCCCTCACTACCAATTTGGAATTTTATCGTCCATTTTTGAGATTGCTGTTTTTACTGTTTTCTATCAGTTTGCAATGGCTATTTTTCACAATCCTGCTGATTTAACTGAACTAAGAATACATTTGAAGGTTGGTAATCAAAAAAAGAATTGCTTGCTATCATTTTTTTTTTTAATAAAGATTTGAAAGTATTGTGAAATATGTTTTTTACTGTTGTATTTAATAGTACTAGAAAATAATAAACAATTAATATAAGTAAGGAATAGGTTTGACAAGTATGTTAACTTTATAAGACCTCCATGGAAACATCATGTTTCCTTCTGCTTTGATAATATTTGGTGTTAAGTGTTATTTTAAGTTAACATAGTTAAATACAAGATAAATTTGGTGAAATTTTTTGAAAAAATAAGGTAAAAGTATTGGAGAATCATGCAAATGAAAGTTAATATTGATTTGATTGAACATGGAGGCATTTGTTTTAAAATTGTATAGAAATAATATATGTTGGTTTCTGTTCAAAGTCTAAAAATTACAAATCTTCTCATGGCGATGTATCTGTTGTAAGTTAATAAATGTTTGAATTATTACTATCACCACAGCTGTCAAGCATTGTTTTAGAAGAAAATAGAACTATTCATTTATACTTGGTCATATCTTTATATCTACATTTTTTTAAAATCTATAGTGTTGTTTTTTTTTTTGTTTTAATATTGTATATAGTATTTTTTCTTAATGAGGGTTTATGTATTTTGATTACAAATTTTTTCTTAACCACTTAATTACAAACTATATGTTTCATGGATGTCACTAGAAGAGCCAAGCAGTTGCATGAAGAGATGGCATGTACTTTGTTGAAAATATTTAGACCCAGTTACAGTAGTGAAGTTACTTGCATGTTAAATTTTGTTAGCCTAAAAAATTGGAATCAGATTCAGAATTTAAAAGTAACATACTTGAGACACAATGATACTAATTACAGGGTTAGAGGATCATACTGTTCCTGGTCACTATCTTTTATACTTGAGAACCCATCTCATCTTTAGTTTAAACAAATATTTTTCACTACGATAAATATGTTGACCATATTCTAACACTCATGAATATATACTATATCAATATAAAAATTATATTAACAAAAAGTAAAAGATATTTTATAACTAAGGTGAACAACACATTGTTTCCTTTCTAACCCTTGTCTTATTGAGTAGAATATCAAAACGAAACATGATGCTAAGAAGAAAAATCCCTCTACTGAAAAAGGTTACTAAAAATATTGGTGGGAGTCAATTTTAAATATGCTATGGAGTAATGTTTGGGGCTAGGTCCTAGCCAAGTGACACATTTATCCAAAATGTTTCTAGAATTGTGTATGTTGTTGAATCGAATACTTTTTGTTACATTTCATTTGTTACATTTTGTCTACTTTTGTGTTGCTTTGAAACCAAATAAACATTACAAAATTTGTCAGGTTTTTGTTTCAATTGTCAGTGACAGGCTTGTTTGGTTTTTATCTTTTCATAAAGAAAATTCCTTTCTATAAACTACCTGTTTTTAAAATGTTAAATGAACTTGAAGATGCATTGGTTAAGGCTGGAGTAGAGGAGAATGAAGCCTGCCATGGTAATTTTCACAGAATAATCTGGTGGTAGCTACCATAATGAATTTGATCAAATAATGACAGATGTGAAGGGTGTATAGTTGCAGGCAACCACTCATATTTCAGTATACAAAAGTTACTAGAAACAAAACTATACCAGTAGGGATGTATTTAAGTGAGACACAGAAAGCATAATTGAAAGCATGTCACTTTGACCCAGACATGTGGCAACATGTTTTGACCATACACAAGGGCTCAATGCAACATGAGGCTTACAGAACAAGCTGCTGCTGAACACAAAAGACAAACCAGAATAGGTATCTGGAGTTATCCTATCCATTTTCTACACCAGAACATTTTGTGCCAGAAGTGGCCTGATCAGCCATCAATGCACCCACATACAGATCCAGCAACAGGTCATGATAAAATTCGACAGATGAACTATCATGCAATTGATATATGGACCCTAACCAAGAAACGTGGGAGAGGGAAAACCTCAGAAAAATATGGGCCTGTAGCTGTACAGGGTATGATGGATGGAGAATTCTGACAAATTAAGAAATGTACCGAAACCCAACCATAGATTTGGCAATTAAAAGGGACGACTGCAATGGACATGGACAGATCCTTTACGAAATGCCAAATTATAGAGCAGTTTACAGATGGCTCACCTGTCCAATACTGAGACAGGTTGATGATGTGGAGCAGGGGTGCCCAACCTGCAGTGACAGCATGAGGTACAGGTTGTCTTTGAATGCAGTCCAACCAAAAATATTAAACTTACAAAGTTAATGAGCTTTCGACTACAAACGTGATTAACCTTTACAGGTCTTATGTCTTTCTAGTTAAAATCGCAAATTCCATAAATTTATCAATGTCGACTATTTGGGGAACTCATTTACTTTTTGAAATTAAGATGAATAAGTTGAGGTAAAATGTTTAAAAAAATTTACGATTTGTGAAATGGAATCAAAAACAAAATGTGTTCCAGAACTTGAAAACCCCTAAAAATGTGTCATTTTCAATACACTTGATATATGTACATAACTTTAACATGCGTGTTCATGGTAAAAAAAACAACTGATCAATACAATGTTTCAAACTATAAAAGCATTTAAAGTGAAACTGACACTATGGAAATCTCACATTAAGGCAAACATTTTGATGCTTTTCAACACGTTTTCAAAACTACAGGTTTTAAAATTGATACAAGAATTTTAGTTTTAAATCTTTTTATATTAACTTCACTTTTGTTCGTGTATTTGTGGCAAAATCTTCGGAAGGCTAACTGACCCACTTCCTATCATGCTGTAACTTGGCTCATAGACTTGCTGCCAATGACAACACATTCATTCAAATTTTCAGCCCCACACCCAAAAATCAGTTTTTCAAGGGGAAAATGAATGAAATATGATTTTTTCAATAGGTGTGTGTTTTGGTGTGGAGATTTATTGTGCAGCTGTTGCTATGTGCTTTGTATTTGTGTAGTATTTGGGTTTAAATTTAAATATATATTTAGTCTATTAGGTTTTACATGCCCTAAGTTTGATAAAAACCATTCCCATACTAAAAAACAGTTGCTACAAATCACAAAACTGATGAGTGCAAACTAAAGTGTATAAGAAAGATGTATAGGAAAAAACTAATTTTTAGGGGTTCAAAAATTTTAAGATATTTCTTCACATAGAAAAATGAACCTCTCTCACAATCATGGCAGCTATTTGGAAGTTCCTACATTTGTGAGCAGCTATTTACAAGAATAAAGCACACATACTAAAACCAGAAAAAAAAAACCTGACGAACACCTTGAGGGCTTGCTGAGAATAGCAAGTACTAACCTTCTTCCATTGAGCTATCAAAGCATTTGTGTCTCAAAAAAAAATTATGTGTAACACCTCACTAATTTCATGTTACTTTCTTGTCTTATTACTTTTGCAATTAAAAAATCATGAATTAATTTTTTTTTAAGTTTAAATTACTTCAGCTAAACTTTATTCCAGGCATTAATATTCGTATGCTTATTTCTTTATTAATCCGTTGCGCAAATCTGGTAGACAGCAGCCAGGAGCTGCCTAATGATTATGTGAAAGTGAAAGGACTGGAAAGTTGGATGGTGGGTGTTTTTTTCTCTCAAACGTGTGGAGTTGCGCATATCATCACGACTCATTTATGTTACAAAACATTGTTGTACCGGTAGTTATAAAAATGAACTTTCCATTGGTGTGAAGAATTTGAAGAAAGTACTATAGTTCCATTATTTTCAAATATTTTTCTTCAATTCAATTAAAGTTTTCAAACTGAATTTTTAAAATAAAATAGCTAAGGTAGATATATTTTCTATACATCAAACAAAAGGTCAAGATCTGCTCTTTCACATGGTGGTAGGATTATTTTGCTAACTTGAATAGGTGCAAAGCCTCGACTGTTTGAACCAGCACTCGTGAAAATGGTGTATAATTTGTCAAAATTAATACTTTTCCAACACACCAAGTTAAGCACAAGTTAAGGACACAAAAGTAACATATTTCGACAGAAAAGATTTAAACTTTGTTCACATTTAAATTTTATTTGTTTAACACTACCAGAAGTGGGTTCATTTTTTTTTTTTAAACTATGAAAAAATGACCTTAAAAAGCAAAGTTTCTCCGGTTTAGTCTACCTACTTAAAAACAATTCAGCAAAAATTGTTTAACAAATTCAAGGATAAACTTACAAACATTTCAAATTCTGTCTCAAGGTATATCATCTCACATACCGGTAAATAGAAATACCAAGTTTCATTGCATGCCATCACATATTTAAAACAACAATCTGTAAATAACAAATTTGAAATTTGGTTAAATGCCATGACAAGAATGAGATGAAACAAACTTGTAAAACAATATGAGAAATTCAAAAATCTGTCCTCTCTTAAAATAATTTTTTTTAAACGTAATCATCAAACTTGAGAGCATTCTAAATCCCAATCTTCAACGGGTAAATAACCATTTTGTACGGGTGAATTATTTATTTCCCTCCTCTCATTTGAATATGCTGCATTATCTCCACATTCATCAATTCTGTCCAGTGTGTCAGTATCAGAACCTTCATTGGACATTTCATCTTCTCTACCTTCCTCAGAAGCCAAATCAGTGACTAAGATGTAAAGGCCATCATCCGAAAGTTTGTGCAATGAACGATTTAGACTTGCTCTGTAAAAATTAATAAAAAGTTTCTCCATAAGCAAGAAATGTATCTCTTAATAGAAAAAGTATTCATAAGTTACATTATTGCAAAGTCTTAAAATTTCAAGATTTTCATTTCAGAAGTGATTCTCATCCCTGGGATGATCCCATAAGAATGTTTATCCATCCCTTATGGATACTTCAGTAGAGCCCCATTATGTTGTTTTGTTTTTTGATCCATGACTGCTTGACCACCATGGTACAGACTGTCTATCCATCATGATACATGATTGTCTATCCATTATGATTCATGACTAACCCCAATGATACAAACTGTGTAACCTGATGTATCATGATACATGATTGTCAATTGGACCATTTTGACCTAATTAGTTTTCTGATTCAATTTGAACACATTAGAATTCTTATACCACTTCCACTTATATTTACTATCCTCTATAAAAAAACCTACAAGATGATGTATGCAGGATCTGTGAGGAAAGATAATTTGAAATGCTTTTTACCTCACACCATTCTCATCACACAGTGACTTCACATTAGGAAATTTGGCAATCCTTGAGACCTCAACAGCCATTGTCTCACCACTTTCAAAAGCTGGATCATTTCTCTGAGACGCCACAAAAAACCGGAGGCTGTAATTGACCTCAATGTCTATCTTCTCTTCCAGGGTCAATACATCTTTTTCATAAGGGAAATCTGAGTCAGCTATCTGTGGAAAAAAATAGTATTGTCTAAAAAAAATTTTCAGCTGTGGAAATGATTATAGATGTTTATCTTAACTATCCATTAGAGCTTTTCTCACTCCATTTTTTTCAGAATCTCCAAAGCTTTGCTGAGGCTAACGCAGATAAGTTTTAAAAAAATTCTACTGATAAAAATATTAAATAAATTTAAAAAGTTGTGGAAACAATAATATAGAGGAACAACTGTATTGCTTCTCCCCCTTCTTTAATGACATAACTCCCATGGAGTTGTCAAATACTGATCGGTGCACGCTGTCACACTCAAAACATGCATATGTCTCAGGTGGACATGCATCAATGATGAGATCAAGGACGGTAAAATAGACATGCATCAATTAGGGAGTAATTTGATTACATATTATATGAATCAAATGTACAACCATGCTCATCTAATTCTCTGGTCACCATATATCTACTGACTAACTCATATGGCTCTTCAAAATTTACTTATCTGTAAAATGACATACTGTATAATTTATACAGCTCTGCATAATAAATTTATCTTAAACATGACATTCTTATTAATTCATATGGCTCTGCATAATGTATTTAACAAACATACTTACTAATTCATATGGCTCTGTATGACTGGTAGACATGTGTTTCCCAGAAGTCTCTTCATCATGCTGTTGAAGAAAAATGGCTGCCTGCGAGCAAGGCCCTAAGTGGTGTGTGTCTTGCTTAGACAGAAATCCCACACCAGTAAATTCTACAGTATAACCATACTCTTCACAAACACCTTGACACCTGTAAACCATTTATTTTTGTTTTTTAAATTGAAATAATGTATGTATTTTAAACACAGAAGAAATATTTGACTCTTTTATGACTCAACTCTCAAGGAAATGGGCTGATATCTGATAATAAATAAAGAAAACTAAATTCTCACTTTCCAAAAATACCACTGACCAAACATATTATGGTCTTGCCCAAAGTGAGATAAACATTTTTATTAAAAATAATATTCTCCATGAGAGTGACAAGCATGAGAATGAGGTAAATTTCCTTTTTACTCAAAACTCTGCACATTTTTCTTACTCAACTGGAAAAATAATTGCTAAACAAATCATCATTCCTTAAAATTATAGCAACCGAATTAGGAAATCTGCTATAAAGTTTGTAATGACTTTGCACACACAAAATAATGTAAAAATAGATTGTACTTTTTTAAATTTATTTTCTGTACCGGTTACATGTAAGCAAATTGAAGGTAAAATTACTATTTTTTAACTTAATAAAATATATTTTCCCACTCACTAACCATTGTTGAAATTCTTGTCTGTTCCATTCAAATTTATGGTCCCAATGGCGAAATCCATTGGGGTCTGAGTTCTTGAATAGAACATTAAACTCAGAGTTGGGTGTTGTCACTATGCAAAGTTTGGGTTTGAGATTATGGAACACATTGTGAGTAACATTTCTCAGAACATCTGGATAAAGATGTTCAATTCTGTATTTTTTAAAATGATGTCATTAAAAAAATACACATTATCTAAAATAAAATATGAAATAATTGCAATTAAAAAAACATGATAACCTGAGAAATTTGCAATTCAATAAACATTGTAGCTTGAGATATTTGTAATTTTTATTAACACAAACACAATGGGGTATTTCATCAAATGTCTTAAGTTAAAGGTCAGTCTTGTGCAAACGCTATATTACACTTAACAATGTTCACGTTTTTAATTTTAATTGCAATGAATTACACTCTTCTGGAATCATTTGCCAAGAATCATATGTAAAGAATCAGATTGCAAAAGAAAATTATGGTTCTTTGGCCCTCTTTATAAAATAAGAACATTTTCACCATAGTTGGTCTAGTTTTGTTAGCACACTTTCAGCACAATCATCACCATGGCAGGTCTAGTTTTTTAATCATACTTTTAGCTCAAGCATCACAACAGTTGGTTTAGTTTTGAAATCACACTTACAGATAAAAAAATCTCTACGGATGGTCTGGTGTTGAAATCACATTTACAGCTAAAAAATCAACAAAGCTGCTCTAAATCTATAAGCATACTTTCAGCTTAAAAATCACAACAGGTGGTCTAGTTTTGAAATCACAATTACAGCTCCATCATCACCATAGTTGGTCTAGTTTTGAAATGACATTTATAGCCCGAAAATTCACCCAGGTTAGTCTAATTTTGATATCGCACTTACAGCTCAATCATCACCACAGCTTCATATCCAACAAGTCTTGAATCAGGTACTTCAGCATTTCCAACAAACAGGGATACATGCAGTGGTTTTGAACGCCTATTTATGTAGTGACGTAACTCTGGAACAATCATTCTTTGCTTTGATTTAAGCAAATCTCTGTCGATGTCAACCATGGCTATAGTTTCAAGGCAGGAGACAGACGTGAGTAATCTGATAAAGTTGCATTCTGAACAGCCAAGATCAATTACCTGAATAGGTATTTTTATAAAAAATAATTTACATTTAATAATATAAAACATCTTGACAGCACAGAAATAATTAAAATTTAATATAAAGGGTTTCTTATAAGCTACAAAATAATATGCAGTATATACAAGCTGATGGATTGGAGTTCAATCCCCAGCAAAAGCCTAGGCAAGCAAAACAACCACTAGCATCCCGGACAGATGGGACTCATTAACTTTGGAAGGCAACTCATTTAAAAGAAGTAAAATTCTGAATTCAAAACCGCAGATGAAGTCCCATAGGCAGCATGGCATTGACACAATGAACATTCTGGCAACTCCTGCAACGCTACTGGAGCCAGCTGTATCATCAACACATGATTTTCGCTTGGGTTATCCAGATGTGTGGAGAGAGGTGATTTGCTGTCTTGGGAACCAGCTTATCCTCCTAAAGAATAATCCCAGGCCTTGTGATTTTTGTCCTGCAAAGTCTACACTATAGTCACATTGTGACGGATGGATGCCAAAGAAATATTTGTAAAAATACACTATTACTTTTTAAAAAAATATTCTAAACTTACACTTTTGATTCTATATTCAGAGAGGAATTTCAGAGCTAGAATATACCGCTGGGTGTACAGTGGTGGACAAAAATAGACTCCCTTTGATTTCTGGCCCTCTTCACGTGTGTCCCCTTAGGTAAAATTTAATAATTTAAAAAAATTAAAACAAAACCAAGGGTTAAGTAAATAAAGTAAACTGATGCATTGTTTCCAAATCTTAAATTTAAATTAATTCATTTGCAACTGAGAATTTCAAGTCTTATAATAATAAATTCTATGAAAATAACAGGTGTTCATATTTGATAAAAGTGTGTTGAAAACATATTATATTTAATTTATGTATGTGGTATATTTTGTCAGTAACTATGAAGTAGTCAATTACTAAAAATATTAGTAATATATGTTTTAAAATCAAATAAAATTTATGAAATATAAGTGCTTAAGTTAAAGTACCCAGCCATGACATGAACACTGTTGTTTACTGCTTCATTATACTTTATGAATACAAAGTAATACTTAAGACTTTTGGAGTCTAAAGTGTTGTTTAAATTTGGGGCTCTTAGAAGTGCAGTGCAGTCCATAACTACAAGTAACTAGTTTAATATTTACCTTCTTCATAACAATCTTTGTTATTTTGCTTGGCTGTATCTGTTAAATGATTTTCCATCCTGATATGTACATACATGGATTATTATTACTTTGCATTTTTTTACTTTTACACTTGTTGTAATTTTAAATTTTTGGCAATCCTCCGAAGTCCGGTCCCAAATTATTTCGTATGAAAAGAATTGCAATGCACAGTGTGTATTGTTAGAAAACAGCAGAAATGTCAGTCATAGCTTTTGCGAATAACTGTCACTTTACAAACCAGTCAGTAAATACTAAATGTTGTCATTGGCACATAGCATTTGCAAATAGCAGCTGAAAACGTTCTGCTGGTGACTGTTGCCTGAAAGGCCCCCAAGTAGCTGGCAAACAGATCGTGACTAGCAGGCCTACCACTGTGATAACGGAGTTTACGTTTTGCTTGCATCCAATGTCCTTCAATAGTTTCTGTGTGAATGTCCTGGTCTACTGGATCAACAAATTCATGCGCGTGCACAATGACAGCTTGAGCATAAATCCCGTTGTCTGTTGTGAGCTGACAGACATTTTGATATCCTCGCCAAGCATCCGTGACGATAGTTGTCCCTGGTAACACATGATTAGTAATAATGCGCTCGAGTGTTTGTGCATCTCGGCGGCCGACAACCTCCATCCAACATCGTCCACTAACGCAAACATAAATTTCAAAACAGAATGATGCCCAAGACTTTTAAGTAAGGATTAATCATTGGAAATAATTTGGGACCGGACTTCGGAGGATTGCCAAATGTTTTTTACAAAAAAAAATCCATTTTTTACATTCGTTAAAAATCAACTAGTTTATTACCATTGCTTTCAGTTTTCAGGTTGTTATGAACATATTTTTGTGATTTCTTTTAACCCTTTTATTACCGCTGAACGGCAATAAAAAATTTGAAACAAGAAACTTTCGGTATTTTTCATTCTCTATCCGATTCACTTATTAACTTCTCTATAGATTAATGAATAAAGAAATATATAGCACTGAAATAAGACGTCTCCGTGACGTCCTTGGTATTGCAGAATAGTTCTTTGCCTCTTTGTTACGAAGACAATGTGACTTCCTTGGTAATTGAAAGTGTGTGATCGTGACGTCGCGATTCTCTCAGTCTCAGTGATCATAGTTTAAAAATAAAATAAGCATAGTTTTTGTATAAAAGAATAATGTAAAAATTGTCTGTGATTTAGTGTTGATAAGTGTAATTTTTTTCCACTATTATTGTGAGTCACATTGAAACACCACCCACCCCGCCCCCACCTCCTCACAAAATTGTGGGAGGGAACCCCCACCACCACCTAGGCCTAGACACATGAAGTCATGATTTATGGATGGTCTCTTACGGGAAATCAAGCCTACTTACTTAAAGCCTTAAAAGTAATGCCTGCTATATACTATATATATATAATTAAATATTAAAATTAATAATATTATAATTATATATACTATAGCATAATGTATGGATGGGCTAATGAAATCAAAGCCCTAAGGCCAGGGCGCTTAAACAATAAATTAATAGTAGATTTATTTTTACTACATTTTGTCTGTTCACTGTTAAAATTAAAATTAATTATTAATTAATAAATGCTTTTACTTTACTTTAAATTTTAAAAAGAAGAAAAAAAAGATTTAAATAAATACTTTTATGACCGTTGTATTATTTTCGAATATATTAGTATCACTATAAGGTGGCCTGTATCATTTCTTGGTAAATAAAAATCTCCAGAGTGATTCGATAACACATTTTCATTTAATTTTATCTCATAAAAAAAATCGACGACAGATAAAATTATCTTTTACTTTGTTTATGTTACGACATCTTCTGATCTCCTTTGCTGAAAATCGATTAATCTATTACTTCCGGTTCTTGTTGTCGAGGAAAACAAACTGGAAACCAACACTCAAAACGCTGTACTTAGAATAGATTCAGATTAGTTATTTTGCCATCGCGTCAGCAATCGATCGGCTTGACTGTTTGTTACATTGTATTCAAAATTACAAAAAGTTATATTTTGGCAGTTAATAGCATTTTTTTAAAAAATGTGTCAGAGGAGTAAGCGATTAATTTAACAAATGATATAATATCATCTATATTTTATTTTATATTATGGTGACAAGACAAGTTCGAGTAAGTAAGTAACGTCAATGCTTCAAGTATGAAGTAAACTCACCTCAGTCTGATCATATAAAAAAATTAAAGTTAAGGTCTTAGACTTTTAACTTTCAGTTTAAATACAAGACAATGGTCGTGGTCAGTGCTTAGTGATGTGACTACTACTAGTTGTAAATTGTAATGAAAGAATATATTTAATTATTTCATTCTCAAGGCCGATACTTTTGAAAGCTGTGTTAGATACATCTTTGCAAAGTGGCTGTGTAAAATGCAGTGTACCTAGCAAAACCATGGACAGAGGGCTTCATACACTGTGGTAGTGTACCTAGCAAGATTATGGACCTGTGTTAGTGTGTACACCACAGTAAAAAATTTTCCATTCAGACCATTGGCCTGGTCATAAAATATGGCTGTTAAATATGATCTTGTGTGGTCTTGTGGTAGAGTAAACACCAGTCAATATCATTAGGGACCTCGGTATCGACCGGAAATACCTGAAAAACGGGTATCGTATTTTCGTTGTCATTTTGGCGACCTCTACTTTTTAATTTACTGAGGGTATCGTTGTTTCGCGTTTCATAATCGATATTAAGCATAATAATATAATTTTACTTCCGCCAATTACTTAAAGCCGACATCTTTCCTGTTATATTAAGAGTTCGTTTGATTTTTTGGGTCAAGATTAAAGCTTTGAAAATTGAAGTTAAAAATTGGTCAACTTCACTCAAGAATAACTTAATTTAAAAAATGCGCTCTTAAATAAAAATACTCCGCTCTTTTAGTTTATATGTTCATTTAAAACATATCCAAAATTCATGAGTGTAGACCATGGGTGGGCTTCAAAAACGAATTTCCAAGATGTCATTTTTTTAGGCTATGTAATTTGTCATCATGGCCACCGTGCTTGTCTGCTTATTTCCAATTATCGATAGCAGCCGTGGGGTAATTAATAATTCATTAAGTTGGTTATCCAGAGTGTAAATGGGAAATATAACTAATAATAAATCATTTTATATAAATAAAAAATGTTTTATAACATAAATAATTATTATTGGCTTATTGAATATCAGTGATTTTAATTTTTGGGTTGGTTGCCATGGACCTGGCTGACACTGACATGGGAATGATAAGCTCTTGTCTTTGACTTAGATAGTGATAGGCTTAGTTAAAGTATTATAATAGTATTTATACTATTATAAATGATTTAAGGAGTGGGATAAATAGCTTTTATTACAACTAATATATTTATCATTTATATTAGTTTATATATTTATAGATAAATATTTATTTGTATATATATAATATATATAATGACCATTAGGCATTAGGCTAGAGGCCTTGTATACATATAATATAGTATAATACAAAGTATACTATATCAGGGTTAAGGCCTAGACCCAACCCAACTAATTTGTAGGGCCTATTATAATAAATTATATTTAATGATATTTTAGGATATGTAATAAAATTTTAATGAATATTGTGATTCTTACTTAAGGCATAAACTAAGTAAAACATTTTGAAATATTCACTTACCTTTGGTATTGAAATATCCTATATTTAATCACATATCACAATATTCCACAAGAGAATTATTATATAATCCTCGGTTTCTCAAAGAAAAAACACACTTTCTGGCACTACAATCCAAGAATTACTTAAGATATAATAACCTGTACTTACCTCTAGTAAATGACTAGAACTTATTTTATTAACAGCTAAAGTCAAAGTTGATTCTAATAATACATGTGGATTTGTAAAACAAGATTACAAACTTAAAATAAATGACATGCTGATTGTTTTGTCATACTCATAGGAATAATATAATATATAGTATACATATGTAGAAAATGGTAAAATAAAAAGTGTAATTGTCAATTTTAAATAAATAAAACAAATAATCCCTTTATTATTTGTTTATGCTTATAAATGCTAAACAATTCCACAGAAAATCTGCAATTAATATCTAAAGAATATTATTATTATTATGATTGTTGGGAAATTAAAAACAAAATTAAAACAAAATTTTAATTAATTAATTACAAATAAGTGATGAGTCAGCATTTTTATACATTTTTAATAGGCAAATAATAAAGTTTTTTTTTTTAATATTTGCGGCACATTAACAAAAACTAATGTATATTTTGTGGCTTTATTTAGAAGTACTCTTATTTAACTATGTTCCCTGTAAATATTATATTTTTGTCTCATTTTATAATAAAGTTATAGGCGTTAAAAAAAAAGCAAAATGAGGGTCACAAATGTGGAGGAAAATCCCTTAGTAAAAAAGTGGTTTTGAGGTCCCTACTAAAAAATTCATAACTTTTGAACCACTTGAGCTAGAAAGTTGATCTTGGTGTTTTTGTAATCTATTCTCCAGGCTCTATACAGCTGTAGTATTTTTATATTTTTAAAAATGTTTTGAAATTTTCATCAAAGTGGCTAATATCATATTTTGCGATAAATTCAAGTTTTACAAGATCTGTCTTTTTCATCTCAATTAAATTATAATTAAATTATTATGTTCAGTTGTAACAGTAATAGTAATATTATTCAAATTTTAAAATATTTTTTAGCATTTTAAATATTTAAATGTAAGTTATATTCCAATTTTTAAGTGTTTGAATTTGAACAAGATGTGCTGGTCTTAAAACTCATAATCATAAGCCGTTAAATGGCATTAAGATTAACGATCCCTTTGGCTCTCAAAAGTGTTTTATAGTGAAATTATTAGCACAAACTCTTAGGACCAAAGCAAAAGTATTTGCAATGGTATGCTATTCCCAAGTTCAGCTAATATGATAATCATACTCAATAATTTGAAAGATGAAGACATAGTTACAGTGAAAATAAGGAGAAATGGGACAGGATTCGCGCTAAATTCAAGGGGTTTTTATAAAGAAATTGATACATGCAAGGGTTAGTTAATGGCAGAAGCATCGCTTGAGCCCTGCAACACCTCTGACTGCAGGGGACCTTGAATATTTAAGGGGACCAAAATTGTTATGCAGAACAAATTTAAACTATCAACTACAGGGGGCATAAAACCAAAAAGTGGCAGGGGGGCCTACACAAGTCACACAACGGCCTGGATATGTGTTGTCCATAAAGGACCTCTGAATAATTAATACAACTTTTCTTATTCCTAAACCCCCCCCCCCCCCACAATGGGGGGGTGCTGATGTACACAGGCGCTTACAGCAATTTAATAGTGTGAAATGCCAGGAAATTTTAAATATAATAACAATGTTAAAGAGCACAGAGTCACTAGATTAAAATTTTTGTGGCAGTGGAGAGTCATGGTTTTAAAAAAACATAGTGTAGCGCCTAAAGCAATTTAAGGAAATTTGCCCTGGCCCAATGAGGAATGTGACCTCGGGGTCAGGGCTTGGGTATCAGTTACCCGGCAGATGACCAGCCTCTCTCTGTTGCTCTGAATACTTAAATATTGGGAATCACTATGTGTGCTTTAATTTTAAGCTCAGTAATTTATTTCTTGGAAACCCTAGTGTATCATGCTATGAATTATATCTAGTTGGAAAGGTTGTTTTATTCACTACACCTTAGTATATTTACAGTATAGGATATTTTAATATTAAGTAATTAAGTGCCCAGGGTTTGTCATTTTTCCACAGAAAATCTGCTAGAAGACAAGTGGTGGAGCTTCTTGGTCTGTGCGTGATGCACATGCTCTCTTGTATGTTTGTGCGCTACTTTTTATGGGGCTCACACTAAGGATTTGTTTGATTTGAGGTTTTAACAGCATCCCTGAAGTGTATCACTGTGCACCGCGGCCCATTTGGATGCTCTATATTGTCCTTTTTCCTAGGCTCTTTTTCTTCAGCCCTTTTTCTTTGGACTTTTTCTTTACTTTTTCTTCATAGCAGACTTTTTCTTTAGCTGTTTCTTTAGAGTTAGAGTTTGTAATACATTTATAATAAAGCTATAGTTCACAAGAAGTGAATTTGTCTAGTGCATATTAGTAAAACTGTCAGCCTCGGTCCACCATCACCAAACACACCCACCTTGCTACAGTTTTTGGCATAACTAGCAGGATTTTAAAAGTGTGTCACTCACACACGTACACCACCCTGCAGTAGCCATCCCTCATCATACTACTACGTTTATAAATCAGTATGATATGGGTCCATCCATTATGTACTCATTTGGTGCAAGTGGAGGGGTTGTTGATTTTTTATTTTTTGCATACTTGTGGATGGGGGGGGGGGAGAATGGTGGGGGCGGGTTTGCAGAAAGAATGTACATTTAATTGTTAATAATTAACCTGAATAATAATACATCTAATAAAGCCAACTGTCCTAAAAATCTGTGAAATCAATGATATTTAATTATTTTTAAAAGTCTTTTAAAAACACTGCATTTTTATCTTCATATTACTGTTGCTTTGTGTTTACAATAGCTTGATATCACAATAGTAATGGTTAGCCTCTCACAACTTTAACGTCAAGTCCACTGTACATAATTATGTGCGTGTGATGTATTTGTGATGTAATTATTTCATTGGCCCTAACCTAATAGATACAATGGCAAAAAAAAGGTGTTAAGACCCACAGGTCAGACCTCTTTTCTAACCCCCTTATCCCATGCCACTGTCACAGAGACTATTATAATGTCCTCCTATAATTTACACATTGCCTCTGTGGGGGATGCCACAAGTTAGGATATAAAATGCGTTTTACTTATGAAGCAGCCAGATAAAACCAATAAAATGCTAAAAATGCTTTGCTCTTTACAAGTACCTTGCAACAAAGGTGTCAATCTTACTCAATATATTCCCCTCAAAAACCAAGAAATGCAAATTAAAAAGTCTTAGCAAAAACAAAATTTACAATGATAGGAACGTCGTTCCCATGCATTCCTGCAGGACTCAAGCCTTATGCACAATAAAAATTCATTTACTAGTTTTGTTTAATCTTAATTAAATCATTTTTTTTAATGAGTTCGTTTTAACAAGAGAATAACATTAATTTTACAAGTACTGGTTAGGCAAAAGAGTTAAAGCCTGGCTAAGACCATCCTTTTGCTGTGTGTATTATACTGCTGTGGTGTATGCAGGCCAAAGCCAATGATTTTTCTAGGTACACTGCCATGGCCATATTTTTAAGTTTTGTTTTGTCAGTATACGTTATAAATTAATATAAATGTTATTAGATTTTTCTGCCCCTTACATGAAAAAAACAGTGCAGATGGCAGAAAATGCTGTCCCTCCCATATAAAGAAAAAAGAGCCACATTGGTGAACCACCCCTCCTACCATCCCTTCCTATGCCCGTGAATGTTGGCATTTATATTATTACTGTACTACTATTAGTAGGCTATATAATTTTAGGAGGGCCGGGCCCAACAATTGCAGGGCCCTTTGTGAAACGGATTGCGCAGGGCCCAGTCTGAGTAGGGATAAGGATAATAAGTGAAAATTAAGATTTTGTATTAGAAAAAAAGTGTGGGGCCCACTGCGGCCGCATAGGTTGCAGTGGCCTAAGGCCGGCCCTGAATTTTAGTCCATCCAGTGCATTTTAAGATTAACTAAAAATAATATATCATGAACCTACTCTAGCAAGACTATTAATAGTAACATATCTTTAAAAAATATACTAGTTATAAAATAGATAGTGAGCTACACTACAATATTAAATATTAATGAATTTATTATTTTTTTCTAGAAATTTTAGCATCAGAATAACATATATGAGTCAAGAAAGGTACCTTACTGATGGCATCACCTGCGAAAAAGGATGACAGAAATTACTCTCTTAGTAATTCTGTGTCTCCAACACCCCCAAAAAGCTCAAGAACTCGTAAGAGTACCCGTAATTCAGTTTTTCCTTTCTCTCCAAATGTATCACTTGATGCATTGAGCATCACTACAGTCAGTAGTCACAGTGAAGCTAACAAAAGGTATGCTATTCTGTCAAACATGTATCCATCTTGTTCTCTTGTCACCAGTCACTCAGATGTTAAACATTTTAATATTTTAATGTAAAATAAATTTGTTACATTTAAATTGAATGTGCTGTAAAATAGTGTAGATCATGGACTTATTGAGTTTTTTTATGTGCACATATCAATGGCCTTTAATGGTTCCTTCATATTGCATGATGTTGATCAGAAAACGAAAGCACAGTCGCTGGTTCCATTTGAAACGACGTCTTTTAAGAAGAGGGGTTGTGCCAGTCAACAATAGTCATCCACATTTCCAGCTTCTGTCATGCATCAGAGAAGGGATCAGAAAATTAAATGACAGCAATCCTATGTTGCTGACCAAGGTATATGAGAGTTGTCAAAATTAATTAATAAAACTTTTGTAGATAGGCCTACTTCTCAAATAATACATTTAGAAAAAGAGAGCATATATAAGATACAAGTTATAATTTAAGTTCATTTTGATTTTCTTTTTTTGCTTAAACTTAAGTTAAACCCAATCCTTTTTGTCTGTTAAGAATTATTCAGATTAAAATATTTATTTGCAGTCAGTTTTAACGAATTCAGATTTTGAAGATGTAAAAAAGATTAAAGCCAATTTTGACGGTCAGGTAGGTTGGGTATAGACTGACTATTTCATTAATTTGTTATGTATAGATTTAACGAGTAAATAATACCAAAGTACAGCTGCTATTTTTTTTTCTAAAAACCTGCAAGACTGTATAATTTATGTACACAAATTTGTTTCTAATATGTAAATTAGTCATGATCAGTAATAAAAGAAGGCTTCTGACATTCTTTCTTGAATTTTCATACAGTAACAAAAATCAAAATCTCTAAAAATACTTTGTTTTGATTTTTTTAAATCAGGATTTTGAGTTTGAGAGTTATTCTAGTTCAGCATTTGCAGCCATTCGTATGGGTATTGGCATTGAAGAACAGGAATTCTTAAACTCTATAGCTCCTATTAACCTGCCTTACTTTGAATTTATCAGCAACTCAAAAAGTGGGCAAGATTTTTTTCTAAGGTAACTAAATTAATAAATCTTGGTTCACAAATCTTTCTTACAGTACATTCATTTACACATAATTTCTTATCTATGTGTGTGGTCTAATCAAGGATAAACCCATTTTGAAATTCAAAATATTAAATATTTATTTTGTATTTTATTTTACATAAAAAGTATTGTCAAGTAGAACCTAATTTATATTTTGAAAAAAAAAATTTTTTTAAGAATAAATATATCTTTTATTATTTTTATCTTCACTGAAGATTTATTTTAAATTTGATCATCATATAAAATTTATATTCAAGTTTAACACAGGAGCCTGAGTGGGAAAAACAAAAGAAAAATGTTTTGTCCCCTAAGCCTTCTAACTAATGAATTTTTAAATTTTTATTTCCACAGTCATGACATGCAATATATGTTCAAGTCCAATAGAAAAAGAGATGTTATGTTTTTTTTGTCAGTTTTGAGGTAAATCTTTTGATTAAAGAAATATTACATTTTTTCTTTTTATTCTCCACACAACTATTAAAGATTTATATATTATATTTCTTGAAACCTCATTCTGCATCATTTATAATGTCCCAAAAATATTGAGGAGGTTAATGAAATATGGGGTAGCTGGATAATGTCAACTAAAACATATTTTAAAGAAATTATAGTTAAATAATTAGATTGTTACAGTAGTTCTTATAGTTTGGGAATATAATGCATAGTACTGGTATTCAAATCTTATTTTTTAGTATTTAAAACAAACAGAACCAAATACCACTTCATGGGTTCTGAATTAAATTAACTACTCAACTTCTGCACTTATGCAATGAATTATGTTAGTTATATATAAATAGTCACATTTAGGACCTAATTCAAACTGCAGATGTAGTAATACTAATAAAAAATTTGACATTGACTGAGGGGGGTCAGTTGAATCAGTAACGTTGCACTTGCACCTTATCTAAAAAGCTATTGGGTTAGTCTCATAATATTCAAAACAATGAAAAGCTAGAAAACTTTATCATATAGGTATTGTTTCAGCATTTAGAATCATCTTGTGTTTTTTGTTATCACTTGATAGATTTGAAAAATATAATATAATATCTTTTTCTTGCAACTAAGATTCAATGTTTTAGCATAAAAATTTATGGTTGACTATCTTTTGTCCTAGTGACTACATGCAGCATTTCATTGCTTATCCACACTCTCTGTTGGTCAAATACATTGGTTGCTTTGCCATAAAGTTGAAAGGGAAACGCAAGAAATATTTCCTGGTCATGCAGAGCATATTCTACCCATCAGAGAGGATAGAGGAGAGATATGACATTAAAGGTTGCACAGCCGGGAGACATCAAAATGTAGGTAGAGACATTTATATCTTTAGCTTCACCTCCATGCACTAATAACTTTAATTTTACAGAAAGATAAATTATAGGTTAACAACCTAACTACATACCAGTATATCATGTTGCGCAGCCCTGCGCCCCCCCCCCCCCAAATCATTTTTTTTCCTCCTGTTTGTTTTGTTGTTTGGTTTTTTTCTTTTTAATTTTACAAAAAGAAAAATTAAAGGTTAACAACCTAACTACCTACCAGTATATCATGTTGCGCAGCCCTGCGCCCCCCCCCCCCCAAATCATATTTTTTCCTCCTGTTTGTTTTGCTGCTTGGTTTTTTTCTTATCATAACACTCGGAAGGCAAAAGCTTAAATTTTAAAAGTTTGTTTACTTTAGTAGAGTCGTTGAAAAATGTTAATTGTGGACGTCCATAGTTTTGAAAATTAATATTTGTAAAAATTTGAAATATAATTTATTAAGGAAGTGATCTACCTAAGCACATTGAATGAGAAACATACCATGTCACTGAATCTATAACGCAGATTAAACCACAAAAATCTGGTCACTTCTACCTTGTGTTATCCATGTTTAAGACTGGAGAAGAAATTTTTTTTTCCAGAAACGCATAATAAAATTAATACAAGATCATTTTAGCCTAATCCAAACTCAATTTGTTAATACTTTTGATTTTTTTTTAGCCAAATGAAGAAGGTTCAACCATTATAACTGTGTTGAAAGATCAGAATTTCTTAAATGAAATGCTGGATTTCGGTAAATATGAATTTCAAAGTTAAATGAATTTTTTTATTTAACTTGCTGGTAAATTAGGCACTATCATAACTCTTAGCTATTTATCTTAAAGGCTGAATTAAAAAGATATTTCTGGGTATCAGGTGGGATCTGATAAAGAATGGCAAAATTTAATATTCTAAATTGTTTGAGATGTACTCAAATAAAGCTGATATAAATTATAGGTTTTGGACAGTCTAAAAAACAAATTATCCCACCAAAGAAATATTTAAGAAATTAAAGACACATAGCCAATGTAAGTAGTTAAAAAAATTCAAACACAACTCATACTTTAAAGGAAATATGCACCATTGATATTGGATGCATATTTTAATAGGTGATCAGGGAGATTGGTTCATAGAGCAGATCAAAGCGGATTCTCAATTCTTGTGTGGTCTGAACTGTATGGATTACAGCTTGCTGATAGGACGACAGATGAAACATCTGGATGAAAAGGGGGTGGAACCAGTATCAACAATAGTGGAACGGATAGGAAAGTAAGAAAATTGGAATTAAGTATTGCCCATTCTATAGATAAGAATGACAGTGTAAATTTTTGTCTTTGCGATTAAATAATTCTTTTACCCAGTAACCTCTTCCTTAAATCTAATATACATCATAAAGCACTTAATCAAAATAGGGCATTGCACTACCATACAGATTATGACTTGTCATGTTGGATTTAGCAATCCTCTGTTTCAATAGTATCATATCAGGGCATCTAATTTAGAATCCTCCATATCTCTTATGTTTACCATAGTGTAAATATAACATTAACATCTTTTCTCTGAATGCACAAATGCATATAATCGGTCTCCCATTTTTAACTTTTTTTTACTGGGAGTAATCACACAAACACTAATTATACTTTTTCATCTGCCATTCATTTCCAGTTTGCAAGCATGGTGGTAGATTAACACATGATGCCTTGGGGAAAGAGTTTTCATAAAGAAAATTATCAACACTATTTTTAATAAACTTAGATAAATATGGGTCAAAATAATTTTCTCTGGCTCAGAATATGGGTATGAGAGTGAGCAAGTTAAATATATTCATAGCATTACAATTACAACAAATCAAGGTAATTTGTACATGTGCTTTGATTACAAAATTCTTGGTAAATAAATTAAATAAAGTTATTGGAGAAAAAACAAATGTGTGTTTTTTCTGCAGTGTAGGCCTATGTTTAAAAAGTGACCCTATGACATTGACCTTTATAACCTTGATATAACATATTTTAATATTTTATTCAGTCATGAAATTAATAGTCATAGAAATGCTATGCTGTCTTCAAATATAAAAAAGCTATAGATAGTAATAAAATATTACCCCTAAAATTGTAAAATTGCAGTTCACACTCTAATATTATAATAATTTATGAACGCTCAAGGCTGTGGTCTGTGTAACAACTGATTTTATTGTCAATTCTACATTTTTTTAATACACAACATAATATGACCACTCACTCCAGTTATCCAACAAATATTCACATATTTAAGCTGAGAAATTCATGAAAGCAACCCACAAATTCCAGTCAATCAACATTGCAACTACACAGGACAATCAGGTCACTAAGTTCAGTCAGTACACATGATAACAATATTGATGTGTAAAACCGTCACTCTCACTCTTAAACATAACACAAATCTACTCAGTGAAAAAATCTTCATAGCTGGGATTAAAAACAGTGTGTATCAAAAGGCTTAAATTTAAAAATAATTTGAATAGAGTTTTTGTTTTATTTAAAGCAATTAACTATTGAACACAAAAATCCAAACTTGTTTGTATCCTATCTAGTCATTGTTAGAATAGATTAATATTTTAAAAATTAGATTTTTAGAAAATTATCAAATGATACATAATTTTACTTGCAGACACATATTATTTTCTCTGTTATCTGGGAAAACTGAAGTACATAACTAAATACTTATAAAGGAGTCATTTATTAAACTTTTCTCAAAAGGGCTGCATGGTTTAATTTTTCTGCAATTAAAAGCATATGTTTGTAAGCTCAATATACAATGGCTACTGAAGTTTTTAATTTTATTATCCTTTTGTCCTAAAAGTTATAAAAAGCTACATGGGCTAGAGACTAATTTTGTAACAAGTGCTGATGACATTGACTGCTAAAAATGAATGGCAAGATAACATAATTTACTTTCTATTTAATTAAACAGCAAATGAATTGGAACAAGAGAATAAAAAATGTCTGGAAGAAGCACAGAGGTTCTGAATATTTTTTTTAATATTGACTTACCGGTAGTTACTTTTTAAAAAAATATATTTTGAGAAATGTTAAATTTTTGGCATCAAATTTTAGGTCGATCTCTCCAACAAAAAAAATCAAATCTATGAAAGAAGACTCTGTTGATCCACCTGCCCAGGGTACCAGTGATGTGAACTATGCAGTGAGCTACCATGCTTCTAGTCCTGAAACAGTGTCTGAGATACATTCTGACAATAAAACCCTTTCATTGCCACAGTATAGAACTGGAATCATGTTTCCTCGTAGCTTGGCAGATGGTGTGGAGAATTTCCATAAAGAACACAGAAGACTTTTGCCAAATTGTAAAAATGGTTTACATATAATGGATGGTAAAGAATACAGGTACTATGTTGGTGTGGTGGATTTTCTGACACGGTTTGACTGGAGGCAGAAGACAGCTCAGTTCTGGAAAATAGTTAAGTACAAGTGCGGGGATCATTCGACTAAAAATCCTAAATTTTACAGTCAGCGTTTTGTAAACTTTTTAAGCAATCATGTTCTGTAACATCAGTGATATTTACAAGGGTGTCAGGGCCCCTGTATGAGTTTAGAAATATAAAATGTCTATCAACTCAATAGTCCTGAAATAGGCCTAGAGTGAATTAATTGTTATAAAATTATGTTGATGGAAATATGTTATTGTTGTTCTAAGATAAAGATTCTGTGATAATTTTTCTGTATCAATTTTGTAACTTCTTGTGTGAAACTAAAGATTTTGCCTCAGTGGGTTGTAGCCTGCAATATATGGATGACTTCTAATCCTTGTCTTAAAAATCTTCTTTACTCATTGTGAGTCTTTACAATAATATTAATTTTTGCACAATTTTAAATAAGTTTTATATATTTTTAAAGATTATATTATATTTTGAAACTTGGAAAAATGAAGTTAGAAAATTGAAGAAAATATGTGGAAATTTAAAAAAAAATAATATGGAGTTACAGTGTTACTATGTTGGTGTCATTTGCATGCATAGGGGTAAATTAACACATTAATTTTTTTTTAAATCAATTAAAGAAGAACCATTGAAAAAATATCAAGTTGTATCTCAATTATCTCTTTTTTAATACCGGTACTTCATTTGTTTTGTTACTAAAAAAAAAAACCTTTACCAAAGATATAATAAATTGTAAAATGTATGTTAATTATTTTTTTAAGAAGTAGTTTCATTTTAAATGTAATTTTTAAATTTTAATTAATCTAATTGATATGAATCGAATAAAGATGATGAGAGGGCATGCTCTACAATATAAATTTATTAACAAATGAATCATTGCTAATTGAATTTGAGATGTTTCATTAACATTTTTATTGTAAAATGTCTTTTTCTTATTATAGTGACATTTTTACAGAAAAATTTATGTTTCTTTTACCTGTTTGATATTGTTATTTATTTAATTACAGTGAGCTCTCTAACATTATTCTTAACTTACTGGACAGGAAATATCTTTCAAAAATAGCTATTCACATAAATAAAAGAGCTTAGCCTTATTGTGCCTCATTTTTTCAATGTAATAAATTTACATATGAAGATGAATATGATCTGAAATATTTTGAGAACCATTGCATTTCTAGTACACATATTTACTTTTAGGTTCAACTCTCCAGTTATGCAATTTATCTTGCCATGCCTGAAAAACTCATGAATCTTTTTTTTAAAGTATATAAGTTATTCTTTTTTCTATAAAGAATTATTATTGGTGCTTTATTTCAGCAGATATTCTGCATAACAGCATAGGTTATTATAATTTTATTGATAATATGAATCTCTTTTAAATATTTAATATGTGCCTTTAAATTTTGTGTTAGCTAAGGCATTCTTGCCCTAAGTCTATAGATTTTCTTTATGTTCCATTTTGTTAATCATGTTACCTCTGACTCAATAGGTACTACAATATGTTTTTTTTTAAAAAGGATTTATTATTTCATACCCAGACAAATAGAAAATTCAAAACAAGATTTTATTTATTAACTTTTTTTTAATGAGAGCTTTTTGCCTCATTCCAAATACCATTTATTTTTTGTTTACCAAAAAAGTTACACTTAAATCTATTGATAATATAAAAATTATTTAAAATTGAGAGATTGAATTCATGGTATTTTTGCATAACCTTATTAAAATAAACACTGTATGGTATTTGCATCTTTGCTTTCCATCATTGCATGGAAGAAGACATAATTTTATTTATGTATTTATTGCTATTCAAAATTTATGTGTGTACAAAGTACATATTAAATAAGATTTAACATATGTTGAATTAATATACATATTTACTATGCAGTTCTATTTTTTTTGTTTAGTTAATACTGTGTCACCAGAATTATTCTTTGTACATCAGAATAAAAGTATTTTTTATGATCTATGATTTGTAATAATATCTAACCGTATCCTGGCTACTGTGCAACAGCAATTAACAGGCAGGACATTGACTATTCTGTTTAATTTAAAACTATTTATTGTAATTTGAAAAGTGTACAATCAATCCTTTCTTTTGGGTTATCACACATAATGGGTATTTTATTTAGAAATTTAATAATGTTTCTATTATTTGTAATATAATATATCTAACATTTTACTGGTGTTCCTTGTACAGTATCAATTTTTTTTTTTGCAATTTGTTAAGCATACAAGCCTTACTGCACTGCTGACATGGGTTTCTTATTTCCGATTTTTATACATTTTGTCTTCATTTAGTGTTTGTATATATTTAAAACATTAATATTGAAATGTTTAAAAAATACATTTTACAGAGTTTTCTATTTCTGCTGACAAATATCTAATATATTGGCAATATTGGGTCAAAAAGTAAAAGGTAAGAATAAAAGCCCTGCTTTTTTGGTGTACTTATTGAATTATCATACAATGTATAAAAGCTTTAAAGGTGTGGTTTAACTTTTAAGATTGTATTATCATGGAAGCTGATTAAATAAACTAATATTTTAACAGAAACTTCTCCATTTTTTATTTTCCCATTAACAAGAAAAAAGAATTGTGTTTTAAAAAGTTGTGATGAATTGATTATAGTCATTGGAAGATTATTGACTGTAAATTCTAGCATATTACGTCTATCTTCTTATTGGTAGCTGGATGGAAACAGGGAAACTGTCACTCAAACCTCATATTCAAAGAGGTATATAATATGAATAAGTCAACATGTAGAAATATATGTATATATATATAAAAACTTCTTAGATCTTGACACTTAGAATTTTGGGTTAGTTTAAATTGAATATGAAATTGAAATTAAACACAACCCAAGTTCTGATATTAACAATGTGTACCAGGATATCTAAAAAAAAAAATCCAATTAAAATCTGGACTGAACATCAAGCCTGATGAGACACCATTGATAAACTAGGATGGTCCTGGTAATTCCAAGAGGATCTGGTCAAACTGGCAACTATGGTAGGCCTAAATAGTCTACAGATCTAAAATTATTTGACAGACTCTGGGAGCTTAGTTCACACTGCCATGACTTTATGCCAATAAAGACAAAAATGATAATAGAATTTTTGCATTTTGTCAAAATACCATTTGTTTTGTTTGTTTTTTTCCTTAAAGGACAGATGTCTTATTTTTTTATAGTTTAGATGAGTAAAGTATTCCTATAGCAATTTTCATCGCATACAGAGAGCTACAGTGGTGTGTTTTAAAATTTTGACGAATAATAAGTGGCCATCCATAGGCCTATATTACACAATGCACTGTTGGTTTAGGAGATTTTGCATATGGGTGCATTTGGAAACTGCGAGAACAGAATGTGAATGTACATTTATGCATTAAATAAACAATAATCATTCTGAAATTTGTACAGCCAATGAAAAATCTTTATTAACCCAACTCAGCCAGCTTCCTAAAATCCATGATTTCTAATTAATTATTTTCAAGGGCGCATTTTTTATAAACTTCGGGTCATGCAGTTTTGCTTTGTCCAGTCTACCGCGGTTGGAGTGGAACCTATATATTAGAAAATTTTAAAATTCAAAGGAAGTAAAAAAATGTAAAAATCAATACAAAAAAAAACAGGCTTGGAATGTGCAAACATCAGGACAAGGATTACACCGACATCATAATAAAAAATGAGCTTGCCAGGTACAATGTAGACAATGAAGCCCTAAATGAGTCCCAGCTTTCAGGAGATGAATAACTGTATGGAAATAAGTTTGGGATATACATTCTTTTGGCGTGGCCGAGGGAGTAAAGAGCATACATAGTGAGGCTGGTTTTGGTATGTCTATAAAAAAAAATTCATTGATTGGCAGGCTGGCTGGACTTCTGTGGGGAATCAGTGAAAGGATGATGACAATGAAACTCCCTATCTTATCTGGAAGAAAACATTCCACCATCATCAGCTGCTATGCTCTAACAATGACCAACACAGATGATGTAAAGACAAAAGTTCTATGAGGATCCTCATTCTGTCATAACTGACATTCCAAAGCATTAAATGCTTATAATTTTTGAGGACCTCATTGCTTGAGTGGGCTGCGAACTTTGCTTGGGAAGGGGTTCTGGGAAATTATAGTTATAGAGTAGGCCATTGCAACAGTAATGTTCTTATTTTGATTCAGACGTGTAATGTTCTTCTTTTGATTCATCTTATCACGTCCCTTTCGGATAACCCTCGCTCAAAACATAGGCATTTCATCGACTATGTTATCTTCAGGAGGAAGGACAGTCGGGACGTGTGTGTAACCAAGCCTATATGTGGTGCCGAATGTTGGACAGGCCATTATCACCATGCTCAACCTGACCAAACTGAAGAGTTCCACTATCAAGAGATCGTTTGATGCTCTAGAAAAACGTGTGAAATCCACATTTCTGGAAAATCACAACTTCGAAACCAAATGAGCATCCCTAAGAGCTATTTTATTTAACATCATTTTGGAGTTCCTGGGACAAAGCTAAAAAATAAAACAAAACAACAACAACAACAAAATAAATAAATAAAATCAGGACTTGTTCGATGAAAACTGTTAAGTAGGCCTAATCAAGCATCTACTGCATGAAAAATACCGTTTTCACAACTCTTATCATAACAACCCGAGGTTAGCTCTCATGAAAGATGCGTACCACAACATGAGAAGAAATACGAATCACTGAGCAATGCCGGCCTCGGGTAAATTTTCGCCATGTGCGAATCACCCTTTCGACGCCCCCTTTCCTGAATTGCTCCGCTCTTTCTCCGACTCGGATGTAGGCTATGGAGAAATGTTATGATGCTATATATGGAGCTAACCATGTGCATTTTAACATGCACATTAATTTAGACTGAATAGTTTTTATACGGTATTCACACTTCACTATAATAAACTAAGGGAATTTAAATATTTACTGGGCGCCCCTATGGCTACGGCGCCCTGTGTGAGGGCACAGGTCGCACACCCTGAAGGCCGGCGTTGCACCGAGAAAGGGGGGGGATCATCGACCACTTTGACAACAACATATATCGTCCTTCATCCATCAATGATGAAGCCATAAATCGTCTCCCGAAGGTGCCAACCTATTAGAAGACACATGACACCCCCTTACTCTGAGCGAGACCCAACAAGATATATGCCATCTCTCGAGTGGCAGAACTTCAGGTGATGACTCGATCCCAACTGAAATATACGAAGAAAAGCACAGCTCCGGCCAAAGGCTTCACAAGCTGTTCCTACTTATGTGGCAGCAAGAGACGATTCCACAGGATTTCAAGGACTCGTATAGTGTACATCTATACAAGCGTAAAGGGAACTGTTAATATTACGACAGTTTTATTATTGAAAAAAAGAAAAACAATGTCTGTAGGCGGTCGCGAAAAGTGGAGATAACTTGTGACATATTTTTTTATATCTGTGTTAGTTTGTTTGTTTGTTGTTTTTTTTTTTTTTTTTTTTTTTTTTTTTTTCTTTTGCTGTCATTGTGTCTATCTTCGCAGGTTACTCCCAATCCTATGTATATTTTTTATTGTTTCAACTTGAAAGCAATCGTCCCCAAATAACACTCATCCTTAATGCGGCTATGCAATGCTGTTTTGTCGTATTTGGTGAGATGTCGGTCATTATTTTTTTTTTTTTTGTTTTTTTTTTTTTTTTTTTTTTTTTTTTTTTTTTTTTTTTTTTTTTCTTTTGCTGTCATTGTGTCTATCTTCGCAGGTTACTCCCAACCCTATGTATATTTTTTATTGTTTCAACTTGAAAGCAATCGTCCCCAAATAACACTCATCCTTAATGCGGCTATGCAATGCTGTTTTGTCGTAAGTGGTGAGATGTCGGTCATTATAAAGGGTGTTGTGAAATTGTTTTGATAGATGTGTTCCTGAGATTGGGTAGGATGAAAGCAACGCATTTAGGGCCATGGGAAATGCCGGGATCCGGGTGATCCAAATGAAAATGTTTGGAGTGTAATAAGGTTTTATGATATGGCGCGTGTTGCTCGTTTTCCGAGACACAATTGCACATCGTTAGTTGGAATGTGGACGCATCACAATGCGGTCCTGCGCGTTGACGTACGGCGAGGCTACTAAACGCCCATTCTGATCTTCGTCTGTTCTTACAGACGGGATTTCGCCCCGATTGTCGATTTTCACAGACTGCTCTCAAATCTTTTTATGTTTCCAGCGTGACACCCATACCGGCGCTAGGGGATGACGAAGTGGGCGACCGCCCAAGGCATCGCGTTTGCGGGGCCCCCGCGCGTTGCCGTAGTATAGGCCTATTTAAAATATACATACGCCTACTAATAGTTCCTAATCCAGTCAATACAATATTCGGAGTTACTAGATTGTGAAATGGTCTGAGGGTTAGTCTGGCTCCCATACTATCCCTTCGAGGTGAATCTTGGGAAGACCTCTGGGCGCATGTTAAGCAGACGAAAGGAGATTATCAAGGAATTTTTATGCTGCATATAGACCCATTATAGGAAAAAATAGAAATTTCGGAAACTAAGCGAGTGAACAAATATCCATTCTGATTATGACGCGTCCCATTATGACCAGCAAGGCCCCAGTACGATTATAACGTGTCTTACTATCCTATCGGCGGAATAGATAAAGTCAACGGCTCCGCAAAATTCAATTTGCCCAAGGCCCCGCACCCTCCTAGCGCCGGCCTTGTACCCCGTGAGTGCTTTTCATCCGACTTTATGTAATTGCTTTTTTAAATTGTCTGTGGGGGGTGTGTCTAGAAACTCATTTGTACATAGTAACATATGTAGGCGTGGAGAGGGTCCCAAATGAATTTGTGCAAAGAGAAAAGGGGAGGGGGTGCGTAATATATTGATATCTTTTAATGCTCTTTTTTAAATATTAAATGTATATTGTTTTTTTTTTTTATTTAAAAAGCTGAATATCTTATTACCATTAAATAAATTTAATTTAAATGACACCTTGTGATTATTAGTTATTTATTTCATCTTTTTTTTTTTAAATGCCTATTACTGCACATAAAAGAAATTTTTGAAGGATTTAGGCCAATAATCATTAAAAAAATAGTTATGTCCCTTTCATTTAGAGACTTGCATACTAATTTGTAACATTATTTATTTTGAAGCCTAACATTTTGAAAAAATCAATACACGCTAAATACGAAAATCAAAACATGCTTTAAATCTGTTTATTGTGATTGTGGATTACAATACTTCCGACTACATGAACCTTAATTAAAAGTGGGCCGAGGTATATCCCGGGTAACAACCGATGGTAACGAATGTATCTATCACCGTGATCATGTGAACATTTTCATTTAACATGGCACCCGAGGGAGTACTTCCGCTTCCCTAACAAACGAAAATGATGTTGATGGTTTTTCTCTTTCTAGCATAGGAAATGAAATACTCAAATGTAACATTAGGAAGTTCATAAATATGAAAATAGTAACCCTAAACTAGTGTGCGAAAAGGGTTTCGCACCATGGGTTCTCGACTCAGGTAAATAGATAGTCAAAACCTTGCATTATTAATATTTTAGATTCAAAATGTAAAAAAAATAATAACGTCGTCTGAACTGAAACTGCCTAGCCGTAGACTGCGTGAATAAGTACAGTTGAATTATACATAGACCCAATTAGAAATTAAAATAAAGCAAAACACAAGTCCATAGAGTACTACAACTCAGTACAGAGCAACATTATAACTATACTCATTTTCTTGTAATAAATAGACCTATTTTAATTTAAATTAGGCCTAAGTAAGCACAAAATGAAGGAAGTTATAATAAATAATATATAATTACAAAATATATATTAGTCCAAGACATGGTATATAGACCTATCTATAAAAATAACTGTATACCGACTATAGGGATATGCTATTGCTGTATTAGGCGTATAGTGTATGGAAGTATACTCAATACTAATACTATACTCTTCTCTACTTAATAATAATTTCATTAAAAAAAGTCTAAAAGGAAAAAGGCCTAGGTTATCTCTTATTTAAACTTATATATATTTTGATTCTAGTGTGTCCTGCTTCCTTTTCACAATCGACCCTCCCCCAACTCAACATGTTTTATATTAATTACTACTGAGTGAAAAAAAATGTCACGCAGCGAGCGTCATGTGTGACTGTGAAACTAAGGTAAAAAGGTTGATTTTTTTTCTTTAGAAAGGAAATTTAAAAAAATTTAATTCCACTGTTTTTGGAAGGTGTTTATTTTAGTTATACTGTGACTGTTGTTTCTTAAGTCTTTGTTTTAAAATGAATGACAGTATCTTCGCTATAGACGGGTTTTTTTACAACTTCATCTCTATTCCGGGATCTGGCAACTGCCTGTTCCTATCAGAGGGTTATTTCTTGACACAAGTGGTTGACAAAGGCAGTAGCTTTCATAGAAAATGAGAAGTTAACTTTTTTTTTTGTAACACTTGGACCCACTGTGTATTTTCTCAAAAGACCCGGACCCAGAGTTTAAAAAATTGCATCGTGTCAAGCCCTTACTGTTTATTATAGTTAAGGCTTACATTATTATTGGAATGGGGCATTCCTTTCTATAGCTTACAATATCACTTATCATGCTACAAAATTTTTTTTTGTTGTAGGCCTATAAGACTAAGGTCTAAGACTACAAGTATTAAGTCAAGTATATTGTAATGAAAGTCTCTGACCATTGCTTGCAGTCGCAAACTCGAAAAAAAAATTAAAAAAATTATGTACCCCAGGATTCTGGGGCTATGTACATATTACATCATGCTACTTACCTCCATTAAAAAAGTCACAAATTTGTTACAAAATTTAATGCTCAAGCATATTACAAATTAAAAAAAAAAAAAAATTAGGTGTGTGGCCTTCTATGATAAAGACTACAATTAGCATTCAATTGCAAAAATAATAACAGAAAAATTAATAGTTTATTTTTAGTCATTTATTTTACAGAGCTCATTCCGCATCTTTTAATGAGACATTTTTCTCTTGAGTATTGTTCAGTGTATTTATCTCCTCTTTCCCAACTAATAATTTTTGCCAGTTCATTCTTTTATAATCCAACCTAAATAAATGTAAAATTTCACTTAATTCAGACCAAAATATATTTTTGACCAAAGTAACTAGTTCCAAAATGAAATTGAACCTAGTATTAGTAACTTTATTGTTAAACCATGTTTTAGTTTTTTTTACTGAATGTTTCTGTTGGCTTCAGGCACAATGGCAACATTGTCTGCCTGGTATGGGTTTGAATTCATCCAGGGTCATCCCAGCTATAGGTTAACACTTAAACGCCTGGTAGTCAAGTGAAGACTGATTTTCTTGATCGGTGGTTATGTGAGAAAATCAATCAAAATCTCAATCTCTGAAGATAGCAGCCAACTAAATGTGGGATTTACAATGCAAAAAAATAGCTGCAGTCTTTCAGATTATGTCTCAGCTGTAAGAATAAATTAGAAATGCTTTAATATCTTCCTGATCCACCTACTATTAATCTTTCCAGAGACAAACCAAAACAGCTGTTTGAGGTATTTGTTGAGATTGCCAAGAGCGAACGTGATGACGAGGGTAATTAACTATTTTTATACACCGTATTTATTTATTAGACCTACATGCTTTCAAGATTTGGAAATTATTTTTGTAAATAATTTTCTTTTATAGAATTAACATAATAAGTTTGTCTTAAAAGTTAATTTTCGTTCGTATTAATGTTTACCATCTGAAATATGCATTGTGTGTGTTGTTTTTTTTTAGCTCCCTTCATCCTTCAGCAATATCCCCCTGGCTTTGATGACAAGGTAATTTCTTACATAATAGGTCTATACTAAAAGCAAACTAATTTATTAATAGGAGAAAAGAAAGTAGGAGAGGGTTGCATGTTGAATGTTAATTTTTAATTCTAAAAATGAAAAACTACATTTAACAAAATATTTAATTCATAGGTTTTTAGTTGTGCAATGCCAAAGGGCAGTGTTTTTTTTAAATACTTGTTTCAATGAAATGAGGTTGTACGTGTTGTTTGAATAATAAGAGGTGCAAAGAACTCAAAGAAATGCAAAGGATGTAACAGAATTGAACTCAGTTGAGTTAATTTTTATCTCTAAGTCACAAGTCCTTCCTTTTTTTTTCATTTGTCATTTTTTTTAAAAGAAAACACAGAAAAATAAAAAATGTTTCACTTTTACACTTTATCTTTCAGGAAGCACTCACAATGATTCCAAAGTTTGCCTTCCCGTGCAAGACAGAAGTGTAAGAAAGTATTCATTTATTGCTGTCATATTTTTGATGCTGCATAGTAATAACTATCATATTAAATAACAAATATAATTTTTTTTGTAAATCATAATCTTATAAATCTTTTAAAATGAATATTCATTATGAAAAAAAATTATTTAAATGATTATTTTTAACTTAAAATAAAATTAATAGTTTATACCCTGTATACCTGTATAATTATAGCTAATTAATTTTAAATATTTTGCTTCATACAGTCATAAAAAAGTATTATTCTTATACCCTCATTAAATGCTAATTATTTTCTTTATACCGTCTAAACTCCTCTTTTGTGCCACAGATCCACAGTGGACCATTTTTCCTTTGTCCTGACAGACTTGGACGGTCTGTTTAGGTTTGGCTACTGCAGACATGGCACTGGGCACCAGACATGTTTATGTATAGTGAGGTGAATAATATTGTAACCAAAAATTTGTTGCAGATTCATATATAACACTATTTGGAATTAACAACCTTTAATATGTTCTGTCACACTGTATTGTAAATGTGAGGTAACCAAATGGAAGAATTTGAGGATCTGAAATTATTGATGGTTTAGAAGTAAAAAAAAACAACATAATTTAGAGCCCTTTGTTTGCATTGTAAGTGGCAGGTGCTGGAGTTTAAAAAAAAATAACCTTCATATGGCCCTAAAAACAGCTCAGACATTTTGTAGTTATTGATTAAAACATCAGCAAATATATACAGACAAATGAAAAGTCTTTCATATTTTTAAATTACATGATACCAAACTGAAAAAGCCCAGAAAAAAATCTGATCGCTTCTCTGCCTTTTGGCTAAGATCAAGATGTAGGGTCTGTTCTTTTACCACCGGGTTATATGGTTTTCAGCCTGGGTTGGGAAAATAGGTAAGAACCAGGCCAAGAGACCCACAAGGGCAGACTTTGAAGAGGGACTACCCCAGTATTTCAGTACTTTAAAGGGTACTTTACAAAAAAAAAATGATTGAATTGTATAACAATAATGATATTTCTTAGCTTTTAAACTTTTATCTTTCTTGCCCACAGAAGTAAATTTGAAGTTAATTTTTTCCCAGAGCAAACATTTCATTACATTTTTTATTAAATAATTTTTTTCTTACAGCTGGTTGCCCTGGTATGAGATTTTCTACAAGCTTTTAGACCTAATAGCAGATATCACAAACAAATCTGAAAACAACAATGTCATGACATTGTTGGAGAAAACTTACAATCAAGATGTCCCAGCACCTAAACTTCCTGTTACTATTGTTGCCAATGAGAACGTAAGATAAACACGAAGCAGATTCTTGTGAATATTTATTACTTTGTTTCCAGAGATGTCAAGGAAAATTATAATTGTTGATTAATAATGCTAAAACATTTTGGATCAAAGATAAATGAAGTAGATTAATTATTAAGGGTTTGCCATATTATCTTGTATGCCCTGCTGTGTATTTTACTTAGTATCTCCTGCGAGATCATACATTTTCACACAACTCATTAAAAAAATCAAAATTTTTTGAAGCTCATTCAGCCTCTCTATCTCCTCATTGCACTCCCCAAGGCAATGTGGCATGTTAGGAAAGCTCACCTGGTGAATTCACTCCTAGGCATTACACATTATGGAAGCCATACAACCTCCCCCCTCCCCGTAATGGGGGCAGCAGGTGCCTGGGGAGTTGATACAAAACCTTTTAACGAAATTTATTTATTACTGATGAATGCAAAGTAAATGCCTATTTTGGCAATGTTGCATGTTAATTTTAATCATTAATATATTTGCATTAGGAAGTCCTAGCTGAAATAATTATGCAACTTTTTCGTCCCTTAAATAACAAGGAGAAGCTGGGTGAATGATTCTGGCTCGGTGTGGCATAGTAAAGTGTTATAATTACTTACACTTTATAATTGATAAAGAGGTTACATGAAATGCAAAATGAGAGGTGGGATCAGTAGCCTGAGGTTGGGCTATATCAAGGTCTGCAATTTGGTTGAATCCGCGGTGGGGTTTCAATATGGTTGTTTACGTATGTTGATTTTAAATTTGATTGTAATATAATCATGCAGGAAACTAAAATTAAGTAGAAACAATTGATATGCATGTTTGTCTTTCTCCAACAGATGTTTAGCTTTACTACCCCTGACCCCAATGAACTACCAAGTATTACAAGTAATGTAAGTTATTTTTATTTACGATATTTATTTTCCTTAATAACACTATAAAGTCATACTAATTCTTATCAAGTCATAAGCGGGGCTGGGGGGGGGGGGCTGTTACTTTCCCATTTTTTCTAAATCTTTACGTCTGATTTTTAAAAATCTAAGCTCTCAATTTGTGTGGTTTTTTTCGGAGGTTAACAACATAATTTTTTTTTATTTACGATATTTATTTTCCTTAATAACACTAAAAAGGCATACTAATTCTTATCAAGTCAGAAGCGGGGCTGGGGGGGGGGGGCTGTTACTTTCCCATTTTTTCTAAATCTTTACGTCTGATTTTTAAAAATCTAAGCTCTCAATTTGTGTGGTTTTTTTCGGAGGTTAACAACATAACTTCATTGTGGGGAAACAACACCTCAAGCTTGCAGCCTCTAGGCTGTTTAATACATTTTATTGTTCTATGAATTTCTTTAAAACCTTGACAGTTTAAAACCTCACTGTCACCTTTTACTGGCCTATGCCTCCATCGTATACACACCTTCAGAAGAATGTGTCATGCTAAAGAAAAAAAATTGAACAATTTTGCTTAAATAAAGAATGTTTTCATATCTTAATGTTTTGAAGAATAAATGGGGTTATATTATAAAGTGTTAGACATAATTTCATTCTTGGGAGAATTAGTTCTTTTATATAATTATATATAATATGTCACAAAAGCTCTTGTTTGCAAATTTTGTCCTAGTGCATAAAGGGAATTTGTTTGTTTTTTAGAATGCATAGTATTTACAGTTAATTTTTACCATTATTTTTATACTCAGAGAAACTTAAAAGAATACTACAGTGCTGTAGACCATGACAACATGATGAAAATTTTTGCTAGGTAAATATATAGATATTTAACATTTATTTTTACCATTTTATAATTCTTACTTTGCAGTCTCGTACATACTGTCATATTTTGCCTTAATATAATATATTCTGTTACCTTTCAGTATGCTTCATGAACGTCGGATATACATGACATCTAAGAAACTGAGTCGGTTAACAGCTTGTATTCATGCCGCTGAAGCTCTTCTTTATCCAATGCACTGGTAATTTTTTAAAATTTGGTTTTATTTTGTCATTTAGTTTTTAAAAAAATCTTATTTTGATGAATCTTTTGATTATTGCTTCTTTTTTACAATTTAATAATTTCAGTCAAGTTTATTTTCTACCTCACAATGTCTTAAAATAAATCTATCCCCCCATTTCCATTAAAAATATGTTTTGCCATTTATTTTATGATATTTTAAACATACGTTTTATTTTGCCATTTATTTTATATTTTAAAATAAAAATTTATATTATCAGTGGAGATGCTCTACCACCATGTCCCATTTTCCATTAATTTTGAAATTATTCACATAAACATTTTTAGGTTTCACAATGTCTTCTGTTAATTCATAAAAAGAGTTACCGGAAAATTGATCGAAAGAAATTTCGTCAACGGTAAATTGATCGACGGTTATTTGATAGAGCGGAAATTTGGTCGAATCTTTTTTTCCATTCGCACGTTGAAATTTTCGTCAAATTTCTTTTTGAACGCACTATACTATTTAGTAAAACAAAATAATTCGTTCAAAAAGAAATTTGATGCAAAATTGTTACGTAAAAATTGAAAAGAAGATTCGACCAAATTTCCGTTCGATCATATTACCATCGACCAATTTACCGTCGACGAAATTTCTTTCGATCAAATTTCCGGATACGCATAAAAATAATACCTTTTATAAAAAAAATTATATTTTAAATTCAAAAACTGAAATAAACAAACTCTATATATATTTTTATAGACTCTACTAATCCTAAAACCACACTGTGTATATATTTATCATTGAACAATTTTCTTTGGATTTTGACTTATAAAATTAATGAAATGGCATTAACTAAAATTCATTTTTTTAAAAATTGTTCAAATTATTTGACCTCTTTAAAATGTCTTTGTTTTACAGGCAACACCTGTACATTCCTATATTACCATCACATCTAATAGACTACATTAGGTAAGCTATACAAGGAAGTTAGATGTCATTTTTGACGTTTGGTATCTTAAAATGTTAAAAATATTCAACTTACCATGAATTAAAGGATTATGACTAATATAAGAACACTTCTATTTGAACATTTACTTTTCAGTGCACCTATGCCATACTTGATAGGGGTTCACAAGAATTTACTAGAGGTAAGTACATTTGTTTAGGCTCTTCATTTTGTTAACAATATACTTGTTCTAAAGTAGCTTTTTAAAAAAAAAATTATTCAGTTTAATAAATTAGGTGGTCGGCTTGTGAGCTGGGTCATAGGAGATTTTTATATTTTTCTCCAGGTACATTGAATAATGAAATTTTTATTGTAGATCGCCAAGGTCCTAGTCTACGGTACACTATTCAAGCTTTGAATATGTTATTAGAGAAATTTTAAATATCAATACATATCTGCTCTTACCTTAATTATTATTTAATTTATTTTCTTCTTGATCTAAAAGAAGGTTTTAGTGTCACGTTTTACAAATTGCATTTCAACAGCAATTTTCAATTAAATTACTTACGTCGCTGTTTACCGTCTTCTTCTCCTATATATTAAGGGCCCACGATCAATGTATTGATCATTCTGGTTCCTTTGTATGTAGAGGGGCTTTGCAATGTTTCTGTGCCTTATAACATAAAACAAAGATACTGGAAGTAGATGGCGCCAGTATACAGTCATTGTTTTTCACTACCGGCATAAACTCATCCTGAATATTCTTTGCAACATGTTTTGCTGACACTGACATATCATTGTATGTGGTTGGCTTATTAGTAGGTATGGCACTTTCACACTTTTCCTGTCCAAAACTAGGAGGGTCGGCTTATGAATGAATGGAGTTTAGAACAAGTATCTCAGTTGTAAAGTCATTGATAGAGAGTTACAACCTTTTGTGGATCTTTTTTCCTTAAAGTAAATAAACCCCAAAATTCAAATAGACAAAACTTGTTTGGGGGTTTGGAATAGTGATTTAAACAAATATTTCAACAGAAATTAACAATAAATCGTGTTGATGTTGGTGATGCAGTGGTGGTTGACCTTGACAGCAATACAGTGGAGTCAGCCTACGATGACCTCGGTGATCTGCCCGATGATGTGGTTAGTCTTCATGTTGTATGAGGATATTTTTAATTTACCACCTGATGTAGTGGTTTGTTTTAATGTTGGGGGGGGGGGGTTTACTCAAGATAGGACGGTGTAGTTGAAGTAATATTTTTTTGCCATGTTTATAATCCAAGTGTCTGAAAACTTTGTCTTAGTTTTTTTTTAATTTACCACCTGATGTAGTGGTTTGTTTTAATGTTGGGGGGGGGGGGGTTTACTCAAGATAGGACGGTGTAGTTGAAGTAATATTTTTTTGCCATGTTTATAATCCAAGTGTCTGAAAACTTTTTCTTAGTTTTATTTCTGGTTTCTTTCTGGAGTATTTTTAGAATTTAAATATATTTTCCATTTTTAATAATAAATACATCATTTTTTTCAGTCTAACTTTCTAAAGAAAAAACTAAAAAAAGATGCAAAACATTCAATGATGAATTCTGGAGATGCAATTTCTAGAGCATTTCTTCAAGCCATAGTCAGGTTGATAGGTGAGCACAATCCATTACTAATACAAATATAATCAGGTTGATAGTTGAGAGCAATCCATTACTAATACAAATATATTCAGATAATAGGTGTAAGCCTTTCATAATTACTCATATACATTATTTTGTAAATCTGAATAATCGGTTATCTATCAATGAATATCATTGCATGTAATTAAATTAGTGATTTTTAGTCCTCAACATCACTACAAATTTAGTTATAACTTATTTAATATACTAGAAATGTTAACGTCCATGTGATGCTAATACTAGCAAATTATTTTTACGCAGAGAACAGTCATTGCTCTTACAAAAATAATTAAACAACAAATTTGAAAACTTCTGAGTTTTATTCTATATGAAACTTTATAGGCTACCTGGTTTGATAAAATTAACGATTTTAACATTTTAATATTTAAAAAACATATGATTTAAAAAATTTAGATTTTTTTACTTTTAAAAAAAAAATATTTTATGATTTCTTTAGATTTTGAAGTTTCTTGCCACTTTGCGCTTTGACTTTTGCGGCTTTAATCTATCTCCGTTTTTTCAAATATATTCATTGATAAGTTGAACAAGATAATCAAAATGATGCAGCGGACGCTCAGTTGTATGAGTCAATTACGCACCCCTGTATTACAATTAAAATAACTGTACGTAGGTACTGTAGGCCAATGTATTCGAGCACCCCGCAAATTCTTCAAAGCCAGGTGCAGCCGCTTGACCATTCCTTGTGTTTGGGCAAAAAAATTTTTTCCAAAAAATGATTTGTGATGAAACTTAGCCAATCACATCCTGGCCACTGATTGGTTTAGGTTTTGTTTGTAAGAAGTGTGTGTGTAATTTAATATTCAATAATAATATGATATTTGTAATATAATAATATGTATTATTTTCTCTTATTTCGTATATTGTATTGGGTAATACAAGTGTAATGGGGACTTATGGGGTGTTATTTCATGCCCAGAGAGTATAATAGTGTTAAAAAGGTATTCAAAGGGTCGTGAACAGGTTTTCTAAGCTCTAGCTACAAAAATATTCAATTTATAAATAAAGAATTATACTTCTCAGAAATTCACTTACTGCGGTAGAGTCTGGAACTGATTAACCGGGGTAAACAAGGGGAAATGTATATATATTTTTATAAAGATAAAACAGAATATAGTTAATAAGATATATTCATTTAAATTTGGATTTTAACAAACTGATTTAAATTTAAGTAAGATAATACTAGCAAAAATTAATAAAATCTTAATTAAATCCATTTAAAATGATTTCCATACTTTTTCCCCAAATTGAAATTTCTTATTATCTTCTAATAGAAATGATTATAAACAGAGACAGTCATAATCTTAATATTGTACTCTCTATATAATCTGTATGAAAAATTCAGTTTCAGCTTACACTTTCAAATTATCAATATCAATCTCATAATATTGTCATTTTTCACCAACAAAACTTTCTGCTTACATATTTGGAATAGAAAATTTTCCATCTTACTTAACACTAAGTCAATTTCTAATTTCTTAAAACCGGAAAGTTTAATATAAATGAAACTCATTAATATAAAAGTTCTAAAGTTGTTTAGTCATAAATATATATTAGGAAATAATCTATATTTTGTGACGAATAATACGTAAAAACAAACAGGTTTTCTTTTTAGCAAGTGCCTTTAAATATAAATATATTAGATAAATCAATATAATTAAAATAAATGAAATTTGTTTAAGAAAAATTGATATCATTATTTTTATTGGTGCAATTTAAATCTTGTTAAAATTATCTCATCCCTGTACAGCACACAATTTTATCAGAGATTTGAAAATGGAAATTATTCAACCGCAAAGAGCTATAGTTCTCCATAGCGCTTAAGCACCATGATTATAACACAACTTTTTTTTTTTTTTGATTTACAAAGAATATGCCATTTTTGTTCTCAGGTGGCTATAGAGATGCACTGAAGTTTCGGCCAGGGGAAGCCATCACTTTTGATCCTGAGGCATTTGTTCAGTCTCGCTCCTCCCAGTCGACTCAATTGTTCCTGGAGGGCATGCTGAGTTTACAAATATTTCAACAGGTAAACCCAAGCCCTCCTATAGATAAATATAAAGGCTTTTTTTCCGGGGGCGTTTTCGATCACACCTACCATGCAAAGAATTTTTAAACTTACGATTTAAACAATATTGTCCAAACAAAAATGTTAAATTTAAAAAATCTGAAATTTTATTTACTGTGACCATAACCTTGTTGTAAAGAAATCACAAACTCAGAGTCTTTCATAGTATATATTTTTTTCCTTGTTGCTGTTAAATTCTTATGTGCATTGTTTGTATGTATATTCGTTTGATTTTGGAAGAACTTTAAAATACTTTCATCTCTCTGTTTCGGGAATGGCTACAGACTTAAAATTTGGTGCATAGCTGAGTGTAAATGTGGCTTTTAATCTTTCAATAGTGCATTTACGAATGATGTATATATTTTAAAGTAGTGGCTGTGGAAAATAAAATTATGACATCATTTCCGTTTAAAGAAAGCGCGTTTACCAAAAGTTCAACAACAGTTCAGCGTGTGTAGAAAAGATTCTAAATTTAATACTAAAATTATACTGAATTAAGACTAAATGTAATACTGATTTTATACTGAATGAAAGTTACTTTGAAAAAAATATATTTTGTTTTTTGTGATATCGATCATGAAACCCAACTGCTCCTAAATAGCTCATAGCCTTGAATTAATGATCTTAATGGTCTTAAAGGAATTAAAAAACAATGTTAAAACAATGCACCACGAACATTAGGTTGGACTTTATAGACAGCAGAAAAACCATTGAACGCTTTCAGCTGGAGAATATATTATTAATTAGATAAAAATGTAACATCTTTTGTAAATGCTAATTTTCAGCTTGTCTGCTGTGAAAAGATTTCAACTGAAATGATCAATGTTTTATTATCTGTTAAAACCTTTCCAGTTTTTGTTATACTCTCTGCATTCATACATTTATAAGCTTAACCACATTGCAACTAATGTCATAGCTAGGGCAACAGAAAAGTCTTTTGTGAAGAAGTGTCCCTCTACTATATAATGTTCCTAAAATCAGATGATTCAGTTTCGCTGTAATCAAATTTCATTTCTTTTTGTTTTTTTAACAAAATGAATGTTTTTTGTTTGTTTTGAAAGTTTATTCGTGGCAGACTGGAACTGTTAGAAACTGGTCGTGGATATACAGATATATTTGATGAGGAAGCTTACAGGTATGCAGATAAACTCAACAATCAGCCAAAGTACAGCAAGTTTTTCAATTCTGCAAAGGTGAGTTTACTTTTAGCAGCCATGAAAGACACTCTAAGTATTGATTTGGGTTGACCAATTATGTTATCTATACATGAGTTTTAAAATATAAAAAAAAAATGTCTTTTAGTATTTTTAAATTCTGACATATTTTTTATCTTGTTTAATAGAACAATATTTTGAATTTTTTATTGCAGAAAAGTGGAACAAAGAGTATAATGAAGGTAAGGTTTTTAAAATTATTTTTAGTTTCAAAAGTGGTTTGTCTTTTTGTATGGTGTGGTATTTTTTTTTCTTCTGAAGAAGAACTCTTCCCAAAAGTTCTCATAGATAATTTCTTGTCTCTCTCTCTCCTTATGATTTCACTTTTTGGTCCATATTTTATTCTTCGTGAGTTTGATCAAGTGCATTCCACACTAACACAATTTTTCTTTTGTAGTTATTTGGCAATGGAAATAATGGGAGTCGCTTAGTCGATTTATTTGTCACGTGTTGAGAGTAAAAACGAGTAAGACTTCCGGTAGGCTTGTCTAGTGCTTGGCAACAGTAGCCCGTTACACACTACAACTAGTAATTCAAGATACCTAGGCAATGTTCGGCTTTTGGCTGTTCAAACAGTCAAGTTAAGGACAGCGGTATAAGTCTGCATAAGTTTCCGCTTAAGGATAAAGAAAATATAAGACAATGGCTTAATGACATCATGGGTAGGCCGACATTTCGTCCAATGAAAATTAACAATAAAATAAACAAAGGGGGATGACTCCTGCACAAATATTGAATAAACACGCAAATGACGTCTTCGGCACGCAAGGAGCTCAACAACAGCCTGCCGATGATAGTATTGATAGTTCCCATCGAATATCGCTCCCAAATTTTTCTGGAAATAACTTTCTTCCTTTAATCATAACTGACGTATATTTATTGTCACATTTATGTATTTCATTTAAAAAACGAGTGTATTCCAGAATATTTTGAAAGGTAAAATTTTTAAGTAACATGACATTGGTGCACCGATGAGGTATCTTTTGTTGTGTGTAGCAGCCTAGTGATGGCTTACTCTCATCACGTGACCAAACAAGGAAGTGACTAAGCGACTCCCATTAAACATAATTACCTTTTGGGAAACGCATGGGAAAAGGATGTTATTGCACACAGGAAAATGTGCCCTTCTTCTCATTGTATTAGTTCCATATATTAGATTTGACCATAACAAAAGTATCACTTGCTTTCACTAGCTTTGTAATGAAGTCTTAATCACATTAACTCGCTCTACATCCTTGCTTCATTCTTTGATCTCGTATGACATCCTTGCTTCATTCTTTGATCTCATTTGTTTTATTTGTTGTTTCTAAATGTTTAAAAACCACCCTGTTTGTATCAACACGAACTTGTTAGCTTGTTGTCCTATGAAGAAAGGAGTATCAAGAATGGTCAAACCAATACGCAAAGTGAGCTGTAACATAAACAGATCTAATTCTAGTTGAGTGGGGCAGGGAGTTCATTTTTTTTTGTCAGCATTATGATGAAAGCCTAAGGGGGTAATCCATAAATGGCATCACATATTTAGTGCTTCATTATTATTATTATTATTATTACAGTGGTCTTATATAGCGTGGTAGCCCTAGGGCTGGGCTCACCACACTTCACATAAAAATTTTGGCAATAATAAACATGACATTAAAACAGCTGCATACATTTAATTAATTTAATTAAAACAGCTTTATAAAAAATTAAGAAAAAATTATTCACACATAAGCAGCATTGTTTATCAGTCAGAGGAGGTTGGGAATCGGTCAGGATCTCCATCCTTGTACCTAGAACATCCAGATTATAACATATCTAGTAGCATGATCCTTTTTTCAAAACTAGAACATCCACAGAGTTATCTCGTGGTGACATGTAATAGTTTTATTTTCCAGCTTCGTCGTCAGTCCAGCAAGGTATATTAGACTGTTTCCAGTATTATTCTTCATTTTGATTACTGTATCATCCTTACTTTGGTGCTATTATTTTTATAATGCTAACTGCTTACAATAATATATATTGCTAAAATTCACAATATGAGTAATTTCCAGTTTGCTCTACTGACCTGTCTATATCATTTTAATCTGTCTCTGACGACTGTATATAACACACCTGCATTTTTTTGTATTTAAAAAAAGTGTTTAAAGTTATAGTTTTACAGTTTCAAAAAAAAAACAAAAAAAAACAACCTTTGTCAGCTTGACGACCTACAGAGTTTTGATATTCAAGCACTCCGACTTGTTCTAAGATAACAGCTATTTTGTGGTTTATTTGTTGTTTGGTGATTTAAAATTTTTTTTTTAATGCAAACAACTAACCATGTTTAAGTCTTAATTCATTGAATTTGCCATCAGGAATAGAAAGCATGTTGAAGTTCAAAGATGAATATCTCAGTCAAACTCCAGAGAAACCTCCTGTACAGTTTCTCTGATCTCTTTTTTCTTCAACTTTTCAAAAGTTTAAACCATTCAAAATTTTTAAAAATTAATTATGCCCTTCATAGATTTTGCTTCTAAAGATTTCATTCAACAAATTTTTGGTACCTTAATGTAAGTTTCTATTGATGAATTGAGTCAGTTTATGCATACATATGCTAACGGCTGAACTAAACTGCAAACTCAAGACCATTAAATCAACATTAATCTCTTGATTTTCAAGATTAATCCAGCCTTACAGTTTTTTTGTAATATGGCAAAAATAATAATTTCTTTTGTGCAATTTGTCAAATTCAGAAGACATGGAAATTGTTGCCAGAAACATTATCGTTCATATAATTTTCAACTAAGCTTGATTGCCAATGTTTTTGTGCATGACCTTTTTAGGGATGAGGTGTTTGCTCTTGACAAAATATCTGACACCTAAGTTTTGGAATGTTGAGATGTCTTTTGCTATGTCTCTGAAAAGTCAGTTTGCATGACCAGCATCATCAGATTTAATCAGAATTAGATCTTATGAGGAAAATAGTTTTTACGTTTACAGTTTTCTTTCTCTCTCTTTCTCTCTATCAAACCGATGGGAAAAAAATCGAATTCAAAAAGATATATAGTAAAACTAAAATGTAGTAAAAGACCAGTTGCTTGTAATGCTATTTATTACTCTTCTGTCCCTGTAAACTTTTTTTATTTGTTGGGTGGAGATGGGTTTAGCTTTGCATACTGCTCAAACAATTGACATCCAGAAGATTTGATAAATATAGATTTTAAAAACTGACAGACTTGATTACAATTGTGCTGTATGGGAACAGTGTTTACTAAATAAGTTTCTTTTGGAAAGACACGTTAAATTAATGTTTTCATGTTAGTAGATAAAATAAGTATAATTTAAGTAGTTTATTTTTGATGTCAGTTATTGACCCAGCGGATGAATGAAATGCTGCTTTATTCTCTGTAAAAATCATAAAATTACACCTAAACTGTCAACATTTTTGCTACCTTTGATGACATTCTGTAATTGTTGTGACCTCATCTAACTGAAATCCCATTAGAGCATAGTTACATAACATGAAAATTCATTTTCTTTAGAAATGGCATTTTCTATTTATTCTCATGCTACTACTAACACTAAAATTTGATTAATGACCTTTGATCATTGCCCTTTCATTTAACCCCTGACCTGTAGGCAGCTCCTATGATGTCCACAGCTGTCCAGTCAGTAAGTTGGATATCTGAGCATGGAACCCAATAAATATGAACTGTTGTATTTCCATCTGCCCTCTGGTGTCCCGATTTCTGTGTGTTTATGTGTGTGTTGCAGTCATACATATTTTTTATTGCTTTCAACGCAGTTAAGTAAAATTAATGTCAACTTCTGGTTCATATAAATTGCTAGGTCGTCTGCCATCATTTTCCTTTATTATATGCCTTTATTCCCAAATCTAACCAAGATTTTTTGTGATAAATACCATCACAAGATAATATGAATATTTATGTATTTATTGTCATGCTATTATTTTGTGCTTTTCAAGTTGTTTTTTTTATGGTGGTTTATGTTAAACTATATCTTTAATAGGATCATTTAATGTTGTTTAAACGTTGACCAGGAACTGTTGAAAGTCCGTCACCAGTTTTCAAATAATTCCATCCAGTAATCAATCTTTACACCCCAAAGCCCTGCCATCCTCCATTCCTCTGACACACAAATTAATTGTAAAAATTATTGTATTTTTTAACCTTGCTCATTTGTCCCCATTTCACAAATAATAAACATAATTTACATTCAGTTTAGTAGCACAGAAAATGACTCCATAGAATTCTATTTAAAGAAAAACAAACTATTTTTTTAATACTTGTTTAAATAAAACTAATTTTAATTGAAGAAAACATTCAGCAAACTTTATTCAACAGGAGAGAAAAATTTATATTAATAATTTATACTGTATTCATGTTACTTCGATAAACCGAAACATTTAGATCAAATAATTGTGCCCCCCAACCCACCCCGCTCCCACCTACCCTTCCTTCTCTGAACTCGCCACATCTCTTTTTCTCAAAAGTGAAAATTTAAAAAAAATTAATGCACCGTTTATTGAAATTTATTTACTTATTGCAATAAAACCATGTGTCTGTGTCCTCTTTTCCGAACTCCTCATATTGTTCATCTATACAACTCGCTTTCAAAATTTTAGGGAAACTTTCATAGTTATTTATTTTCATTTTATTTAAAATGTAAAGATGCTAACTTTTTAAAAAGGTATTTACATTGTAATCACCCCCAAGTTGTTGTCATAAATGGCCATAGTATTTCTTTCTCTGCAGTTGTTCCTGAACACTTACAGTAGAACAGTAGTTAATTTACATTGTAATCATCCCCAAGTTATTGTCATAAATGGCCTTAGTATTTCTTTCACTGCAGTAGTTTCTGAACACTTAAAGTAGAACAGTAGTTACATTGCAGGATCTTAATGGGAAAAATAAGTATTATTTATCTATAACTATATGAAGACTGGTTTTTCTATGTATCTATAACTATAAGACAACAGGGTTTTTTTTAAAAACTAGAGCACTCAAGAATTGTGCATGGAAATATATTCTTGTTGTCTCTGTATGACAGTAGCTGGATTGAAGCAGCTTTGCCTTGTCTGATTTTATATGTTGAAAGTATATATATATATACTGTAATTATCTCTAAATTGATGTTCTTTTACACTCAGCGTACTATTGATACTGTTCCATAATTCCTGGGCTATCATTTATGATATCTTCAATAGCTAATAAAACTCAAGATAAAATTTACTTGAATGAAGAGTACATATAAATAAAAAGAAGTTTTGTAAGAATATTTTGTAAGGAAATTTTAATTTAATTAAAAAGATGTTTTGTATCATAGACAATTTTATTTTTAAAAAAACAACAATTGATCGGAACTAACCATGGAGTGGTTAATTTTTAAAGCATAACATGGTCAATTAGAACAGTTTAAATTCAAAGCCAGAATTAGATTTCCTTATAAAATGTGTCATGAATTGAAAGTTCAATCAAATGTGTTGTCTTCCATTCAAACAATGAAGCTCTGGTTTCCATTCATACAGATAACAGAACAAGGGAGGAAAGCCATGTCTGGTTTCAAGACCAAAATCTCAGGGGTGAGTCAAAGTATGGAAGGTGTGCTTCTAAGTATGGAAAGGGTGCGTTTAAGGAAAGAAGGGGTGTGTTTAAATGTGGAAAGGGTGTTACACCTGTAAGCACTTTGTTATACTCTTCTAAAGCATCTTGTTATATTCTTATGGGGTTTACCTGTGTTATTATGCACTAATATAATTCAATTTTCCTTCAGTTCTGTAATGAGTTTAAATGAGTCACGTCCATAGGTGGAAAACTTCTCTTAACATTCTTTGTACTGGCCATAATTAAACTAAACGGTTACAAATAGCCTTCAACTTAACTTTTGCCACTTCTTACATCTTTACACCTCTTAAAGTGCCATTAAACTACTTCCGGTAATAGAACACTACTTCCAATGACAGAACACTACTTCCAATGATGTAACACTACTTCCAATGACAGAACACTACTTCCAATGATGTAACACTACTTCCAATGACAGAAAACTACTTCTGATGATAGAACACTACTTCCAATGATATAACATTACCTCCAATGATAGAATACTACTCCAATGACAGAACACTAATTCCAAAGATATAACATTACTTCCAATGATAGAAAATTACTTCCAATGATAGAACATTGCATGTACTTCCTATGGTAGAACACTACTTCCAATGATAAACACTACTTCTAATGACAGAAAAACTACTTCCAATGATATAACACACCTTTAATGACTGCTTATGTTTTGTCTTCATTTCCCCAAAATATCATAACAATAAATTATACATGCAAATATATATGTATAATAAAACTCTCGATAGGTTAGACCACCATACCCCCCACCCCCCCCCCCCCTCCCTCCAAAAAACACCATTTCACCTAACCCACCTTTGACGTAAATAAATGATCGCTCTACAAAAGAATGATGACCTCATCTTGTGATTTACCTTGCCTGTGGCCAACCTGATCAGCCATTCTGTTTCATCTCCATGCATCAGTTCACAGAGCCAGAGGAGAAGAAAGGAAATGATTTCCGGGTGTCAGGTGGCCTGGTGCATTCCAAACCCCTGAGGCAGACCTCAGCCTACCAGCCCTCCGTCAGAGCCACCAGGGTAAACCCCAGCATGGATATTGTCAGCATGTTTGTTGTCACTGGCCCCTGCACTGAACCCCATTTACTGCATCGCCCTGCTGCATTGATAATTCATGTCACTTGTTGCAGTTTTTTTCCACTCTTTGTTTCAGTAGAAAATATTACTTTCAAATTCTTTAACAGTTGGCTTTTAAAAAAAACAAAACATTACAAGTTTTTTGTTGTTGTTTTTCTTTCTACTGCACTGAGATTTGCCTTGCTCTCTCTGTGGCTTTCTGTTCATAACTTATATTTCCCTGAAACTCTTGGTTTTATAATTACCCACCATATTCATGTGCTGTTTCATGTTGCAGTACTAGCAGATTTAATTTTATAACCACTGGACTTTGTCAATGTGTTAACGATTTTTAACAAAATGTATTTTATCAAATTTAAAAAAAAAATTAACCATATTTAACACAAGAATTAATGCCCCTTACAGAGAAAGTGACTTTTTAAAGTTGCACTAATTTAAATGTCAGAGGGAGACTGCTCGCTTCATAAAGCGGTACTGTTTGGGAGGAACAACTTCAGTGTCAGGCTATGACACTTTCCCATAGTGTCATTAGAGAGCCACACATTGTGGTTGTTGCTATCATGGATCAAATGCCACTTAGCATTATGATGCAATAGATGATGGATAGAAACATGCCTTCAACAAAAGATGTCTCATTTGTCTCATGGGCTACAACTAAATCTAATAATCTATATCGCAGCAAACCTAAATTTTTATCATCAGCTTATTCCCCAATCCAGAATAGCTTGACCTTTGACCTTTATTTCTGAATTGAACTATAACTAGCCAAGGCTTGTGCCTAACATTGTTCAAACTTTTTTCATCATTTGATCTGCAAGCAGAAAGTGATTTCTACACTTAGAACCATTAGCTCCACTTAATTGTTATGATAGATGAGGGGAAATGGAAGTTGCAGAAATGTATTCATTTGTTAAAAATGTTGCTCTGCTCCACAGAAGAAACTTGATTGTTTTCAGGGGAAGTCAATATAAAACAAAATCTTGATAATTAAGACATCCTAAAATGAAATATTCCATACATGATAACTGTAATTGTTATCATCTCTTATTTATAATCAGAACTTAGTTTTTATGGTCTTTGTGAATATGCTTATCTTTGGTCTGACTAAAATCCCACTTGATTTTGCAATGATGCTTCCTTCCCTTTTGAACATACATTGTACGTTGGTGGGTCACAAAGAGGATTCTAGTTTACTGGACACCTGGATATATGATTAGTGAAACACCTGGATAACCAAACCCCTGGATGACTAAAATCCCCGGATGACCTAGTCTTGTGTAACCAAACCCCTGAATGACCAGCCCCCTGGACCTAATCCCCGGATGATCAAATCACTGGATGACCAAACCTAAGGATGACTATTGTCCTGATATGAGAGTTCCTAATGTACCATACTACTAATTAACCTGTTGGTGAATAGTTTAGCCAGGCACAGGGCTTCCCATTTATTATAGTATAGAGGTTGGCGGTATTTTTCTTCTCTTATTAATAATGTAAATTGCTTGCCAATGTAAGCTTCACCTGTCTTGTACCTTGCACGTCCAGGCAGAAGCTTGGTGATATACATACGTTAACTGGTAACATACGTGCTTGTGTTTCACTGGTGCCAGTGCCAGTATTTTTGAAAATATTCATTTATTGGCTGTAAAGAAAATGCTACTCAGCTATTAAAAAATATAGCTACTATATCAAGAATGTTAACTTGAATTAATGAAAGACTTGCTATGAGGTAAAAATTCACTTGAATAAATGAAAGACTTTGCTATTGGGTAAATTTATTTGAATTAATAAACGTATTGTTATGAGATAAATTCACTTGAATAAATAAAAGACTTGCTATGGGATAAATTCATTTGAATTAAAGAAGACTTGCTATGGGATAAAATCATTTGAATTAATAAAAGACTTGCTATGAAGTAAATTCACTTGAATAAATGAAAGACTTGCTAGGAACTAAATTCACTTGTATTAATGAAAGACTTGCTATGAGGTAAAAATTTACTTGAATAAATGAAAGACTTGCTTTTAAGTAAAATTCCCTTGTATTTACAAAAGACATGCTACAAAGAAAATTGACTTAAATTAATAAAATACATGCTAATTATTTTAAACAAAATGAATCTATGATAAAGAATTATATTAAATATTGTGGTGAGACTAATATTGTTGGACTTTAAAGATTTGCTTGTATATTTAATGATTTTTTCTTCCAGCCACCAAGGCCTCCCCCACCCAATAAATCACAGAGCAGGCCAGAAACAACGTAAGTAATGTGTTGTAAGTAATGGATCAGTTTAAATATTTTGGGTAATATGAAGTCCTGTATACTGATATAAACCAGAGTTACTCTGGGTACTTACTCTGGGTACGCCACCCTTCTATTGACATGCAAAGAATATATATTGCATCCTTCAGTCTTCTCGAGTTGAAGGAGTAGCGATTGACTCTTCATCAAATGACTTATGAGGCCTATCTTGGAACGGCAGTCTGGGCTGCACTTCTCGCAGGAGAACTGTCCTGAACTTTGTCTCCTTGTTAAATTGGCCTTCCGTTATGCCTTATTTTGTTGCTTTGTTTTTGTGCTTCTTCTGCCTTTTTGAGTCCTTCATACACTGTTGTTCACCTGCTGGAACGGTGCTCAGCGATGATCTCCTATTTGTTGATTTCTATGTTGGCGTCCCTCGTGCTTCTTTTGCAAATGTCCTTAAATTACAGTCGCGGCCATCCAATAAGTCTTGCAAACTCTCCATACAGCAGATTCTTTTGAATATGGCCTTCCGCCTTTCTCCTTACATGGCATAACATCGAAGGCACCTCTTGCTAAGAGCGGCTAACATCCTACACATTTTGGCACATTCCAAAACCGCTGTGTTAGGCACCTTGTCCTGCTATCGAATGTGACGCAGACATCATTGGCGGAAGCTGTTGACATATTAAACAATGACATCAAATTAGCGCTTAGGTTAAAGGTCTTCAGGCATAATTCCTAGATGCTCTCCCAGCTCCACTTATAAATGTAGGATGCAATTTTAAATTTAATCTTCTTCTATATCTTAAGGGCCCACGATCAATTTATTGATCATCTTATAATCTTACAACTTGCTTGTCTTCAAGGTTGTAATTTAAAGGACACAAATTATTTGAACAAAAACTATTTTTATTTATACTGAGAAAGGATTTTCAGTGGGGGATTGGGAATGCAAGTTTATATATTTTTTAAACATGGAATCTTAAGTGGAGTACAAATATGAACACAATATGGAGCCCCCTTGATTTGTACTGTTCAATGAAGTATGTAACTCTGCTCAATGAAGTATTTAACACTGCTAAACAAACTATGTAACTCATACTTGGGGGGAAAATTGCCACACATGAAAAGACTTAAAGGATCTCTGTAATAAATAAAATGTGAGAACCTTATTACATAAATCACATTAGTAAAGTATGAAAATCTCTTTCATAAATAAACAATGAGAATACATGACATAAATAAACAATGATAATACATGACATAAATAAACAATGATAATACATGACATAAATAAACAATGATAATACATGACATAAATAAACAATGATAATACATGACATAAATAAACAATGATAATACATGACATAAATAAACAATGATAATACATGACATAAATAAACAATGATAATACATGACATAAATAAACAATGATAATACATGACATAAATAAACAATGCTGAAAATTTGAATGTGTTGTCATTGGCAACAAAACTATGTGCCAAGTTTCGGTTGGATAGATTGAGGGGAAGTGGGTCAATCAGCCTTCTGAAGATTATGTCAGCCAGCCATGAACAAAAGCGAAGTTGAAATAAAGTTGTTTTTTAAAAGAAACGTGATGATCTATTGCATAAATTAAACATTAGATGGTCTAAACTTAATAAATAGTTTTCAGCTGGTTGGGAAATCTGTTAATCTGTCAGTGTCTTTGTCAAGTCTGCCCAATATTTGGTAGAGCCTGGGAAATGTTTCCATTGCAGCAAAGTGCATCTGGGGGAGCCTAGTCATGATGACAGTCATCTACGTCTGAGCTACCACACGCCGGATGTCAGCCTCATGGGTGACAGGGAAATTCAGGCTGCCATATATCGATCCGCAAGTGCTGAGATGTTGCCCAATCACTACAAAGAGGTGAGCCCAAGTCTCTTCACTTTATCCTTTAGTTAAATGGGAAAGTTATATATTCCCTTATTTTAGAACATTTTGACTCAAATTTCCAGCTAATTTTCTGGGAAAAGATACAGTATTAAACCATAAATAACCGTTTATTTAGGATTAAAAACCCTTAAAAAGGATTTTAATAACAATTTATAAAGCCCAATCAAATTTAAATATTTACGATCTCCACATCTAATTACAACTTAACTTACTGGTACTTTGAAGTTCCATTGGAACTCTGTATGTATCTAAATTAGCTTTTTTTTTTTTTTTTTAGTATATTGCTTGATATAGAGGCAATGAATTAGTGTTAAAAACATAGATAAGAAGTTAAAATATGCTGTTTGCATGGGGGTCGTTAAGATAAATAAAATAAACTCTTGTTTAGTTTCAGAGCCAATGAATTGTTAAATATATAATGTTTATGATTGAAGATATGTATATTGAGGAATTGTATTGCATCCTTTGGTTTTTAAGAGTTGAAATGTTGAAATCTGATAATGTAAAACACTTTTATAAAAAAAAATCTTATTATTTAACCTTATTAGGTTTACCGGAAAATCTCTTGAGAGATAACCTAAATTTGGCAATTAGAAATTAATCAGATTGATCTCCCCTCTAACAGGGCTCCAGTGGCTCCTGTTCAACTCAGTCCAGCGATTCCATTGAAGGAAGCGAGTTTCAGTTTGACCGTTTTGCCAACTCAGATGAAGGTAGGTCCATTCAGGCAAAGTCAAGATTTCAAACATGGTTTACAGAAAAAAATAAGTATCAAATTTGAAGTGTGTCCTAATGTGATTGGGTGATGAAATGAATTAAACAATGTAAAGGGTTGTTTAAACTTGTCATTCTGTGTCTGGGAATATTTAAAAGATGTATCTCCAGCCAATAGATTTTATCTTTATTACTCTTTACAACTTTATAAAAGAACTGTATATTTTTAAGACCATAACACCACCACCCCCTCCCCCAACCTTAGTTCTTTTTTTTTTTAAAGACAACTAAACAAAATATTTTTTCTCATTAAAAAATTCACAATAAAAGTAATTGAGTAGCTGACATTTATTCTTGTCTTCCCATGGGCATTCTTGATGTCTTACCATGAAATTCTTGATGTCTTACCATGACTTTCTTGATGTCCCACCGTGACTTCGTTGATCGGATATTTTTTATTTGATTACCTCCACAGACTCCGAGTCTATAAGGAGTGACCAGAGTAAACCACAGGAGCCAAACAACACAGGTCACTAGTTACTTTGGCATAACACTTGGCTCACAGAGTGATCAGAAGACAACTTTACTAGTAGTTTTTTGTTTGTTTTCGTCTTCAGATGTTTGATTCTGCAAGAAAGCATGTTGTTTGGTGTCCCTCTAATGTGACACTACTAATAAATACTTGGGTTCGTAGGGATTGACTTAGAAATATTCTGTATATTACTTACTAACATGTCTTAATAAATACTTGGGTTCGTAGGGAATGATTTAGAAAGATTCTGTATATTACTTACTAACAAGTCTTTCCATCTTATTCCAGCAGACAAACTGATCCGCCCACAACAGGACAAACTCATCCGTACCTCCATTAAATCCAACTCTAGTGATGTCCAGCCTGTCCCGCCGCCGAGAGGGAAGCGGAACACCAAATCGAGCCCGTTGCCCAGCCCTGCTTCGAGCCCGGCCATTGAACCTCGGAGCTCCATTCAAACTCCTCCAAAACCCCTTCCTCGCCAGTCAAGCTTGAGCAAGGCTGTCAAAGAGGAGACAACTCCTCCCAAAGCTGAAGTTCACGAGACTCCGTTGATCAAGTTTGATTCCACGGAGTCAGAAACAACAGACTCCGATATATTTGATCCTTTGGGGTCACCAAAACCCAAGCAAGGAGAGACTACTCTAGTTTCTCTGGAGGGCAGTGATGCCGAGGATAAGGATAGTGTTGACATGAGGTCATGGCAGAGAAACCAAGGTTCTAGAGTTTCCTTGACGCGACAGAAAGCCTTTCGGCGTGATAGTCCTGCAGCCCCACTTCGATCAGGCTACAAAGATGATGATCTAGATATCATCACTCCGAGAAAGGACTCCACAACAGAATTCTTTGATCCGCTGTCCGACTCCAATAAGTTGGATGAATCATCAGACACTGTTGGGAGCCTTGCTGTTAAAATGGACCCTTTATCAAGTCACAGTCCCCGGAGAGAGAGCTCAGACCTTCTTATGCAAGAGTGGTCAGTAGCCTCCCTGACCAAAGGCCCCAATGTGATTCTTCCGGTTGGACTTATCCCAACCCGTATAAGCCAACCCAGCAACCCGTTTCATTCACGCCAGGCCTATAACATGCCTCTGGTGCATCAATCTCTCCCATCCAACAATGCATTTCATGCACAGCAACAGGCGAGGTCTGTCAGCATGGCACACCAAGGTCAGATGGCACCACTGAGCTCACCACAGCATGCGTTCCAACGTGTCAGTCTGCCAGTCATGTCCACTGTTCCACACAACCAAAACCCTGGGAAGCTGCCTACTAAAAGTTACGCCCCCTACTCTGTACCACAGTCTTCCTTGCCGTTGCAGAATCGCGCGGTCGGCAATCTGTCTGCCTCCCCGCATCATGGGGGTGTCCCCGTTGGCCAGACGATGACCCCTCAGCCGTTGAGTGCTAAAAATAGTCCCACTGTTTCCCCCTGTGCATCCAGGTCTTCTACCCCGGCTGTTAGTTCCAGCAAACAGTCTGCTCTGTTTGGTGACCTCCTGGACATAGACTTCGGGGGCAGTCAAAAAAAACCCAAAGATTCTGTCACCGAGGACAAGCCTAGTATAGACAAAACACCACCTCAGCAGTCCAAATGGGAAACGTTTGATTAAAACTCATGTATTTTTAGATCAGCAATGAGATAAGTAATTTCACGGTCTATAGTTTGAAACCATCCCTGTTCATTACTTGATCCCATCCAGTGAAACTTGTTTTTTCTTTGGGGTTCAGGTTTTGTAGAATCTGCTGGATCTCAATGTAAGGTAGCTTGACACATTTATTAGGCTATGCTTACCTAGCCTGTTGATGTGACATGCCAGACGGTATTCATTTAATACCCCGAGTGCGTAACTTGTTCCTCTCAATGCAATGTAATATCCTAGGCTGTATCTGTGATTTTCTTCACATCTCTGTGTTGTGCCCATGCTAGTCAAGTTTGTGTAGGCCACGCCAACTGTGCTCAGCCAAGTGTTGTTGATTATACTCTTTCCATTTTTGTTAATCTTAGTGTTTTATTTTAATGTATAATCTCTTGTACTTTGACTTCAAGAGGATTTCACTTTATTTGTGATCTCAATTTCTTGTCGAGAAGTTATCCAACACTTGATTTCTCACTTAGCTGTCCAGATTTTATAATACCGTACTGAATGTTTTGTGTTTGTATGTGCGTAAAGCTCTGACAGAGTTGACATGTGTGGGTTGTATATTTTTGCAGAATCTATTAAATCAAACTATTAATGGACTAATCTGTGTAGTTCCTACATTACGCGCCCTAGGTGAAATATTGTGGATCAATGTGGCTTTCTTTAGATCTCCATACAACTGTGTAGTTGACCCACATTTTGATGTAGTACACAGATTCTAGGGCTCTAAGGAAATACTTTGGTGTCCCTATCATTCAATGTCCAAACTTTGAATACAGTTGTTGGCTTGAAACCAGTAACATTCTGGTGTTGTTCTTTCAAATTTGTTTAATTGTTGCTTCAAAGTTGTTTGATTGTTGCAATTTCTTGAACCCATGTTGGTGGCAATTCCTCTGTAGCATTAGACAAGTGTTGTTTGTTAGATTCTGTGGTCAGTTAAGTCCATGGACTGACCTACCATTTCTGACAGATCAAACCTTATGTAGCCGCAAGTCACAATTAACAGGAGCTAATGTTTAAATGTAAATTTCAGTTTATTTACAATGAATTAATTTAGTTTGTTCAATATTCCCAATCTTTCAATGCCAGTATTGATAAAATTATATCAGCTGATAAAAATAGACTGTCTCGTAAGAATAAATTCCTTGTTATAATTGTTTCAACAACTGAGCTTTAACTTTAAGTCTAATTTTATAGAAACAATTCTTACCTGAGGAGAAATAATTTTTTTATTATGTTCCATTTTAATCAAACATTGTTTTATAATTCTTGGATAGTTCATATGTGGAATTCATTCACAAAGTTTCAGTTGGATTTCTATATTTTGTAACATAAATTGATTGCTTTTAAATTTTGGTTCTATTTTGGAATATTGTGCAGTAAAATGTAATTAGTCTATTTACACAATTATTGTATGATTCTATTTACACACATTGTCACATGTTCATGTAGAAATATTTTTAGAATAACCTATTTCTTCATAATTCTTTGCATGAAATAATTATTCAGAAAGCAGACACTTGGAGAAAGAAAAATTGTGAATTTTTATGTGAGATAAACTAGTAAGGTTTACATAATGCAAAGGTGATGACATGAAAGCACAAATAAACAGTATATAATAATACATCAGTATATTTAATGTCGTTGTTGTTGTTGTTTTAGTCTTGATCCAGACACCTATTGCTGAGCTGACAAAAGTCCTGATATTTTCAAAACTTAATGTTAGTGTATCTGCAGTGTAATATACTAAAAGATGATTCAAGTTAACATTGGAGATACATCTTACAATAAAAATGTATATATTTTAAAATAGATTTTTGTTTGTTTAAAGTCTTTTATAATCTGCTCAAAATTTTCTATTGCTTAAAACCACCTGAGATATTCGCTCTTTGCTTTAGCTCTTTGCATAGCTTCTAAAATCAGTACTGGGTATAGCAAATCTCTTAGTGACAGCACAGTTGTCATCTTATCTCAGATTACTTCTAAAATAAGTATAGCAAATCTCTTAGTGACATCACAGTTTTCATCTTATCTCAGATTACTTCTTAAAGTAAAACAAGCAGCAACAAAAAAGCTCTTTACTATCAAGGTTGTTTCTATTTTTAGTTTAAGTGCCTGGTAGAAAAAAAAAATCAAGAGCTACAAAATGTATTTAGTTTTCCAAATAATGTCTTACAAAAAAAAGTCACTGAATCTTTATAATTGTACCTTTTTTTTTAGGTTGATTAATCATGTAACAAGTTACATTGCGTTTTTTAAAGATAGTATACTTTTAAATGATATTTTATTTGTTAGTTTCTAAGGTTTAATTTGTAATAATTATTTTTAAAAATAAACTTACGTCATTTCTAACAATAATCTAATAATTTTATATTATATGGTAGGTTCACCTGATGATGTGTAATGTGTGTGAAGAGATTTAATGTCCGTCTGTCTGATTTTTTGGCTTCTTGTATCAAATCTGATTGTGTGTAAGGTGTATCAAGAGATGTAATGTCTGTCTGATTTGATTGTTTCTTGCATTGTGGCCTTTGTCACATTCCTGGTAGAAATTGAACTCATTTAATCTTCATTCTATGAGTGTGAAACAAAAATAAATTATGGATATTCTTTCATTGTTCCAAGTGTTTGAATGTCAAGTTACTAATGACAGTTGAAATGTTAAGTACCTAATAACATCTGTTACAAGCTCAATTCATTTTGTTAATTTATTTATGTTTTTGCCTGCAATACGAACAAAACTTTGATATCAGCTTGCGTAACATTTTCCATGTATCTCATTTCTTATTAATGATAAGCAAGTACATATAATTTATACTTATCTGCCTGACCTGAAGTGAGCTATCTTTTTTTTCTTATAATATCAGGCTGTGCCATTCTCTGAGTATAGTACTATACTTATATTTTTCTCAACACAATAGTTTAGGACCTTTGAAATTGTTGACATCCATTTAAAAAAAAAAAAATTGCTCATTTGTGTGCAGTTGTGATTTTGTTGTCTCTATGGTTTCTTTACAATGCTTTGTCTGCAGTGGTTTTTCTCTCTCAATAAATAATTAAATTCCTAACAACCATTCTGTCTGGATTTCAGATTTCAGACAAGAACATTATAATAATGGAAACAAAATTTAAAAAAAGAATCACTTCCTATGAGTTGCCCTCCACTGGAGTGCTTATGGTGAGAATTTGAATTAACCAATCATACTTCTGCATGTGATATGTGCTCAAAACCTGAAAAATTTGATGTTAATCCAGTTTTAGTTTTTGAAAATTCCTTAGGATCATTTTGTTAATGGAATTCTTGTTGACAAAGTCACTACAACATGAAATCAGAAGCTATAGACTGCTTGATTTAGTACAGACATCTTAATGCAACACTTCAAGAGTATGAATGGTGCCGAGTTTGAAAATTTACTGATCATTTATACATTTGCTATTAATTTTAAGTTTTCCAAACTTTATGTTTAAAGTATTTATTTGAATATAAAGATATGGATTTGTTATAGATAAAGTAACTATTTATTAAATTGACTAGATCATCATGTTGTGTTTGAGGCTTGAGGTTCTCACATGGGTTACCTTGTCCTTCAGAATTTGACTACATAATTTGTTTCTTCTAAATAAAAATTTATTTTTTTTCCATTAAATTAATGGTATTTCTCAGCATTTTCAAAATCCTACATCTCTTCAATCAAAAACAAGTATTTGTAACAGTACCAAGTTAATTATTTTGTGTACACCTAAATACAAATTGTGTTACATTAACTTTCCACTTATTCTAAATAATTTAAATTCAGCTTCATTCAGTTTAACATAACCTTAGGAATGCTCAAATTAATGTAAAAGAAATAATTAATTTATTCTACAATTAACTTATTGCTATTGCATGTCAATTGCTATTCTTATATTTTGAGGCAGGAAATACTTCTTTGCTTTAGTTTGATTGAGACAATAGTTGGTAAATGATGACTTATTATTGATACGATTTTTAACTCCTCTATAAAAATAAAAATGAACTAAATTGATTAAACTTGAAATAAGTTGATGTTTAAAAATTAACCACCAATTCTAAATTTTAAATTTGTGAACAATATTTTTTTTAAAGTGTTTTGTTTCTTCTTTTCTACAATTCCAGGGTTTATTCAAGCTGTAACTTAATTGTATGAGCTGCAGCTATCTTTTTTTTAATCCCCAAGAATATCTGGTGAAATTTGAATATGTTCAACCTGGCTAATTTCTTGTAACTGGGGGCTTCTCAGTATGAATTCAAATAATTTAGTTTTACACAAGCAGGACACCTTTTAATAACCCAATTTCTAGGTAGTTAGTTTTTTTTTTTCTTAAAGAATATTAAAGGTCATTTAAAAATTTACTTTTTCTTTTCAATTATCATTTGGTAAAGAAAATTATTTTTTTTTTAAATGGGTTTCAATTGAGTTTGTACTATTGTGTTACTTTTGAAAAAAATGGATTTAACTGATTATTACTATTGATTTTATTACTTAAATGTAACTGGTTTCAGTTGAGTTACTACTGTTGACAGTTTTATTTCAAGGAAACTGGTTTTATGGTACCGGGTACCTGGGTTCTATCACATCCACAATCTTACCTCACTGAATGAGAATGTTCATTCCACTGTTTTATCTGTGATTCTGTCAGCTTCTACAGGGTCAAAGGTAAATAATGTTCTTAATAGAACGGGCATATCCAACTGAACTATCTAATTGAATTTCATAGGTTACCTCCCAAAATATCTTCATTTCATGATCAATTGGATGGAAATTTTAATGGTATCAGTATTAGTTTGTAATTGTTCAGTGAGAAACCAGGGTGCTAGAGTGGTTTTGTGATTATTGAGTTAGTTCTAAACTGAAGTTAGATCTGAAGATTTCTATGACTTGAAACTTGTGTGTGTACTTTCACAATCAAAATTGGTGAAAACCGACACATTTTTGTTCATGTTTTTTTTAAAGTAAGTAGTTTTTTTGTGTGTAGTTAATTCAAGATTATCAGTAATAAATGTTGAATTGTTATGCATCATGTTGCTGCTAATGTAATTTAAAGCTGTACAACCAAAGTATCGACTACAATTTAATCTATACCTACTTTAGGAGTGAGCAAGCAACCAGATGTTTAAGTTCTCTGGGCAGGAGTGGATATGGTATGAGGTAACTGGTTTGGTTGTCATTATGCTTGCGTATTTGGGGTTGGGTCTTGGTGCTCCTGGCAAACATATTGAATGGACTTGGAAGAATCTTGCACTTAACAGAGTTCAGCTTTGTATAGTTCTCCAACACAAAGGTACATCTATTGCTGTGTTATTTATATTGGCTTTTGTCAGCTTTAGTGTCTGGTGTAAATATGAAGTCTGGACATTTTGCTAGTGTTGTCACTATGCATAGAAACAAAGTGTTATATGTTTGCATGGGGCTTTAAATTTTTAATATTTTTAAAGGATTTCTTCATTTTTACTGTATAGAAATTTGGTTTGATTGATTTGTTGAGAAGAAATTGGCAGAGGTTAAATTTGTGATGTAGTAATTGCGTTGATATTTAATAGGTTACTTAATAAATAGTAGGGAAAATATTGAAATTGTTCTGAAGGACAACAGTTCACAAATTGACATTGTCTCCCTTTAGTGTTAACTAAATTTTTTAAAACATTTTTAATTCTGATTGAACCCCGACTTTTATTTCTATAACCTTTTTATGGAGTGGTGAAATAAAATGTTAAAAACAGGCATGTGCCTTCCGTTTGACAAACAAAACCTAAGTATTACTAGTTTGGGAAATAAAATATAAAAAAATTCTGGGTAACATTCACCAAAAGCTACAGTACCCAAAGTTGGAACTGTATTTTATGGTGCAACTTTCCTGGCCTGATCTCTGAATTTTTTTTTTTGTTGTTGTTGTTGCCTGTTTTCATCTTTGCGCACATTTTTCTCAGCTTGTAGGGTCGTTTAACAAAGAAGTGTTAACATTTAACAAAGTTTACTCAGCTTTTGTGCAACCCCAATAAAAATGGACCAGCACAAACTGTTGACCTAAATAGTTCCTTTTGTGACTTACTTAATCCAGTGGACTTTGGCATCTTGTGGATCAGGTCAGTCTTTATTTATATATAAATATGCATCCCCTAATGAATTTGATTTGATGAATAGAGAATTGTAAACTTCTAATTGACTGCATGAAATCCAGGTCATGGTGACACAGATGAAACACATATTTTAATGTTTTGTTTTGCGAGTTTTGTTTTTATCAGTGTATTAATGGAAACAAACATTTCAATTACATACCTGTACATTTGAAGTACGTTTATAAAAAAAATTCATTTTTTTTCTGCGTAAGTACAAAATAATTCTGTTTGTCATGTCATAAAACTGATTTCCTTCTTGTTTACCAAAATTATCTATCAATAAAGTGGAGTTTGTGAAAGTGTGTGATACAGTACTTTTTTATTGGAATAATACCTAGTGGTGCACAACTAACTTTTTGATCTTTGTTTTTATTCACCTTGTCAATGTGGAGGCAAAGATTTTTCTTGGATATTAGGGGGGGGGGGGGTGCCTCTAAAGCACATGGACAGAGATTGACTGGTTTGCGAGGAGTGGGGGCAGCAAACTACAGATTCATAGGTGACAAAAACTCCACTTGAAGGTGGATCTGTATATTAAAAAAAAAGAAAATGGGAACTCTGCGTGTTACAGTTAAAGAAGGGAGGTCAATAAGTAAATGCACAGTGGTCACAAATTGTGAAGTAGGGAGATTGATAATATTGATAGCCAGTGGTCACAAGTGGTAAAGTAGGGAGGTTGATACATTGATAGCCTGTGGTCACAAGTGATGAAGTTGGGAGGTTGATACCTTGATAGCCAGTGGTCACAAGTGGTGAAGTAAGGAGGTCGATACATTTATACTGATAGTGGTGAAGTAGGGAGGTTGATACCTTGATAGCAAGTGGTCACACTATAATACTAGTTGGTTATAAACAAAATAGGGTGCACAACACTACATGGTCAAGATGACAGCACTGTCACATTTGTAAAACTTAGTGGGAATATTGATATCTCAAGCATAATTAGGAGACTATGTTATAATGATATCAAGCCTGATTAGAGGAATGTGTTGTATCAAGTCTTATTAGGCGCCTGTTATATCAAGTCTTATTACAAGACATATTGTGTTATTAGAAAACTGTGTTTATGAATTCTAATTAGAAGACTGTGTTATCAGTCTAGAGGACTACAGAATAAAATATTGGTTTATGTTATTCCATTCTAGTTTACTAAAGAATTTAATATTATTAAACTTGTGTTCCCTCTATGACAGTGGTTCCCAAACGTTTAAGTTTGGCGGACCGGTGAATAAGTTTCGAAATTTTACCAGGGACAGGTGCATAATTTATTTGCATACTTTTATTGCTATTTGACAATAAATATTTATGTTATGGGGACCGGCAGCGTTAGGCATGCGGACCGGTGAAGGTCCACAGACCGCCATTTGGGGACCACTGCTCTATGACTATACTTTATGTAGTGCTGACTTTGGTCTTCACCTTTGTAAAAACCAAGCTGTTTTTTTTTTCAAATGAAGATTTTTTAAAAAAAAGTTAACATCACGCAATGTTTCTTTTACAAATGGTTTCTCAAATGTAAAAGCAAAAAATAATTTTCATAAAGTGATGTTTAATTTTAAAAATCTTTAAGAACAGCAAATGAAACACATGTCCAAGGAGACTTAATTCAATAAACAAATAGGGGAAATACCAACACTGGCCGTGACCTAGTTTCATGGAGATAATTTTTTTTTCAAATTTACAATTAACAATTTTAACAACAAAGTTTGACATAAATATTCTTTCCTCCTAGTACTAACTTTCATATTTACCATACTGAACAAAAACTAATTCTACATATTCACTATTTTTACAGAAAATGCAACAAAATCTTATATTTGTCTTCTCAGGTCTTTTAATTTTAGTACACTTACAGTAAAAAATCTTCCCATATGCAAATTGCATTCTAGAGGAATAGACTCAAAATTAATAATAAATGGGAGAATGGGCAATGGGTCATTCATAAAGAATGCCATCTGCATAAAGTCACCAATTCATCAAGATTAGAGCTTAATCAAAGCCTTATATCAAGAATCAGTTGAAAACTAATATTCCACAACATTAGGATAATCTGTCAAACCAAGATTTATCATCTGATATACAATCATAGATCCTGGTCAGGGCAAGTTTGGTCGTTGCTATAAAATGTGTCGGAGGAGTTGATCGATGGCATTCTTGTTCAAGCCTATCAGCCAAGTCAGTTAACTGGGTAAGTATCGCCTGGAAATTTGGTGAAAGAGCTTGATCAGCGGCACAGGAGGCTGTGCTGCTGTTGCAGATATCTACTGTGGTTGATTTGTCATGAGAACTTTCATCCATGTACCTGGGTTTTTTGGATGGCCGCTGGTAATGAGAAATATGAATAGTTATACTTTAAATGTAAAAATAATTTTCTTTAAAGATTGAATATCTTTTGCATCAATAATTTTGAGCTGTTATGTAACGCTCAGCACAAGTTCATTGCTAAATCAAAGAAATAGCTTCCAGGGGAAAAAGACTGCATAATTTTTGCACTTTGGCTTTTAGGATACGGTAAATTAAAAATTAATTGCATAACAACTTCTGATTTTTGCTGTAGAATTTTTCTCTATCAACTCAAAACAGCCTAACCTTTCCCCATCAAAATGATAACTGTCACAAAGAGCGACCAATTATAATGGTGTTCCAATGGCTGACCTGTGATGTAAGGGTGATAGTAGTGTTAGCGAGACAACTGCAATAAATAATAAATAGTGTTCATGTATTAACTTGCCTCGTTGCCATCAGTCTCTCCATCAACGTTGGAATGTGTTTCTGTCAGATTGTTAGAGTGCTCCTGACTCACAGTGACATCTTCCTCCTTCATTTGATCTCTCAAATAGTCCAGAAGAATAAAGCTCTGTGTTGACTGATGAGGGATCTGAGAAATAAGAGAAGATTCTATTATTCATCTAAATAACTGGACATTTTTTTTTCTTCATTACATTAATTAAATTTTAACATAAAAATATATACATATTTTAACCAAGACAACATTTTACAATTATAACAATTCAAATACAAGACAACTAAAGTATTTGTCTAGCGTAAAAATCAGCCATCATATACCCACATCCTGTGGCGCTACAGCCCATGTAGGCCTTTGGCCTGCCTCACCACTTCCACTCAGACCTAACTAATGCCTTTCTTTTCCATGCTTGGACTTTTTCTACATCATCTATCCACCTAAGCCTAGGTCTGCCTTTGAGCCTTTTTCTTCTGGGGTATTGGTGATATATCCTCTTCGTTCCTCTGTCATTTGGCATTCTCTCTAGGTGTCCTGCCCAGCGTAGCCTGCCTCTTTTTATTTCTGCCACTATCGTGGGATCCTGATATAGACTGTATAATTCCTGGTTGGTTCGTATTCTCCATCCATATTCATCCTTTGTTGGCCCACATATTTTCCTGAGAACTTTCCTCTCCCATGTGTTTAATAGGTTTTCTGCTGTTTTTGTTAGGGTCCAAGTTTCACTTGCGTATGTTACAACTGGTCTGATCACAGTTTTATAAATAGTTTTCTTTGTTTCTCTTGTAGTGTTTTTACTTTTGAGTATTTTCTGACTACTGAAGTATGTCCTGCTTGCGGCTGATATTCTTTCTTTTATTTCTGTTAGTAATTTGTTTCTTTCATTTAACAAGGATCCTAGGTATTTGAATTGATTTACTTTTTCAAAAGTTTGGTTTCTAATTTTAATTATTTCATCTGTTTGTTCCTCTCTTATCATGGTCATGTATTTTGTTTTTTGGTTGTTAAATTCCAGCCCTGCTTGTAGAGATGCGTCTTCTAATTCAATAAAGGATTTTGATATGTCTTTTATACTTTTCCCTAGAAGTGCTATGTCATCAGCATATGCAAGATACTGAAGTGGTTGGTTGTAGAGTGTGCCCGCTGGTTGAGGGTCTCGAGTTTCCCTCAGAAAGCATCCTGTTATCGTTCCTCAAGTGACAATGTGTATGTTTCTAATAACTCTCTCTAATGTCAGGTTAAAGAGCATACAAGACAGTGAGTCTCCCTGTCTTAGGCCTCGTCTAATATGAAATTCCCTTGAATATTCTCCTTGAATCTTGATTTAGCTTTTTGAGTTGTTTAGTGTTACATGTATTAGTCTTCTCAGTTTGTTGGGTATCCCAAACTCCTGCAGAGTCTCATATAAACAGTTTCTTTTGATGCTGTCATAGGCCATTTTATAGTCCACATAGAGTTGATGTACTGGTATATTAAATTCATAGCATTTCTCTAACAGGCATCTGATGGTGAAAATCTGATCAGTCGTTGATCTGTTAGGCCTGAATCCACATTGGAAATGACCTAGTATTTCTTCAGTGTAAGGTTGTAGACTTTTGGCAACTACTTTTGTCAGTATTTTGTATGTAACATTTAACAGGGAGATTCCTCTGTAGTTTGTGCACTGAAGTTTGGAGCCTTTCTTGTGTATTGGGGTTATTAATGCTGTTTCCCATTCTGTTGGGATTTTCTCTTCTTGCCAAATCATATACACCCCCACCCCACCAAAAAAAAATACCTTAGTGACAACAATGACTTAATTAGTGATCATTTAGATTTGGTAACCATTGGGGGAACACGCTGGTAAATTCTTAGACTGGGGGACAAAGGAACTTTTATATCTTTCGGTTCTAACTTTAAGCTTAAAAATTGTTTTTGTGCAAAGCTGTATTTTGGTATCAATCCATAGAATCTACATGATTGATTAGATGATCAATATTAATAACATTTTTATCCAACTGAAGATTTCAATTTTTATCTAATCCTTCAGGAGTCATTCTCAGAAAGTTACTGGATAATAGAGTTCTTAAACATCTGTCAATGTCATCCCCACACAAACTATTGCAAATATCTAATGTACTGCTTCTGACCTTATTAAGAAAATGTTCTACCCTCCCTTGAAGCCACTTATTCTCCATGATGCAGGCTGGGATTGCCTCCTCATGGCTGGTGTGTGTGGCAAAGTCTGAGAAGGCAGACAGAGCCATGTGGTGTACCAGTGGATGTGGATGACACATCATGTGATGAAATGTCTTGGCCATTTTCTCCAAAACTTGGCTCTGCTGATAAGTAAATACATTCAAGATTATTGAACGTTATAAACAGAGTCTGTCTACAGTTGATAAAGAAAAATTGTGTGTACAGTTCTAATTATATACTTCAGAAAGATATTAATTTAAAACCATGTCAATAATGTGTTGAGTGTTGAGTAAATAGGTCTATTTCTTCAATAATTAATGAGATGCATCTGCCTGGCTTAAGGCAGAAAAACATGTTTCTTCTCAGAAAAACCATCTCACAATGAGACTACAATTGGAGGTGGGTGGGGACAATGTGGCTTGATTTAAATTTTAAAAGTAAATGAAGGCTTTTAAATAAATTGTGACTTTTTAAAATTATCTTAATATTAGATTACTATATATCCTCGCATATAGGTGGAACCGGTGGATAGGTCGCATCCTTAGTTTGGGGGGTATTAATCTGGGTATTTTTGGTCAACCCATCTATAGGTTGCACCCTTAGTTTGCAGAGCTACATGAATCTCTTTTTATGTAAATATAACTCAAATTTGTTTAACAATTGTCATAAACTAAGTGATCTGTGATAAACAGTTTTAAACATCATTGCTCTTGACTCAAGTGCATGCAAGGGAGAAAACAATTCTCTAACTTTTCATAATTAATGCCTACTCCACAATGAATAACAGTAAGCCAATTGATGTGGAGTGAATAGGTCATAACCCTATTTTTTTTTTCAAAATTTTGGGTTAAAAAAAGTGGGATCGGTACAGGGGTATATACGGTAATGGGTACTTAAATGTATCAGTAACCTTATTGTAACACTAAAAGTCACATGAATGAATGAGTCAAATACCTGAAATGATGGAGCCATTCTGAGGGTCCTGAATCCTGTCAAAAACTCTATTATGGACAAACTTAAAGCTACTGGACAGGCAGGTATTAAATATCCTTGTATCACAATTAAAACCTGGTTAATAAAAAAAAATTATAAAATTAAATAATTCAGTGGAAGTTTTTAAAATTCATATGAATATTTTAGCTCAAAGGTCATAGAAAAAGATGCAAAGCTCAAAGATCATAGAAATGATGCAAAGCTCAAACGCTTTTTCTCATAGGGTTGATATAGGATAATATGTTAAAATCTAACTGGAACAGTAATTGAAAAAAATCTTTTTAGCAACAAGAGGAAGTATCCAGAACATGACATGAAAAATAACATGCAGCGTGCGGAGAATAATAAAATCATTTATTTTCATTTCCTTTTATCAAAAGCAGTGGATGAAATGGCGTACCTTCACATGTCAAATGCTCATGTTACCTGTAAAATATCACTGGTCTCCATCAGAGAAACAAAGCACCTTGTTAATGGCATGAGACGTGTCAAAAGCTGTTCTCTGATTTTTGCCTTTATTTCTGGGGATTTGACCAACTGGGCCCACATCTTGCAAGTGAATTCCAAAAGGATGGCTTGTTGGTGAGGTGCTAAGCAGGGTTCTGAGCTATTGTTGGACAACAACTTTGTGAAAAACTCTACAGCCTGAAACTAAAAACTTGTAATGGTATAATTTATGAATGTACTTTCTAAGGCAAAAATCAGCGGATGCAAGTGAACTATTTATGAATGTACTTTCTAAGGCAAAAATCAGCGGATGCAAGTGAGCTGATGAAATTAGATCATTTTTTTAAAATCATTCACAGTCTCTGCACAGCTCAGATACTATCAAGCAGGGATATTGATACGTTCTTCCATTGACAGTAGAACCCTCTCCATCCCAAGAACTAAAACTAAGACCATCGGTGAACGCTCCTTCTGCTTCCATGGGCCCACGTTCTGGAACCAGCTCCCCTTCCATATACGTCATAGTGAAACCTCGTCCATTTTCAAAAAGTCCCTTAAAACTCATCTGTTTAGGTCCGCCTATGACCTGTGATGCACCCTCCTTGCCCTACCTAATTTTCTGTTTCGGTTTAATCCTGAAGTGTCAAAGTGTCCTCTTTTTATAGCCATTTTCATTGTTTCTATAGAATAGTAGTTACTATCCTAGTGTCTCATTTGTATTTACTTAGTTTACTTGTTTTAATAATTGTAAAGCGCTTAGAGCTTTATGATAAGCGCTATATAAAAATGCCTAAATAAATAAATAAATAAATAAATATTGTTGCTACCATTTTACTCACTTTGATGATATACTTTTTAAAAGCTAATCTGTTTAGAAATACTGAAAAAAGATTGCTAAACGTTTTTTTTAAAGTTTGTGCAAGATTTTATTTGAAAAAATATTACGCAACTCAACTGAATGGTATAATTTTTATTAAAGAAATATTTAACTGCTATAAATTTTTTATCAGGAAAAATCCTTATTAAAATTCATATTGAACCCTTTGAACCCTTGACTCCTGGGCCTAAAACACCCATGCCCCTGGACTCTTGGGCCCAAAACACCCTTGCCCCTGGGCTCCTGGGGAAAATGTCCACACACTGACACACAAGCAAACAAAATCAAATGATTATAAAATTAAATAAATTGTATTTATTTCAATCTAAATGTGTCTGTTAGTAGTCAATTAGTATTATAAAATGTATCATAGAAATACAATTGTCTTAGAAATGTTGTAAAAGGGCTTAGTAAAAGGCCATTCATACAACCCTGATTTTTCATAAAAGCCAAGGCTAGGACTAGGGGTAGACCTTGTGTCGTTTCTTTTATTCCCAAAGCACACATCGACTAGAAAGCACAATAATAATCCTTTGAATTATTTACATTATCATTAAACTACTTTAGTTTGAGTCCTTTAGAATAGCAATTTTTGTATTTTTGTCACCTCTATACATAACAAAAACAATGCATTCATGGGCGCTGCAATTACTGTGACCTTTTGCAAGTCACATGATAAGCCCTGAACTCAGTATTTACAACACATTTTATATACGGACAGTCGATCTATGGTAAGGTATGGGAGACCAAAATATCAGTCTGGCGGGGGTGTGGATTTTTAAGGCGCAGACCGATAAAGCGGGATCAAAGGGTTAATAAACTAAAAAGAGATTTACCAATTTTTACCGATTAAAATCTTATTGCTTACAATATCTGCAGATTTTCCACTACTGGCTTGTAGTACATCCATTCCCCACGTCACCAGCTTCTGATGAACAACTTTAGGCAGGTTAGACTGTGGGCTGTCAGGGGACATGGCCAACCAAAATGCTGGATCTCTATCAGGCGGAATCAGTTCAACTAAAGCAGCCTGGACAAAATCACAATGAGAAAATCGATTGTTTTAAGCTATTTTAATATGTGCTAATTAAGATAAAGATCATCAAGCTAAACTCGGTCTTTTAGGATGATTAAAAATAATATGTAGTCTCACATTACTTTGCTTGGATTACTAGATGAAATAATGACAAATATTGGAACACTCCTAGTGAATAGAGCTAGTGAATGGTGAAATGCGCCTAGTGAATAGACCTAGTGAATGGTGAAACACTCCGAGTGAATAGAACTAGTGAATGGTGAAACACGCTTAGTGAATAGACCTCAAAATTATGATGACTTTTCAAACAATGATCCAACTTGAGGAAACTTTCCCAAAAACATAAATTACTGTCCCTAATTCAAAGTAAGAATACCACAGAAAACCTGATGCTCTGAAGTCATTAGTTTGAGCAGCCTTTGCAACAGACATTCCAGTCTGAACTGAGCTTTTCTATTACTCTTAGTGGATCCTCTCAACTGGATTTCCTTGTAGAGACCCACCAGCCTTTTGACATGGTCTTGGCATAATCCAGCTGTGCCATATCTAACAAAGAAAATAAGTTAATCTAATGACAAGTTTCATCTACAGTTTACATGTATCAATTGTCTACCTACTAAAAATGAATGGTTTACCAACATCTGTAGACACCTGCATAACTCTATAGTCACATTCACCCAACTTTAGTATAATTGGTTTTGTGAGATTTAACAAAAAAAATTTAAGAAAGATGAAAATAATGGCAATCACCTGGATAGGAAACACCAACAGTCAGTGGCAAGCAGTGAAGACACATGACTTCCATGTAGAACATTCTCTAGAAGTATGCACTCCTGATGAGATACAGAATTTGGAATGAGCTATTCCATAACTAAGATTGTGTGTGTGTTCTTATTTTTAAATTAGTAAAATTAGTATCAGATAAGCATGGGGTAGGTGAATGAAGAAAAATTGTACACCTGATATTTTTTGTAAAACTGTGGTAACTCACCGTTACATTAAAATGTCTTGCCAAGCAGGCTCCTATGTATCCACAAATGTGAATTGCCACATGTTCATATAGGCTCACTTTTCTACAAATATAAAAGCACGGCCATTCAGAGTTTATTTAGGAAAGGGGTTCTAAACCAATGTACCAACAATAAAATGTATTTGATAGTAAGATTTCAGGCTGCCAGAAATCAAAATAAGTAAATAAATCACTAGAGATAAATAAATGTAATTGCAGTTTAATGCTAGATTACCTTTCAGGTTTCCCTGATACCATAACACCAGGTAACATGACCGGTATTCTCATCTCCACTTCACCTGTCATTAGAACAATAATTGATCGTTATAGTATACCAGTGGTTCTCAACCTGTGCACTTCTTCGGGGCTCCGCAGCCACTCAAGAAAACTAATTATCACTATTAACTTGTAAGATATGGGGTGGGCCTAAGGCGGTCCCCAATAGTATTCGATTCTTGTAAAGGGCTCAGCGAGTAAAAAATGTTGGGAACCACTGCATTTTATAACATTTTTTTGGGGCACCTGCTGCTTAAAGTGAAAACAAACTATTGTGTGGATCAGGCTGGTAAAAGTAAAGAAGAAACTCCACATGACTGTGACTATGATAATAAGAATAAAAACACCAAAATGTGCCCCAAAAGACCCCTCATAAAACAATAAAAATACTTACACAGCTGTACACTGTGAAATATTGCAGCCAACAGGCCAAGTGTTGGTATGTTCTCACTGTGATTCACTGGTGTCAGCCAATAATCCATAACATCAACTGCAGGAACAAAAATGATCAAATTGTACCCTAAGTACATTATGTGGGACTGGGAAAAAAGAAATGAAGCTCCAGTCTTTCTGGGTCAAATAATTACAAAGAAAATATTTCATAAATTTAAAAGGAAATCAGAAGCAGTTGCAACTTTGTAAAATCGAATAATCTCAAACTCAAAAGCAATAATTAAAGTTCATATGATTTTTTTTAACATATAAAAATCTAGAGTACCCAATTTCTGAAAGGTTGTATTTAAATATATTTGTCAACAGTGTTGGCACATACCATACAGGTAAATGAAATAGTTTTATGTGTACTGTAACAGCTCTATATTTATAGAAATATATTGTTTTGTTATTTTAAGTATTAATGACAATGATTTTGATGTCATGCCCACAGAGAGAGAGAGAGAGAGAGGAAGGAAGTTGAGGAAAAGTGCTCTTGCATTGATTTAGGATACACCACATCAAATCGGAACAGCCATCTTTGATCTGATCGTATTATAAAGTGTATGAAGTTATATGATGTCATGTCATGACAGTTAATTTGTTCCATTTTGGACACATATTTATATTGTGACCCTTCAATGTGACTTCAAAGTTTATAGTTTCATTTAATTAACACTTAGTAAGAATCAGACTGTAAGAGACAAGTAGCACTGGTCACACATCAGTTACATATAGTGCCAGAAGTGTTCCATGTACATCTATCAGCACATTCATGAACTTGAACTTCCCGTACCTTCAAGTGTAGGTAGCTTATCCAGTACCATCAGCTGGAGGAGAAGTTTGGGTAAATGATCCTCTGGCACAGTCTCTGCTGTCAACAAAATGATGGGACATAAACTAAACATTGAGCACGATCTCGCTAAAATTGTGTTTTCATTCGGCTATGGGGAGGTCAAGGGGAACCGAAATTTTTTCCGCCGTTGGACTGACTAGTAGAGAACTGATTTATAAACACACTTTTCCATGGTTTTAAAAAGAATTAATGAAACTCAAACATTCAGGAGATCTGAACTAACTTTAACTTCTTCAAAAAGTATCAACACTCAGGACATGAAAAGTGTTGGACTGCGATAAAGCTTTAAAATAGATTAATAAGACACGAACAAATTGTGTCAATAGAACAATATGAGTTAGCTTTAATAATAATTATACATTATACACAATTAAACGTTTCGGCACATGCCTTCATCAGTACAAACAAACAAAACACATTTAAATAAGTATAAATTAAATTTACATAATATCAATATACATATCCTACCTAAAACAGAAAAAATCAGGACATGAAGCTTAACAGCTTTACTAAAATAAATATTTTTTTCATAAGCTTATAGGTTCTAGGCAACAAGTTATCCTTTAACATAAATTAATTAATAAAAATTCTTGCTAGGCGTATGATTTTTTTAAAACAGATTATTAGTAATTAATTTGTATGATCAATTTGGGAAAATAATTGAATTTACAATAGGTGATTAACTATGGGGTGAATTAAATTTACAATAGGTGATTAACTATGGGGTGAATTAAATTTACAATAGGTGATTAACTATGGGGTGAATTAAATTTACAATAGGTGATTAACTATGGGGTGAATTAAATTTACAATAAAAAATGATGCCATTTAAATAATTTGATAAACAGTTTTGAAAAGAAGATATTTGACCTGGAGTTTTCTTCGTCAAACCCAGCCTAAACACTCTGTTGGCCACCAGATGACCAATGATGGGCACAGCAGCATTGACAAGCTGGTTTCTAATAACTGACTCTTGACCATTAGAAATACTCTTGGAATAGACACTGGGGGGCAAATAACTGAAAATAGAACATTTGCTTTATTTTGAATAAGTTACAATTTAATTTATCATTTACTCTTTTCTTTTTTATCTGACCTGGACTTACTTTCATAGCTTATAAAAACGATGTCCTATGTTTAATTCATTCTTGCAGTACACATTTTTTGTCTTATTTACTCACAGTGCAAGTTTGAGTGAATAATCATACCAAAAGACCCTACTTTGCTACCCAATTAAAAAAAATCATTTGAGAGCAACTATGATAACATTTTATAAATACCTTTCTAACACATTTTTATAAAAATTTCAGATCTCCTGAAGCAAGAACTCACCGAAGAAAACACATGAGAAGCTCCAGAATATTGTCCTCACAGTTGTCAAGGTAAGCTGAGAAGTCCCTGAGGAGTGCCACCATCACCTTCATTTGGAAGCCAAGAATTTTGACCAACTTGTTGAAAGCCTTGTCATCTCCCTGTGACTGGTGTCAACAAAACAACAAAAAACCTGTTAAATGCATTCATGCAAGTGCTGTAGGAGAGATGCATGGGGGGTAGGGAGATGGGGTGGATCCGTTTATCACTTATTTTGGTGGGGGGCATTTTCAGTCAACTATATACACTTCACGTAGCTTATCTTTTAATGCACATTGTATGTGCATTGTGGTTTTTGTTGTTTAGGAGAGGCAAAAAAATCAAGGTCCACACTTGGGGGTCACAAATTCTAGTTACTCCCCTTAGGAAAGAAGAACTTTATTGTTATTAAAACTAAACAACTTTTTCCAGATGTTTACATGAAACATAAAGCATTTCACTTTCCCATTCTTTAATTTTTTAAAAATTAAGAGATGCCTTTAAATTAGTAATATTTAAAAATGTAGTGTATTCAGTAAATAATCATATCATGACTTTGTAGGAGTTTATGATGAGATATTCAGTCTAAACAACGCTAACCAGCAAATTAGGTGAGGATGCAGGGCACAGGTGAAAGAGATACAGGTAACCCTGTCTAATTTCATCGCACAGGAAGTTGAGGAGCGGAGACACATCAAATCGATCTTGTAACAATGAGAGGTGCTGATTGCACAACCTGATATAGGAAGGGAAAAATAAGACTGATAACTGATATTTGAAAGAAACTCTCTACTATTAACTACTTCATTATTTTTATTTTTTTAATTTTGGTCCTGTTTGTGAATATGAATGATCTACTATTTTTCTTTAAAACATTAAAATCCTTAAACATTTAATTAAACTTATAGCAGCTACTTGAGCTTTAGTTGTATTCCTTTGTGTATGACAAGTATTATTTTTTTATAATGAACTCTTCAGTTCACTTAAAATGAAAATATTTAAATGACAAGAAGAGTTCTTCATCTATTCTAATATTGGTAAATCATTTTACTATAAACTGCAGAGAGGAAATATGAGGTTATAAAGTACATGAGGCTTACTTTGATATTCCTTTCCACAAACTGATGACCAATTTGACATCAAGACTTGTAACAACACTACAGATGTTGTACAGACCTGTGCAGACTGCAAGAGAAAAAAAACCAATCAACATCAAATTCTACAGAGATAAACACAACATTAAGGTATTTAAATTATTCATTTCCACTTGAATCAAGAGTCACTAGAATGTTGTACAGCTCTGATTCCAGGTCAACAAGCCTGGCATGTCAAACCCCTAGCCATCTATTAAAAGGATTATACGATTTACATGGCAGACCACTGTCAAGGGTATGAGAATCACTGTTGATATATGTAGATCACTGATGTCATGTTTGGTAGGGAAAAGATGTTTAGTTTAGAGATTTCATGTGTAGCTGTATCTATTGTGTGAGGGTGTTGTGATGAATTTGGGTAAGGGGAACTGACGCGTTAGTTTTAGTTGTTGTTAGGGTGGATAGATGGCGCATATCCTGTTGACTTTTTGAACTTGTGTGTTGCTTAGTGTTTGGCTGGAACGATTGGATTATTAATCTGAAATTATATAACAACCATAGTTGAGGAATTGTTAAATAAACTCATATCTTGCAACAAACCGGTTAGTGTGTGTTGTATTAGTGGCTGTTGCTATCAGATATACTGTCTCATGGGATGAAGTGAAAGACTTATCCCAGACAAGTAGATCTCGTCGGCATGAGTGGATGAACACAACACAACAGGTTCAACAGCTCGTCAACCATTAGCCATCTTATAAACATCCTATAGGTTTACCACTCGTAATGTATGATGGCAACATGCATTTCATATGTCATTTAAAAAGTCAAATTCATGTTTTTATTACGACTTACCAGAACAAAGCACAGTGACATGTTCCTCTAGATGAGCGCCTGATATACACAGTCTGTCTAACAAGGTAAGAAGTGACTAATGGGATAAAAAATAAATTATATTAACTCAAGTCATTCAGAAATTATCCACAACAATTTATTTTCAAAACAATTAAATTTAAACAATTTGATTTGTGAATTTTATTATCTTAATTAAAAGCTTCTTAAAAGTTTTTTTGAGTCAGAGATCTGAGAGGGATGTGAAAATTTTGTTTTCAAAGACAAGAAAAAATATAGAATATAACAGAACAGAACTGACAACACCAGAAAAGCCCTGAAAAACTCTCTCATCTCTTTCTAAAACAAATATTTAGTTTTTGTTGTGTGTTAAGTCATTTTTACATGCTCAACACTTTATACCAGACCTGGTTATTCTGGAACTACCAAAATAGTACAATATCCTTTCAGAATAGTACTTTACCATCTCAAAATTGTTCAAAACTAAAAAAATATTTAGTCACCTATCTCTTACCCCTCCCATGCCCACCTGTACGCTTCATAGTCAACACCAACACCTCTCTCCCCCTCAGTGCTTATGCAATATAATTATGGATGGTCCCCAACCTATCATATTTCTTGGACCCTTCACCAAAGGTCAGTAACCAGGTCTGTTATATTACATGATGCCGATCTGGGAAAGACCAAGTTCAACCTTTATATCCGAACACCAATTGGCTACTATACTACATGGCAACAAGAAAAGTTCGAATTTACATCCTTCCCCATTGGATAAATCAGAACTTTTAAATGAAAGTAACTTGTTAGAAGACCAAATATCTTCAAATTTTGCTTTTTTTTTTTAAATAGAAAAACAATCAATAGAAATTTTGCCTAAATGGCCTCAGATGATGAATTTGATAGAGATTTTAGATGTAATTATAGAGAATAGGTTAATTTTGATAGCCGCGGTAATACAGATCACCGTATTTAAATAAACAAAGTGAAATCAATATCACCCTTTTTTTTTTACAAAGTTATTGAATTTACCAGCTTATAAACTTATTTTTCGACGTACCATGAAAAAGTCATGTGAAAAGATTGTTGTGGTTTTTTTTACTCGCAAACCCTGTGTGTGTAAAAATGTTTAAATAGCTCTGTCCAACTCTCCATTTTGTAGTTCTAAAACAAATTTTAAGTTCACTTTTTTTTTCTTTTTTAACTTCACAAGATGATAGTTTACCAAATGAATGAATTCAACAGGTCACATAAGTGAGCACAGTTACTTACCATTTGCAATGAATGTGCCATTTTGAATAAAGTTGACAAAGACTCTGAGACCTGCTCTAAGAAATCTCCATAAAGATCATTGCTGGTCTTACAGTGGCTGTAGGCCTGTACAAGGAGATGGACGATACAAGATGGTAGGGACTGGACACAGGACAGCTCCACATCATTGGCCACCCCGATCGCACACTTGGCACATAGTTCAAGGCATTGGCCAATAGATACTAACCACTAGCATGAAGGGAAAAAAAAGAACATAAAGATAATTGTTCAGAACATTCATCTTGAATCTGAAATGAAGTGTCATATTTTGTTAAGCCTTACAGCTTTCTTCACCACCCATTATTTTATTTGTTAAGCCTTACAGCTCTTCACTACCCATAATTTTAAGCCTTACAGCTTTCTTCACTACCCATTATTTGTTAAGCCTTACAGCTTTCTTCACTACCCATTATTTTGTAAAGTCTTACACTTCCAGCTTTCTTCACTACCCATTATTTTGTTAAGCCTTTCAGCTTTATTCACTACCCATGTAAATACATAAATAACTTGAATTCTCAATTGTTCCTAATTCTTATTTCACCAAATTCTAAAGCTGTTGTAGAGCATTTACAATACCGCGTTTTTGGGGTAAAATATTTGGTGCTATGTTTGGGCAGAATTTATTTTTCAAAGGCTAATTTTTCATTTGTTAATTTTCTGAAAATTACATGCTGACTTTTTTCATGGGTCCATTTTGTAAGATTTTCACTTTCTCAGCTTTTTCTTCAAGTCATTAACAAAATAGTATTAAGCCCTTTCCTCAAGTCATTAAGAAAATAGTATGTAAGAGTCTCAGTCTGTTCTTCAAGGTGTTAAGAAAATAGTAAGAGGCCCATGTGGATGCCACTTCAGAATGATGTGCATGTCTACCCAACCAATCAATAAGTACATAGATAATATTATTTTAGATTGGCATTTTCTTTAAAATTTTACAAAAAGAAAGATTTTAAAATGTGTTTACCTCTAGACACTCTGTTACAACTAGCTTCAACTCTTGTGAAGAGCCCTGTAGTTGACTTCTCATGTGGACGAGAATTTTATCAATTATACTGTCAGTGTATCCACAAATCTGCAAAGAGAATCAAGTTAAAAAGTTCTATTCCTGAAACTGAAAAAGAAAAATGTACAAAACAAGTTATTCAAATTTTCACCCAGTGTTAAGCAACTTAAGGGATGTGAGCTGTCAGTAAAAGTGTTGAATGTTGTTAGTAATCAGGGATATTTCAACACAATCCCCAATGCACAAAATTGGTCACTTATATCATAGTTATAATTAAATATTAACCCAGATTAATATAGACGCAGGGAGATGTGTCACAAACCAAAAATAATATAGAAGTAACAAACTTTTTAGGCTATTATTCATGGCTACAGTAGTTCACTCAATTATTGTCATGTATATTTTAGGGAGCATTATGAAAGAAGCAGATAACGGATCTGAGATGCTGCTGTCTGTTTGTGAATGCTGCAGCAGACCACCAGGCTTTGGTGTTTCTGGAGTTTTTATGGGAGTCCATCATAGGGGCAGTAGTCATTGTGACACCCCCCCCCCCAACCAACCACTTTATCAGGATTTATGTTTCGGGGGTTGGAACTTACAGCCTTGAATATCTTGCTAAATACTTGCTCCTCCAATTGCTCCAATGGTACACAAGCCATTAATGATGGACAAATGATCCTCAGCAAAACTAGGGTAAAAATACGGATCTGAGATGCTGCTGTCTGTTTGTGAATGCTGCAGCAGACCACCAGGCTTTGGTGTTTCTGGAGTTTTTATGGGAGTCCATCATAGGGGCAGTAGTCATTGTGACACCCCCCCCCCCCAACCAACCACTTTATCAGGATTTATGTTTCGGGGGTTGGAACTTACAGACTTGCATATCTTGCTAAATACTTGGTCCTCCAGATGCTCCAATGGTACACAAGGCATTAATGATTGACAAATGATCCTCAGCAAATCTAGGGTAAAAAGAGAGCTGACAAATTATTAAATCAATCCGATGCCAGAACAGCAAGAACTGTTCATCATTTTTGTAATTTTTAGTGATTTATATAATAGCAATAATAATTCCTCCGAAAAAATTCATCCTTCTTACCTGGGCTCAAGTCACGCATGACTCTGGCTGCTTGACATTTGTTTCCCCACTCAGTACTATTAATATAAAACATGTTGAGTAGCGGGAGGGCCAGTTGTGAATAGGAAGCAGCCACACCACAAACAAAATATATATTTATAAAAGATTAATCCTTCACAATTTTTAAAAATAATTTTAATTCATCAAAGTTAACTGTCTTGATAATTTGATCAAACTTACCAATTGCTTCTTCAATGTATGCAGCAGATTTTTCAAAATCTATCTTTATGTATGTGAAGGACCAAAATACAGATTATATCCATGAGCAACACAAAATAGCCTACATAAATAAAGAGCTCACAAATTTTATGTAAGTATAAGCAAAGCAAAACAAAATGTTTCATTTTTCTTTACTACATTATTATTTTTTTTACATAAAAGAAACCAAAATTTACATTTAAAACATAAAGAAAGTTTAAATTTTATTCCAGGTATTTATTGTCAAGACCCAGAATATAAATAATGAAGGAAAGGATACAATGACTTTAGGCAGTACAATATTCAAATTTTGTAGACAAGTTTCTCTGCTCCATGACATAATATCTGCTATGAAAACAGCTTGAGTTTGACTTTTCTGAGACATTATTTTTGTCAAATTTCCTCCTGTGGTATCCTCTTGAGAACAATTGTCTTTAGATCTGATGCAGTTAATCCATCATCATGGTTATCCTTTTACTCTTAAAAATAAAAATTGTTAAAATTCAATTATACAAGACTATTAGTACGGTACTAGGAATAATACTAAAAGATTTAATTAATTTATACTGAATTGAAAAAATTCAGTAATATTTAAGATAAAAAAAGAAAGATATTCAGTGGCTAAATAGCTAGTAATTAGATTAAATATTATACAAAAAAAAGTTTTGAGCATCCATCCGTCACATTGTGACGATGGTGTAGACTTTGCAGGCCTGGTATTTTTCTTTAGGAGAATAAGCTGGTTCATTATTATGATCCTGAACTTGCATTACCGTTCTGTTTTACAAGAATGGCTTCTTCCAGAACCCAAAGTTTCAGTGGTTACTTTAGTAACCCTTACCACTGAACTAAATATTGCTGGTGTGCGTGTGTAGCAAATAACATGGAAAAGTGAGCAATAAGGTATTGATGGAAAAAGAGATGGGGAAAACCCGGCAACCCTATTTTCGGAAAGTCGTCTGGACAGGGGTCTAAAAAGAGGACACGTCCGGGGAAACCCAGGCGCATAGTAACCCTAAATCCAAAGGAACATCAAGTGTGGATAGAACAGCTTGGAACCAGGAATGTTGCAGGAGTTGTCAGAATTTTAATGTCATAACACCTACATGACTCTATCTCGAGGTTTGAATTAATAGTTTTCCTTTTTCTGGATGAGTTGCCATCCAAAGTTATAAAGTCCCATCTACCCGGGGTCGTGGTGATGTGCAATTGCTTGTCCAGGATTTTGCCGAGGATTGAACTCCAATCCATGTTTGGAACTTATACAATTTAAATTGGGAAAGTTAGTCTAAGCCTACTAATGGGCCATCTAAAAATAAAGGGGTGAATTTATGCTGGGAAGGGGGGAGACTATGTTTAGGGGTGAATTTCCACTTGGGGATAACTCAAATATTCTTGGTTTTTCCCCATTTTATTGTACTTGGTTTGGGTACCCTCAGTACCGGTAATTTAAAATTTGGTAAATGAAGGACACTAACAAAAGTAACATGTTAAATAACATTGGATTCAAAATTGAATTATCTTTACATTGATATGAAATATAATTTTATTTAAAGAAAGGTTTTCTATAGAAAGTTATTAGACCAAGTTTTTTTTACCCAATTTTTAATGAAAATTACAATATGACACAAACAGTAGGAAAGAAGAAAAAAAGTGATTGTTACAAACTTAAAATCTTTATTATAGCCATCAACTGTGACAATTTCTACCAAACATATTTCAATTTCAAAGCATTTTACTCAAATTTCAAATAATTAGACGATTTTTATAACTGTATAATAAAAATCATGAAAATGAAAAAAAAGAAGACATTTTAACTTTTATAACAGAATTTCTCAATTTAACATGGAAATGTTATTGTAAATAAAACCATAGTCGTCAGCTATAAAAAAACAACTCAATAATGATACTGTTAATAATAAAATAAAAAAAATTAAACATTTATTATTCGAATAAAACATTTTTAATTAATTTTTTTGCAATATGAAAGAAGACAAAAAGGTATCACAACCACTGCAATAAACCTTTGTTTTTCTCTCTATTTGTTGAAAACCATAACCATATTACAATTTTTCTTTTATTTGATGAAACTATAGTTGGCAAATACTATAACATTTTATTTCAATCTTAGGTATTAGTGCTCTAAGAACTGGAGCAATGTCATCTATGTTTTCCAACTGATTAGTTCAACTGTAAAATCCAGTTGACTATTTGACTGAGACCTATTTAAAATTTCAAGATCTGTATTTCGCTTTCTCCAGTCTTGAAACAAAATATAGCTATTGACTCTAGCAACGTCAATAAAATAATAAAGTTTTCCACCACTTATTTGTTTTCCTCAGCAAATTATATTTATTTAAAAGCTGATCACTCTTATCTAACCCCGCCCATACTAATACCGGTTTTCCTAACTTCTAACTTTTCAAAAACTCCTTTATTTTTATTTCTCCTAAATACATTATTAAATTCATTAGACTTTTGGATAGTAGAACCTAATGATGCAGTTTTATTGTCCTTCCACTGCATCACACAACTTCTTCCTTCCTAACTCACCTCATATCCCCTCTTACTGGTCTTTTCCGATTGTTTTATATTTTTTAATTCAGGTGGATAGCCTTTCCTACTTGAAATTATGGTCCCACATGCTGATATGACTTTCTTTAAAAGGTCAGTCAGCAAAGCAAAACTAGAATAAAAATTGTCAAAATATAAATAATAACCCTGATTGATTAGGGAAGATACTAATTTCATAACAACCCCATAAGCTAAACCTTGAGTAGGCACATTGCCAGTTTTACCTAAATAAATCTCAAAATCATAAGTACACCCTGAAATACAATCTGCAAGAACCCATAATTTCATTCCCCACTTTGGTTGGTGTATCTCTAATGTATTGGCAAAATGAGTAAATGAGTATCTTCCCTTATTCCTTATCATTCTTTCATCAATTGAAATGTTGATACAGTTTATTGCACGTCTAATTATGTCAAATAAAAATCTGACTTTACCGATTTTATCATTGGTTGCCTGTGTATTCCTGTTTGAAACTTTTAAAAAACATATTTGTTGAAACCTTAAACTTGACATGAATTTTCTAGCCCAAAATCCCTTGTAACGATTTCTTATTCCAATAACTTTTGACATTTGGTGCTTGCACAAGTCCCATGTACAAGAGAAGGCCCATGAATGTTAATAGTTCTTGATTATTTAGATTTATCCAGTTTCTGAACATTGAGGGTTAAGTGGATCTCTTGGTAGTTGCATTCTCATTGGTATTTGTGCAGAGTGACTTCAGTAATGTGTCTGTAAAGAATAAATTGAAAATTGAAAGAGAAGTAAGATATTTCTTCCTCTCATCTCTTGTTGCTGATTTGGGGAAATGGGCACCAGGTGGATCATTCAGGCTTGAATGCAGGAATAGGCGGGGGTGGGGGGGTGGGGTTTCCCCCAGGTCAAAATCACCATAACTGTAAAAAAGAAATAAATGTATTAATATTAGATATAGAATTGAAAAGAATTTTTTATATAATTTAACACAATTAATCTTACCACATTGTTCAATTTTGCAACTAATCTCTGGAAAATTATAATATTATCACGAAGCATAATATAATACCTATGGAAATCTTATGCCTTTTTATAGCGTAACCAATTTAAACAAAGAGAAATGTAATTTGTTATGGGTTTGGGAAAAAATAATAATAAAATAAATTCTTCATAAAAATTTTTTTTTTTAAATATATTACTAAAACTAAAATGAATTTTCTACGTTTCTATATATTCCATTGCTACCCTATACAAATATAACTGTAGTAAAATCAATTTAATCTGTAATCTGTCAGATGAGTTGAAGAACTTTGTAACAAAGAAAAAAATATTACTTTCGACAGTGAACTTGTCCACCAGTAAAAGGCAATAAATTCTCAGTATAACTCCCTTTCTTCCTCCTCTTCAACAGAAGTTTCATCTTCACTTGAAATTTAAGCAATTTCTTCATTGGATGACAAATATTCAGCCATAATTGTAAAAAAATTGAGAGCGACTCATCTCGAGAAAAGTTGAAATGATTATCAAGTGGCGGACAGGAATCGCGTTGCGGCTAAAACAAAAACTCAAGGGTCGGAACAATTTTTTTAAATTTTAATTTAAAATAATATTTAATTAATTTATCCATTAAATTAAAGATGCACATTAAAAATAACAGTAACAAATGGTTTATAAAAAGTTTATAAATAAATCAAGTTATTATCCATCAATGTTTGGTGATCGAAAAGTCAATATAACGTGCCTTGAGTGTTAAGGGCTCAGGGGGACAAAATTTAGGGGTGAATTTACACTAGAAATAGGGATACTGTGATTTAGAATTCAGGTTAGGTAGAGTTGTAAAAATCTTAATTTCAAGGTTTTTCACTGGAAAAAAGAAAGAAAAGTGCATTTAAATTATTTAAATTGAATGATTTTTTTTTTTTAAACATTTTTTCCCCTTTAAAATCATAAGTCCTAAGTGTTGATTTTTAACCCTCTTAAGACGATCCCTACATAATAAATAAATGCTGAACATGTTAATATATTCAAATGCTCTGAGATACATAAAGTGTTTGACTTTGAATATTAAACTAGTCTGCCTATATACTAACTATTAGTACCATTACTACTACTATTACTAGTCTATTTGATTCAGACTCTTCAAAGTCAAAGAAAAAAGTCCCTAATCTTGGTTAATACATCTTGTAAAGTCTACCTTCAAGCCTAAATTTAAAATATGAACCAAATAAAATAATACCAGTAGACTTCAATAGACCTATGTCAATAAAGTTGTATTTCAGGATTAGTATTTAGTATTGCATGAGAAGTAGGCTAGGCTACCAGTATATCGGCCCTATATTAAGAGGTAGGGTTTATTTCTTTGTAAACTATTCGCCTCCACACCATTAAACTTAATTATTTATCACCCTCACTATTATGTTTTTAGCATTCTTATTTTTTATTAACGTTATTCTCTCCCTCTCAGCATTGCTTCCTTCTAGAAGGCATCATTTCTTAACCCCCACTTTGTTTTTGTAATATACCCAAGTATTTTTTTTCCATTATTTGTTTGCAAGATACTCAGTACATTACTTGGTAGAGAAATATATTTTAAGTTTAACAATGACAATAGTTTTGAATCATTCGCGGTCACGTGAAAAGGCTGACGGACAAATATCTCTCACCACAAGTAGTGCGGGAGATATACCGCCGGACGTGTAGACACTTCCTTTGCATAAATGTTGATATTTCAGTTTGATTCATAAAGATTGTATTAGTTCATTCAATTTTATATAGTTTTACATATTAAGGAAATAGTTTAGTTTTTATAAAAATTTTTGCAATGCGAGTGCCGAGCTCGTAAAAAGAGATCCTTTTTTTGGCACATACACCCCGAAAAGGCTCCATCCTAAAAGGGTTAAGGGAGCATATTTTCTTTCTTTTTCACATGGCAGCCCTCTTCATGACCTGTCTGGTGTCGTGGCAACAATAACAAAGGTGAATGGGGGAGAGACTCAGACTGCAATCAGGTTAGCACAATATTCAATATGAAATTAGTAAAACAAATATGGTGGCCCTGTGGAAAAAAATGGAGTGAAATTTCATTACTCAATTACAGTACACTATTGACTATTACTATTTACTATTGACAATGGACAGTAATAGTAATAGTAATAGTAGATCTTAGATTAAGTAGTAAGTTATTAAGACTTAGTAGTAGTAGTAGTAATGAGTAATGACAGTTGTGAGTTGTGAGTTGAACTTGAACAGGTCACTAGTAACTAGCCTATCAATGCTTTTTGTATTGGCAGTGTCTACACGTCCGGCGCGCCGGACGTCTATCTCCCGCACTATGTGTCCGGCGACCAAGTCACATGACCGCCGTAACAAAGTGGCGAGAGATATCGTGTCGGTCAGCCTTGTCACGTGACTGCGAATAATTCAAAACTATTGTTAATTTTAAAATCTATTTCTCTACCAAGTAATGTGATATCGTGTCGGTCAGCCTTGTCACGTGACTGCGAATAATTCAAAACTATTGTTAATTTTAAAATCTATTTCTCTACCAAGTAATGTACTGAGTATCTTGAATGCAAATAATAGAAAAAGAAACTTAAGTGAAAGTGGCTTGTAAACATTTTTGTTTAGTTTGTTATTTTTTGTGTACCAGTAATCCATAAAATAAATTAGGGGCCAGTGTGGCAACCAATAAAAGTTAAAGATTTCATTTTAGATTATTTCAATTGCTACAAAATATTTAAAAACTTCTCATGAAACTACTGTTGCTGAGGAACATGATAATATAAATATATACAAAATATTTAAATTAAAATGGGAAGAAAAAAAACGACCCTATCCCCGGTATAGATCCTCAAACATTCCTATCGTCAAGCAACCACTCTACCACAAGACCAGACAAGATGTACTAAATCTTACTTCGTTTGGAATTATAAAAACTACTAGCCGTCCGGCCATGTCCGGCGGTCACGTGACAAGTCGCCGGACGTGTATCTTGCGCACTACACGTCCGGCGCGCCGTACGTGTAGACACTTCGTTTTGTATTACCTTGTTTAAGTCACATTTGCATGTCTGCAGGTCTATCAATTTCGTTGCAATTAATAGCCTATATTATCGCCTATCGATCCTTGGTAAAAAAAAATAATATCTGCTGTTATTTTACTTCATTAAGTTGTTCAGATCTGCCGCCAGGACAATTCTTAACGTAAATAAACAAAGAGTTACAAAGTACACAAACATTTTTAAACAATCTGGTAAAAGATGTAAATTTGCTGGAACAATTCTAGTTCGTTTTAAAACAAATATTTTTTTGTATCTGTAACGACAGAAATAATCGCAGAAACACTAAATGGATATGTCAATCATAAAAATATTTTTTTAATATAATAAAATTGTAAGGAACATTCATATAAGAAAAGAATAATCTAAAATGCTGTGTTTTTGCCCCATGTTTAAAAAAAAAAAATATAATCGTCGCTTTGGTTCAACTCAACACTTCCGCTTTTACTGGAACATTGCTTGCTTCATACTTGTAAGCACAATTAGTCCTCGTGTACTTCTTTGTTTGTTGTAGAAAACAAGCCTTTAACTGATATTGAATTGATATTGACTGGATTTGAAATTTAAGATTTTCAAATTTGCCTTTTAATGTAAGTGTTTTGGTTTATGAGTATCTAAGCTTTTTAAATCATGATCATTGAAGATGTTGTTTTGTAAAAAATTGTTTTTCGCAGCACCGCAGGTCCTTTCGATATAAAAAAATATAATAGAGTAAATAGATATGAAAATAATTCAGAAGTGGTAGTGTTCCTTCTTAAATTAACTTGCTTGTTTTGTACAGCTATGTTTATCTGATCTAGATACCTTGGTCAAAGTAAAGCAAGGGAGACTACTTGAATATAGGCGTCTGCACAAAAGAAACTAATTTTTTAATTTTTGGGACAGTATTGTATTAGTATTGCTTTACTTTTCCATTAATGAAAGGCCTGGGTAAATTTTGCGTTAACAGCATGGGTTTTGCCAAGAGTTGTTATTAAGCGCAGCAACATCACTTTGGGGAATCCCGACACTGGACTTCGGGAGAATAGACTCATTTATTATTTATTGTAGTTAGGACTGTACAATATGAAGACCACAAGGGAAAAAACGGCAGAGTCACATTTTTGTTGTTTTGAGATATTCGATTTTTAAAGTTCAAAACCATGCACATTAAAAATGTGTAAACAAAATTTAATTTTTAAAATGCATTTCACAAGAGTGTCAATTTCCCTGAGTTATTAAATAGATAAATTAATTCAAACTTGAATGTAACATGATTTATTTCATTATAGTAGAGAGTGGTGTCAAAATGGACTCTGCCGTTTTTTCCCTAGTAGTAATTTATCAAGGTTTGATCATTGATAAATATCTATTTAAAACTATTTTATAAGTAAATTTTCACATTTAGGGGTCACTGGCAAATTACTTCACGCTTAGAGGGGGTGAGTTGAGAATATGCGACACTTTTTGGGAGGGGGAAAGGGGGGGTCAAAAATTGTGACGTTACTTTTTTTTTCATCACTAAAAGTTTCTAATTCTTAAAAAAAAATATCATAATTTAATTGATTTTTTAAACATTAATTTGAGGTCAACTTTGCCTCAGGTATTATTGTATGGTACCATGAAACTCGGTTTTCTAGTACTGCATCTTATCATTATGGCAGTGGTTCTCAACCTTCTTAATGCCGCGACCCTTGAATGCAGTTCCTCATGTTGTGGCGACCCTCAACCATAAAACTATTTTCGTTAGTACTTCATAACTGTAGAGGATATGCATTTGCCGATTGTCTTATGTGACACCTTAAAGGGGTCATTCGACCCATAATGGGGTCGCCACCCACAGGTTTAGAACTGCTGCATTATGGGAAAATGTTGAAGAATAAAATAATATCTTAG